CTCAACTCTCAAACTTGCGTAAACTTATCAAGGATGTGCCCACAGGTGAACAGGCCACAGTCTACAGATTCTTGTCTTTGTCCGGTTAACAGGCCCCGTATCACAAACGGGTCCCGGTGGGGACACCGCCGCAGCCGTCGATGGGAGCGGATGAACGGCTAAAATGCATCGTGATCCGGATCTCGGCCGGGACCGCTGCTGCTGCTGCGAGAGTTGTAGTAAAATCCAGCGGTCAGGAGCTCAAGAAGCGAAATACCCGGGCAGCATTCAATTCCGCTGTACGCCCGCTTGGCAGCGCCGCTGCTGCACCACCCCGCATCCATCCGCTGCGGCCACGAGACTCGGTGGCATTGCTTGCTGGCTCGCGCGCAGATCTGGTCCGGTACGACGCGTGCACGGTGGTGGGGGCGACGCGTCTGCACGGTCGCGCGGGCTCCCCCACCACGACGCGCGCCCGCGCCCCTGCCCGATCGAGCGCCGGGACGGGGACGGAGACGCGATTGGCTCGTACGCGCGCGGGGGGCATGCGTGTGCCCGGCGCCCCGGCGCGCACGGACGCGGAGACGCAACATTTTGTCCCGGGGTTCGGGACGTGACGTGCTCCACCGATCGGGGTTCTTGTCGCTGAATATCGGTGAAGTGTCGGCTCGGTTGGAGACGAGTAGCCCCGGTGTCGAGTTACTGTTCCTCTCTTTGGATTTACTCTACTGGCTATATATACCGTGTTGGCTGTTTACCCGCCGGTAATTGGAGGTTTGCTACGATGCGTACAACTACTCAAGCGAGTAAAAACAAATTCTTTTACCAGTGGCTGCATCCATGGTTGCACTGCATCAAACGTTCGTGCATAAAGCTGAGCTCAAATCATTACGTACTCCCTCCATTCAAAATTGATCTACATATTTCATAGGTACACTAAGACCAAAAAAACTAATAACTCTCTCATACTATATTTATTCTAGCAACAAACTCTATGCACCATCCCTACTATTTTCCTAGACAATAGCAAATCAATATATTGCATGTGTTATAAATACTTATAAATACTTGTGTGCATAGATGCATGTATCAATGTTCATTTACTCCAATGCACAAATAACGAATAGACTTAATGAATGAACACAAATATATAGATCATTTAGTAATAACCTCAAAAAAAACTATATGTAGATCAATTTGGAATGGAGGGAGTAGTATGTACCGCTGTGAAACTGTGACCACTCCTCATCCCGAGAGGCGAGAGTCACGGTCATCGTAGGGTACAAAACCACAAATCACGATGAAAAATGCGTGTGCATGTCCGATGAAAAGGAAAGAAGGAAAAAAGAACGAAAATGATATACATATGACCCTGTTGTCCGGCTACTGTGTATGACTCTGGTCACATGGAAAGACACAGACGGTAAAAGTCTCACTCCGTAATAGAATCTGACATACGTAGTGATGCCATAACGGAGTCGGACGCTAGTCGAACGCTGGATTCGTATGTATAGCAGCGTTCAACAAAGAAATGCGTGTGCACGTTCGATTTTAATCAGCGAATTATTGGTGTGGAATTTCCGTGCCTGAAACATGGGCACGCATCTGTTAAATAATTAATCGACTCTCGGGCTCACCGCTCACGCGAATGCAATCAAGCGCCAGGTGATTAACACCGTACAGGGGCAGTTAGCACAGCGGAGTACGTCACGATTTTAATTCAGGGCTTAAATGAGGTTCTGACTGCCAGCGTGGAATAGTACTCCGTGCTTGTGAGTTTTGACGTGGAGATGGAAGCTTCACAAGCTAGCCTTCGATTGCTTGTGCCTGGAAGAGAAAAAACAATTTCAGGGCCCTTTGAATCGTAGGAATGAAAAAACAGAGGAATAGGAAAAACACAGGATTCTGATAGGAATACAATTGTAAAACAGAGGATTGCAAAACACAGGAAAAACACAGGAATGGCAGTTTGATTGGACCACAGGAAAAACGCAGGAATCAGATGAGAGAGATAGACTCAGAGGAAATGTTCCAAGAGGTTAGACCTCTTGCTAACTTTCCTCCAAAATGTGCATAGGATTACCCATTCCATAGGAATTTTAAAGGATTGGATAGGATTCAATCCTTTGTCTCAAAGGCCTTCATAGGATTTTTTTTCATAGGATTGAAATCCTCCAAAATTCCTACATTTTTCCTACAAATCAAAGTGGCCTCATTTTTTGGCCTTCAACCTCACAAGAGCCACAGTTACGTGACATTTCCTGCCCACTCTCTGCCTTGATTTGATGTTTTATTCGTTCTTGGCCTTTTCTTAATAGTACTAGAAACGGTTCCTTTAATGGAGTAGTATAGGGTGTGTTCAGTTGACGCTAAAATTAGAAGTTTTGTTGAAATTGAAACGATGTGACGAAAAAATTAAAAATTTATATGTTTAGAAAAGTTTTGATGTGATAAAAAAAATTAAAAGTTTGAAGAAATAGTTTGTAACTAAACTCGGCCACAGCCGATCGATCAAACAAGGATCTCGTGTAGTAGTGTTGAATCTAATTATACATTCTATACACGCCAAGTAGGAATATTGTATAGTGTAGATCCACGGCTCAATAATGTCTCCATACACATATATAAAAATCGATTAGTAGTACTAGGTGCAACGAATTTCCACGGCGCAACATTTACACCTGATGTTCATTTGTAACATTTTCCCGGTCCACAGAGCAGTAAAAACTCAGGCTATGCACTTCATGGCTTCTTTATTTCCTTGCTCCATTTGGGTTGCCCTCGCAGCAAAACCGGCAAGTAGCAACAGTAACCTAGACGAGAGCAGCATGTCTCCCTGTAATAAATTCTGCAAGCAAACTAAGCACAATATGGGCTCTCTCGCAGTAGATGAGCTCTGTGGCTTGCATGCAGTAGTATATTTGCCAATTGCAATGCAAGCCTGCCCATGGCATGCGATCATCTTGTGCAGATGACACAAACAATATCAGGTCGCCCTTGAAGCAATTGCGTGTACTAAAAAATGGCAAGGCTGTTCCGTCGAGGAGCGAGGAATACGTAAGAATCTACTCCTACGTACCCAGCTGCCATGCTGCTGCAGCCATGCAGAGCAACAGAGGGGCTAGTTGTCTCGTCCATCCATATTCACTGAGCGGCCATGAAGTACTATTCACTTCTCACGATAAATTACACAGACCGTAGAGATATGCGTGTTCATCCAGCTAGCCTTGCGTGCGTGAGAATTGTCAGAGACATATAGTAGTACTATTAAGTTATTTAAGTGTGTTTTTAGGTGTTAATAACTTGCAGACTGGTCCCAGGAAATCTATATGGTTTTAGGGTGTGTCTTAGCAGTATTGAAAACAGTGCGCTTCTTCTTCTTCTCTTCTTGGCTGACCCTAAGCTAGCTTCAAAAACAAAACAGTGGAAAGGGGCAGTAGGGCTAGCATAGCACATGCATGTATAAAAACAGGAGTTTAATTTGTATCATTTTCCAAAGGAAAAAAATGCATTTGGAATGCTTACGGTGCATGATACGTATATGTGGATGTCCTGCCAAGAATCCCGCACATTACGATTGATGCCGTATTGACCAATCCATCTCTTGGTTTTTGGAGCTAACAATAATGCCAACGAAAACCGGCAGATTCTTTTTGCGCGCCCGGGCATGCACGAAACATATCCGTAAGCATGTGAAAGGGTATAGTATAGGCCACCGGATCAACAACAGTAGATAGTACACATACGTATATACGTCGATTCGATTATTACTGTGGCATTAATTTACCACTTCAGCCTCAGTGTACTGCAACAGTGAGTAAAAATAATCTCTTCACACTGAGATGATCAAAGGCCCAAGATTAATTAATAAACACGAGCATATGCACTTTGAGGATTTGAAAAGTCTGGATTTTCAGTTTGTTTTCCTTCTAGTTCATTATTTGGATATAATTATGGGCTCTTTGAATCTAAGTAAGAATATACTAGCTAGTAGATTATTTAGGTTGTGTTCTTTTATTGAAGTTACCAACTCAACAACTCTCGCCTTTCTTGTACACGCTTTTTAAACTACTAAACGGTGTGTGTTTTTATAAAAAAAAAATACGTAAATTGCTTTTAAAAAATCATATTAATCTATTCTTAAAAATAACTAATACTTAATTAATTATGCACTAATGAGTCGGTCCGTTTTAACGTGCATGAAAGATTAGTTCCCAACGCCTTAAAACGAATACAGCCTTAAAGAGCTAAAATTCTAGGAGAATTTGAGGCTGCCAGAGCCTAGAATCCCTCTGGACACGGCCTATGTACTTCAGGAACATATCCTATCCTATATGTACACAAGCATTCTCGTGCACACTAACTAATAAATTCCCAAAAATTCTTTAAAAAACACATATGTATTTTTATAGTATTACATCTACGTGTAAAGTTTCATCTTTAAATTCATCATACATAAAATAGACTTATAGTCTTAAAATTGTCAGTTTTTCTTAGGACTAAAATATAATAAATTTAATGTTAACATATTTTACACGTAAGTATAATATTATTGAAAGTATATGCACATATTTTTCTAAATTTTTCGATAATATTTATTAGTTGATGTACGCGTGAAGCTTATGTATACATGATATATTATCGTGTCACTCTGCACAGATATGCAGCAGTACTCTTTTGTCTGCATTAAGTTTTTTTCTGCACGTATATACTACTCCCTCCGTTTCAAAATGTTTGACGCCATTGACATTTTAGTACATGTTTGACCGTTCGTCTTATTTAAAAAAATTAAGTAATTATTAATTCTTTTCCTATCATTTGATTCATTGTTAAATATATTTTTATGTAGGCATATAATTTTACATATTTCATAAAAGTTTTTGAATAAGACGAATGGTCAAATATGTGCTAAAAAGTCAACGGTGTCAAACATTTCGAAACGGAGGGAGTATACCACTAGGAGATTACTGTGCCGAGCTAGAACCTTAAAGATGAGCTAGAGTAAGTAATCAGTGGAGGAGTATTCACTAATCAGCTAGCACGGGTGCAACACGCTCTCGTGACCACCCCCCCATCCCCTCTCCTTGGCTCCCACTCTTTAAGCGGCCCTTGTCCTTTCAGCTCCTCGGTCCCTCCCCCTCCATCTCACTCCCTTATATCGCTCGCTCACTCGCTAGCTCGCACCGCGCCGGCCGGGAGCACGCACGCACGCATTGCCATCGCCGTGCGCGGAGGAGGAGAGGAGATCGAGGTCTCGAGGTCGTTGGTTGGTTGGTTGCATGGCGAGCGGTGGCGGGGAGCACTTCTTGCGGCAGCTGAGCGCGAGCAACGGGGGATACGGTGGTGCGGCGCAGTATCAGATGGGGCGAGGGGTGGTGGCGGAGGAGGAGGTGGAGCTCGGCGGAGGAGGCAGGAGGAGGGGCTCGAAGCGGTGGTCGAAGAAGAGGGCGGGGAGGGGCGGGTACGGCGGCGGCGGCGGGGGGAAGGGGGACGCGGCCGCGGCCGCGGCGGCGGCGGCGGCGGTGGCCGGGAGGAAGCGGGTGATGGTGGTGGTGGACGACACCTCCGGGGCCAAGCACGCCATGATGTGGGCGCTCACCCACGTCGCCAACAAGGGGGACTTCCTCACGCTGCTCCACGTCCTCCCGTACGCCGGCGCCGGCAGAGGCGAGGAGACCCCCTCCCTCGCCAACTCCCTCGGCACGCTCTGCAAGGCCTGCAGGCCAGAGGTAGCGTATACGCGTATACGTACATCATACGTGCATGATGTTTCTTTTTTTTTCTTTATTTTTTTTAGAGGGATGCATGTCATTTTGTGTGCTGTTTTTACTTTTGTGCTCTAATATGTGTTTTCAAATTACAAAATTTTAGGCGCTTCGATTAGAGAATCATGTGTCTGATCTCTGCTGTCTAGCTTTGGTCATTCTGGATTTGGAAGCATCTGCTTGGAGGCAATGCACGAGGGAATTATTACTGCTAGCTCACAAAGAATTAGAAAAAAAAGCTTTTGTTAGTGTACTGGCTCATGAGAACTTGACTAAACTGAAGGATAAAAATAAAGTATAATTTACTGTACGGTTTGTAGAGTTATCAATCCTGAAGGTCACCTGAGAGGGATAGTTGTAAAGTATTATTTGTTGGGGGACAATCATACAGTAGATCAGATCAGATATCAGAACATACATGAAAAGGGGATCGTATTCCACTTTTCATGGATGAACGGATCTTGCATCTTGGCAGGCCAAAAAGGTTCGAGTCTTTGATAAAAGTTAAAAAGTACTACCTCCGTTCCATAATAAGTGCATAAGTGCAGCTCCGTTCCATAATAAGTGCAGCCATAAGTTTCCGCGCTCAACTTTAATCGTCCGTTTTATTTGAATTTTTTTTATAATTAGCATTTTTGTTGTTATGAGATGATAAAACATGAATAGTACTTTACTTGTGACTTATGTTTTTAAATTTTTTCAAAAATTTTTTAATAAGACGAACGGTCAAAGTTGGGCGCGGAAAACCATGGCTACACTTATTTTGGGACGGAGGAAGTAATTAGAAAAGAACAATTTGTGGGGCTCATGCTCATCCCAGGTTCTAAAACCATTAGTAAAATGCATCAGTAAAATCCTACCTAAACCGGCCGTAAACAATGGCATTATGAGATCATATCATCATTCCTTCCTTGATTTGCTTGCATTGCTTGAATCAAAAGTCAGCACTTCAATGTAGTAGTGTACTACTAGTAGTACATCCCTGCGTAAGAGCAACAGTACCGTGCATGAAGCCATGAACTATTCCTTTGTCCTACTATAGCATGTGCAAAGGAGGGCTCATACGAAATGGGTGTGAATGTGGTAGGTGGAGGTTGAAGCACTTGTGATCCAAGGACCAAAGCTGGCCACTGTCCTCAGCCAAGTGAAGAAATTGGAGGCGTCTGTGCTTGTGCTCAGCCAATCCAAGCCATCCCATTTCTGTTGGTTGAGTTGGTAAGCATTTCTCACCTCCTACCACTGTAGCTCTATCTTTCTCATCCCTATTGGATGTGTTAAAAATGTGAGGCTCAGGTCAACTATGAATGGAAACTGGCGGGGAGAATATAGTATCATGGTGTCAGTCAGTCCCTAGTGTTATTTTAAAACAATGCCCAGATTAATGCATATGGCTAGGTTCCAATAGAAACCTTTAGTTGTACATCATTTTTTATATCGTACAAGTATCAGTTTATCAGGATACATAATTACCACTAGATCTAAATTTATGGGGAGAGATCTGGTCATCTTTTATGATAAGCAGGCCCACTAACAAGCAATGAGTAAACTGTTTGGGAAATAATCCTCCTTCACCACCGTTCAATAGCAGGGTCCCCTGCCTTTCGGGAAAATAACACCAGGCAGCAGCCTCCATGTGCTATCCATAAATCACAGATGCTTTCCTTGTCCTTTTTTGGTCACAACTCAACCAAATGAAAGCAAGACTCCTACACTTCACTCACCTAATTTTTGCTACGTTCACGTGGACAATGTAACAATCACCATCACCAACACATTGAAGTTGAGTCAGGAAAAGTTACTTTTCATCTTGTCGTAAACTATAGCTATGGTCCTTGTTGAGCAAATGCAAATGTCTGCCTGCGATTTTACAGCATCCTGCGGAGCAGCAGCGAGGAGTTCGTCGAGCAATGCATCAACCAGGCTGAGTGCCTGACGTTGGCAGTGAGGAAGCAGAGCAAGGGCGTCGGCGGGTACCTCATCAGCACACGGTGGCAGAAGAACTTCTGGCTCCTGGCTTGACAAAGCCAAGGACTATTCAATTTTCTGCCAAGGCTTTCAAGTCTCTACATAATCATATTTTTACCCCCGTATATCTGCCATTCTGTTTTAACTGAGTGCGCCATAAAAGCCTCCCCGCTGCCATGTTGCGTCACCGTGCAAGTGTTACCATCCGTTGTAAAGCCCAAAGGAGCCCTAGATCTGACCAAACCCTACTTCCCATCTTCTTTTCAAGTTCAGTTTGTGTAATCTTGTGCTGTACTATTGTGTAATGTTGCATAAATGGCCGTTTTCTGTTGTCACGTGTTTTACACTTTTACTTTCATAACAACTCCTCAACTTAACACTACTGCTACAAACCAAGAAATCAAGAGCAACATCAGGTTATTTTCCATAACTGAAGGTCGCATTTCCAATGCAACAGCTAGAAACATGAAGATCTAACAGCTAGTAACATTTTTAGTTCAAATCTTGAACTGGAGTGTGGCTACTGAGGGGGGACCTCGCTTAGCTCTCTCTCACTTAGGAGCAGGAGAGGACGAGAGGTGCAGTTGCATTGGTTGGTTTCAGGCTTGGGCGTGGTCCTCTTTACCGCTATTCTCTGAATCCTAGCACACACCTGCCCGTGGGGCACCGCCTTCAATGGTCGTGGGCCTAGGGGGCAAACAACCAGGCAAGGATCAAGATCCCCAGTTTGCCACCAATAGCCTGATGGCAAAACCAACCTCCTCAAAATATTGCAGCTAATGCTTATGGTAGCTCATACTAGTCATACTACATCTCACACTTCTCACTTAAGGACTGGTAACTCACAATTTATGCACAGATTGTTATACAATAGATAGTAGATCATTTTTTTTAAGAAAATGGAAATGGTTTACATCTCCAGATTCTACCATAAGGCGCACGGCCAATAGATAATAGATCAACATGGATAGATACACAAGCCCGATTCTTCTATGGTCGATGGAATTTACGGTAACGGAGGTCTAAAGCAGACAGGGAAGAGTACTAATACAGAGATCAGTTCTAGTACATAGCTCAGCTAAGCCAAAGAAAGTATTTATCAAGTTCGTCCCGCGCGGGGACAGAGCACTACTAAAACGGAGACAAATGCAGCCACTAACCAGGGACCATTGGCTGTCCTGATTACCTACATAGAGATACCAAACAGGCTGCAGCACCATTATGGTACTTGAAATGATACGTTGGAAGAGCCAGTTAGCCAGAGGCTAGCCTTGCTCATCATTACCACGCCATACTGGCAGTGGTAACTCAAACCCAGTCAAGTCCCCCATGGGAGTCAAGGGACAAGCTCATGATTCTACAGTCCCATTAACTCTTGCAGAACACTGCCCATGCAAATGCAAGCTAGATGCCAGACAGTGAGGACAAGAATTGATAGACAAAAACCAAATTGCATATGTAAATGAAAAATGAGCATAGTGCAAAGCTTCTAGGTTTAACGTTGAAATGCACACAGGAAGGTTAAAAAATAACTGTTGCAGTTTGGAAATGTTTTTGTGCAGATCGAACGCAGGGATATATGTAGAGTATTCTAAGTAGCATTGTGGTTGTCATGGTCAATCCAAGATATTCTAGTCTATGCAGTTAATAGCAGTGATCAAAAAGGAGGGCGAACTTTTCTTTCCTGCTGATCAATACACTGAGAAAAAACTACCTGTGTCTGCGTCTCTTGGCATTTTCTTCTGTGAAGGATTCCCATGCACTATGGTCAAGCTTGCTCAAATCTTCTAGCTCTGCAATGGTAAGCAGGTATTGTGTAAGCTTCACCAGCTCTTGATCAGTGCCTCTGTTTGAATGGGTCCTCTTGTATGGTTTGATCACAAGACCATTCTGTGGATTCATGACAAAGTTCCTTCTGAGGTCATCAAACATGATTGTGTTTGTTTCATTGTACTGCATATGAAAGAAACAGAAGCAATGAGCAAATAATTCAATGAGAATCAGTCACAAATTCACAGTACCACGCCACTACTAACCTCGGGGAACTGAGCCCAAATGACACCAAGAGGCTTGCAATCAAAAGTTTTCTTTTCTGACAGGTTTTCAGATTGCACAGTTATCATCGCCAAGTGATCCATAAGAGCAGTAATTTTGTAGTTGGGGTTGCCAAGAACTCCAAGTTGGTCCATCTTCATCCCCACCCATTTCATGCTGCATTCAAAGGCCAATTGTATTTTTCTTTACTTGTTTCACAGCACAACCATAACCAGTTAACTGATAGATCAGGATCACAAAACGCTTACCTAGTTGCTGACCATATCATGATATCATATTCTGAATATGCAGCAGAGAGGAACTCGTGTAGATCTGTGAAGAGGAATATGGCATCAATCCTCATGACAGCTCATTGGAAAACATAATAGTGGTGATGGGAGATGCCCTTACATGGACGCATCAATTCGATAGGGTTCTCAGCAGCGGACCTATGGTCGAATAGAGTATAATCAATGTCTAAGACAAGCAGTTTTTTCCCTTTGCGGCATGGATTCAATATCTTGATCTACAGAAATAGGAAGAAGAAAAGATAAATAATAAATTCGACGTCTATGTACATTTAACAAGATAGCAATTAGATCAGTGACCTGCTTTCACAACCAACAGCATCAAAAAGCACTATACTTGTATGAGTAGTAGATTATTACATTAAGTAGAAGACACACGCCAGAGTCAGATAAAAAATACTCCCTCCATTTCATATTATAAGTCGTTTAACTTTTTTTCTAATCAAACTTCTTTAAGTTTGACCAAGTTTATAGAAAAATATAATAGTATTTTCAACACAAAACAAACATATTATCTAAATATATTCAATCCTAGATTTAATGAAACTAATTTGATATTTTAAATGTTGCTGAATTTTTCTATAAACTTGTTCAAACTTGATAAAGTTTGACTAGGAAAAAAATCAAACAACTTATAATATGAAACGGAGGGAGTAGCAAATAGACAAGGTGACAACAGATAGTGGGTAATAGAGCAGATGCCAGCCTATAGAGGAATTTCAAAAACTACTTACTATTCTACTCCAAGTGCCTATATGATACCTTTCAGCACAATAAGACATCTACTACAAATCCCAAGCATGCAAAACAACAATTAGAAGTAAAACTAGTACATCTACATAGCTAGATGAGGAATTGACGATAACTTGTGGAACATAGTAGCACATTGCAGTAACCTGAAAATCGCTATAGCGCCCACAAATGTCCAAAATCTCTATCCACAAAAACTACCTCCCCTAGGGGCTTAGACTTATGGATCATTGCTAAGAAAAGAAGTTTCTGGCTATGGCTTCAATCAGCACCACACAAGAGAGAGAATAACCCTCGTCACTGTTATGGCTTTGGTCTATGAGCAAGTGAAACCACAAAATATTTCTAGAATCGACATGCTGACATACTAACAACCTGAACCACGCTAGGAAATATTACCAACTTCATGTAGGTCAAAGGAACAAGCACTAAGATGTGGCTCAGGCTGTCAGAACAAACAGGATATTGTGGAACCATAAAAGCATGGATAAGGAAGAAGCATATGACAGGAAACGAAAATGACACGGGAATATACCTTATATTGACTTGCACGCCGTTTTAGTTTTTGCTTGTAGACATCTTTATCCTTGATAGCAGTAACTTCATTCTGGCCTATTTCATAATCATTGAGTATCTCTGGATCATCTTCTTGGTCCACAAATATTTCATCTTCAACAGTGCTGAAAGATATACAAAATTAATGCAAAGTAAATAGAAAGCACCTTCAAATGGGACATAAGTACATGGTGTACAAATTCAAATTTTCAAACAGAACCATTATCTTTGAGATGTAACGCAGCAAAAGAGTGATTTGAACCATTGAAAAAAAAAACCCTGAAAACTTGAATATGCTGCTGTTGACTGTTGAGTAAAGCCAGAGTGCTAAATCAATATTAAGAGGAGGTCCATCTCCCATGGTTCATCTTGGAAATGATAAAAACAGATCTGAATCAGGAAAGGTATCAAAGCTCTCACCTCACAGTGCCTCACTAGAAAAACCACAAGTGTCACACCAAAGTATATTCAAGGTAAATGCTTCACAAACTTCCTCTGCAAGCCCTCCATAAGGCATGTTTTTTTCCCTAAAGAGGAATACTACATTACAAGTGTTCATAATTAGCGCAATTACATGCATTTTTCTCACCATCCAAGCATCCACTACTGATCCTACAAATGGAAGTACTATGGAGTGGACAAAATATTAGAAACAAAAAGGTGTGTCAAATGAAAGTTCTTTGTAACAGCCGTCCCAATATAAATAGCATAAGATCCTCCTAGTCTTCTACACCATTAGAAGGTTATCACATGAATGAACAATAATAATCAATCTACACCCAATTTACAATTTGCCAGCTATACAACCTTACTGTGTATAATTAAGATCTCTACTACATAAAAGGGACATATTAGTGGTGGTGGTGGTGAGTCTGCCATCACAATACTATTCCTTGAGTTGGTGCGATTCATGCGGATAATAAGGAACCTCTTGAACTAATTGGGTTTTTGTGGATAGCTCATTTGTGCACATGTGCTGTAATAGGGTTATCTCATTGATTTATGGTTGGAAGTATATATGTTCTCTGAGAAACATATACAACTTTTCATGTTTAGCTCTTCTGGTATATTTACTTGAGATCTGTTGCAAAGCATGAGTTTAGTTAGCAATAACGAATCATGATCCAACCATGTGCAGAATATCGGATTACATCAGTGGCTCAAACCACATAGCACATAAGCATTTAACAGTCAAGAACATACTGACATATAAATTAGTTTGCAAATTTTACCAAGAAATAACATTCACATAAGTGGCAAAGCATAATGAGTAACTTCACATTATAAAACAGAATAAAAGGAAGCTAATCGAATTATGTCCATAGGTAGGGTTTCAAGTTCAACAAAGCAAACTTTCAGAATAGGACACAGATCTATACCCTAAACGAAAATTTTGACCATATACCCTCCGTTTTGATTGAAATTGAGGATTCACCCTGCTGACCCACATGTAAATGACCTTAGATGACTCAAACATGTCATTGGCATAGGAGGGTAAATCCTCAATTTTCCATCTAAACGGTAAATGATCTGATCTCCCGGCCTAAATGGTATTGTCCAAACTCGAAACAGACTTTCTTTAAAGTTCAAGTTCAACAAAGCACACTTTCAGATTAGAACACATCAACACAGATCATAGGCTTAAATGGTACTGTACAAACAGACTAACTAGTTTGCCCCTGGATCATCATTCAGGTTCTTCAATCACCACCAAAAACATGCCAACTGAACATATAACATCAACCACCATCCAATTTCGCATCACTATCAGAAACACATCAGAAAAGAAACGATAACGGGCCTCTAGAGATTTAAGAAAAACAACATCCTGCTGTTTTTCTATTTAAAAAACCCACTAATCCATAATCATTTTGCAGCCATTGGTAACACTAATGCATCAATTTAACAATAAATTCACATGCTCCACGGATGATTCCATTGCAACTACAGCACTCCCGAATGTGTTCAAACTGTGAGGAATCAAGGTTTGAGAAGGTTATTCCTTCCTCTCAGATGAACACCACATAACCTCAGTCACTCCACGTTACTCCACGTCCATTCGTGAAACTAATCTAATAGACAAACGTCTCCACATACTGCTACTGGATGTCAATCCCAAACTTCAAATACCGTTCCCAGCATCTGAGAACCCATAGGAAATAAACAACAATTTCAAATCATGAACAACGCGATGCCACTGGATCGAATAGATCGGTCGAATCACCAACCGAAATCCAACATTCCCCCGAATTACGAGCTAATCATCCAGTTCAACGACGAGTAACCAAATGTTTTCGCAGTCAGGTATCTGCAGAACACGAGCGAGAGTAGACACGGGACGGCACATGGAGGTGTAGGGTTCGAGGAGGAAGGAGGGTATTGCGCTTACCCGATCATGTTGATCTTGACGTTGGGCTTGAAGGGGATGGAGGAGATGAGCTCGGAGTCCTTGCACTCGTTGAGCTTGAACTTGGGGTAGAGCAGCTTCTGCCGTTTAGGGAGAACCCCCGTGACCTCGCAGATGCGCCGCTTCAGCTCCCCCAGCGTGTCGTCCCCGACCACCCGCACCGTGTAGTCGTTCCCTTTCCACTTCGCCACCAGCGTCATCTCCTCCGGTGGCGCTGCCTCCGCCACGGCGGCAATCGCCTCCGGGTCCAGCGGCGGGACCGCCGCCGCCGAGGACGAGGACGCCTCCGCCATCGGCTTGGGGTCTGAAGAAACAAGTGGAGGTTTTGGGGGAGGAGAACGAGAATGATGTGTGCTCTACAGCTCTACTGTTCCTTCTGTACGGGGCGGAGAATAACAGGAGGCCAGGCGTTTACGTAACCGCCACTGGAAGGCGGAAGCGGAATTGTTGAACAGCAGATCGAAGATAGCGAACGGATGGGCTAACCTGCACTCAGTGGCGGATTCAAAAATTTTTATGAGTCGGGCAAGTCTAACAACAAATGAGGTATATACAAGCCTATATAATTCATAGATAACTTTAGTATGAACATTTGTTTTAAAAGTTTGTGTTGAGCGCGTTTACTGTTGTACTAGTTGCATTGTACTGTCTTGCCGGTGACTAAGAAAGGTGATTACTAAGATAATTAGGCACTAATTTACTGGTGAATTGTTGCGTGCAGCTGGTGGAGCCAGGGCCATTGCCTGTTCAAGCCGGGCTTTGGCTCCGCCACTGCCTGCACTGTTATTGGAGATCCATACTCCCTCCATCCTATCTTCTTATATAGTTGGTACCCATTAAGAGACATTTACTTCTATAAAGTAAGACATGCAAGAAGCCACATCATCAACAATTTTAAGCCATCAGATCATATTTAGTACAAATTTTATAAAAAAACAAACCTAATACGAGAATACTACGGAGAATGGATTATCATATTATGTTTGTTTTTTATGGGATGAAAAAAGTGTCACCTAGATGTAACACATTTTAGTACTATAGATTTGGATATACTCAAATGTCGTATTATGTTTGTTTTTTATTGACGAAAAAAGTATCATCTATAGCTGCAGTCCAACCATGCGATTTTAGGCTTTAACTCTACCTTTAAAAAGAGCCGAGCATGTTAGAGTGATCTGAAAAGATAAACTAAAAAGATGAAGCGGGATTCAGACTACTCCAAAGCTATACTTGAGATTTCGCTCTTGGAGTTAGCTAGAGTGTTATCAAATAGGTTATAAGGGCATTATAAGTGACTAACTGATGTGGTTGACCCAATTTAGGCCTTGTTTAGTTCCAAACTTTTTATTCAAACTTTTAACTTTTCCATCACATCAAAACTTTCCTACACACATAAACTTTCAACTTTTCCATCACATCGTTCCAATTTCAACTAAACTTTCAATTTTGGCGTGAACTAAACACACTCTTACCCGATCGATCATTCACATAAACTCCTCTCTCTCCCTCCTAACCACGCTCCTCTCCTCTCCTAAGTCCCAACAACGCTTGGCTCGATGACTGGGCTCTAAATTAGATTGTGCTCTGTATGTCTGGTGAACAAAGAGATGTTGTGATTGATTGAAATTAGAATGTAGGTGAAAAAAATGTTACTACTTTTAGGATAAATTTTAAATATTGTGTATTATTTTTTTTTTGATGGAATCCTGAGTACTTGCATTTGCGACTGTAATCTAGACGTTGTGCATTTGAGTAACCATCAACCACTTGTATCTTCAACATTGATTTTGTTATGATGTCACTCCCTTCGTTTTGAACTACTTATTATCTGAGATTTGTTCTAAGTCAAATATTTTCAATTTTGACCATTAATTACTAGAAATTTATATAGCTTAACGACATGTGAATCATATATCATAAAATTGCTTTCTCTAATGAATTTGAAAACATAAACCTAAATCTTATGATGTTAAATTATATGATTTTTTAAAAGAAAATACGGTCAAAGGTAAGAATATTCGACCTAGCTAAAATAATTTTAAATAGAGAGAATTGTATTCATAACAATAAATATATTATTATAATAAAACTAAATCAATTTTTAACACAATTCAACGCGTTAGAAGGGCTAAACAACATGATTTGTTAGTTTGCTAAAATTTGTAGCGCCTAAATCTGGAACAAAACAAATTCCAATGGCATATTTGGTTCGCTGCAATTTCTAACACTATTAGATTTTGGCACCATCTGATTTTGGTAAGATAACAAACCATACATGCTTTAAAAATACCACTATCTTACCAAAAAAATACGCAGCAACAAATTCAAACCTACGCAATACTATAATTTCCCCTTGAAATTCGGAAATGTAACAAACACTTGACTCTACACCCTACCTTGTCAAAATGTGATAATGGCAAATATTTATATTTTGCATGTCTGAGGTTGGCTTCAACATGCCCCTGCCCTGGAGCTTCCTAAAAGTATCCAAAGTGAAATTTAAATAAAACACTAGATATGTGAAAAGTGGTGATTGTTCATTTTTGTGATCGAAAGCTGTTTTTTTTTTCCTTCGGGGATTTTGTTTGTATGTTGAAGTTGGAAAGTAGATGTGGAACCCTAATTGAAGTCGATTTCTGGTAGTACAAGTTTGAGTTGAGAAGTTAGGATCAAACTTGTTGAAAGCTGTGACAGAGCGCCGTTCGCTGGACACAGATCCTGAACGCATCTTCACTCCACTACCCCTGTACAGGCTGTGCATCACACGGGGGTCGTCACGAAAACGTGGCACTCGTCCAGGAGACGGGACGGGGGTCCACCGCCGAAGCAGCGGTCGCTCTCATGGACTCATCGTCACCCGAGGCCCGACCAAGGTCACATGCGCGGATGCGCCCCGCGACTCCGCGACGCCGACGCGATCCACGGTTCCCCGGCTTCCCCTCCCTCCCCGCGTCGCGTCGCGTACGGCATATCCATCCCCAATCCGCTGCGTCCGCTATCCCCCGAACCCATCGGCCACGGCCAGCTGCAGCGCACGCACGCACCGTCCTCGCGCCGGCTGCCCAACCCAAGCCGCGAGTGACACTGCGTGCGTGCCCATCGCGTGTGTCGCGTTGCGTTTGCTTGCGCGGAACGGCGGGAGAGATGGGGCGTCCACACCGTCGTCGGGACTGTGGGCACGGCGCGGCACACCGAGAGAGGTGCCGCATCCAATCCAAACAACTGCACTCCACTGTCCCCACTCCCCCGGCGCGGCGTCTCCCTCCCCACGCTATTTTATACCACCACCACCACCACCGCGTGGTACTTGCTCATACGCCGTATCGACCACCACCCTCGACGGCGGCCATGGCGGGCGCCTCCTCCTACTTCTCGTTGCGGAGGCTACTCCTCCTGCTGCTGCCGCTGGTACCGTTGCTCGGCGCCACCACCGCCGCCGCAGCGGGCGCCAACTCGAGCGTCACGTATGACCACCGCTCCCTCATCATCTCCGGCCGCCGCCGCCTCCTCATCTCCACCTCCATCCACTACCCCCGCAGCGTCCCCGAGGTATGCACCCCACCCCGAACGCCAGCACGCGCGCATTGCGGTGGTACTACCGGTAACCTCGCTGCTCGTGCTCGCAGATGTGGCCGAAGCTGGTGGCCGAGGCCAAGGACGGCGGCGCCGACTGCGTCGAGACCTACGTGTTCTGGAACGGCCACGAGCCCGCCCAGGGCCAGGTCCGGGCCGCCTCTCCAAAATTTGTGATGGATTTAGCATGTTCGATCCGTGATAAACCTGTGTGTTTTGTGTGCGATTGGTGAATGCTGATTGCAGTACTACTTCGAGGAGCGGTTCGATTTGGTGCGATTCGCGAAGATCGTCAAGGACGCCGGGCTGTACATGATCCTGCGCATTGGGCCGTTCGTCGCCGCAGAATGGACCTTCGGGTTTGCCTCTTCGTTATACTGATGCAGTGTCACGATTGGTTGTAGTTGTGCAGAATTATGGTGATTCGATTTCTCTGGGTTGATGGGTTTATCCGTTTATGTGTGCGTGGATGTACAGGGGCGTGCCGGTGTGGCTGCATTACGCGCCCGGGACGGTGTTCCGGACGAACAATGAGCCGTTCAAGGTGTGGCGGGCTTGTGAATTTCGTGGCGTTTTATTTGGGGAGTTTGCAAGTTTGGTGATGGTTATACTGACATTTACTTACGCAGTCTCACATGAAGAGATTCACGACGTACATTGTGGATATGATGAAGAAAGAACAATTCTTCGCTTCGCAGGGTGGGCACATCATCCTAGCTCAGGTCTGGACATTGTCATACTAATCCTAATTGGGGCGCTGAAACATCAATCTGTTTCTATCAACTTTGAGATAGGTGTACTTCACAATTGACGGCAGAATTGGTGCACTGTAGGTTGAAAATGAATACGGAGATATGGAACAAGCGTACGGAGCTGGTGCCAAGCCATATGCAATGTGGGCAGCTAGTATGGCTCTGGCTCAGAATACTGGTGTCCCTTGGATCATGTGCCAGCAGTATGATGCGCCTGATCCAGTGGTTAGTTTCTAACATTCAACACATTTTGCTTAATGAAACATTTCAACCATGAATTGCTCCATGAAACATACTGGCAGTCAGTGTATGGTGTAAAATTCTTTGAAAGACCAGCACATCTGCTATATTTTGTCACTGACAGTGTATGGTATAAAATCCTTTGAAAAGTTTTTTCAAAATCTGAGAGATTGTGGTAGGCAAACTGAACAGTGAACAGCAGATAATCTGTGGCACTTGAAATCGTAACCTCGCAATTGGTGTTTTTGTACTGCTATAGCTATCAGGATTGTCTTTCCATAACGTCTTCAAGTATTCTTCCCGTCATTGTGTGATTCATAACATCTTGGCATATTCATGTGATTGATACTGATGTAAATAAAGTTTTTGCATATGCAGTAACTTTTCTTTTGCGGTTACACTCACGCATTCAAATTTACTTTTGCAGATAAACACTTGCAATTCATTCTACTGTGATCAATTCAAGCCAAATTCACCAACCAAGCCAAAATTTTGGACTGAGAATTGGCCAGGATGGTAACGATTTTGACATATTAGCAACAGACTCCATCTAGTACTTCTCATGTCTTTATAGCACAATATGGAGTTAATATTGTAGATGTTTTAAAAGAGAAGCTAATTGATGTGCTGCTGCTTGTTTCTTCCTATTTGAATTTAGGTTCCAGACCTTTGGCGAAAGTAATCCCCACAGGCCCCCTGAAGATGTTGCATTTTCTGTTGCACGTTTTTTTGGGAAAGGTGGCAGCCTTCAGAATTACTATGTGGTAATTGCTGTTGCAGAAGTTACATTTTAATTTGATAAAGGCACACTGATAATTGTTTTCTGTTGATTGCACTACCAAAGATTTACAGTCAAGTTCAAGCATCTTGATACATTTTTAGTCATTTGAATACAATTTGTCAGTATGAATAACTAGTGGAAGCTCCATATTTCTGAAAGTTGAATCAAGTTTTCTCTATCCTTTTGAAGTACCATGGTGGAACAAATTTCGGTCGCACTACTGGAGGGCCATTCATTACTACTAGCTATGACTATGATGCACCGATCGATGAATATGGTTTGGATTTATTGCTGTTATTAATTCCATCAAACTATTAAGCCTAAAGAGTTCTTAGTAGTATTAGTTGATCTGAAATGCAGGCCTTAGGAGACTTCCGAAATGGGCTCATCTAAGGGACCTTCACAAATCTATCAAATTGGGCGAGCATACCCTGTTGTATGGTAATTCGTCATTTGTTTCTCTGGGGCCTCAACAAGAGGTAGGTTTTATCGTTATAACCTTTGACCTAAATCTGGTTTCAATATTATATGAAAGCTTGCATCAAAACTTCTTATGGATATTAACTTCAACCCATCTCTGCTGTAAGGAGCATTGTACATTTAAATGCTGCTTATGTCTACCATACTGTAACCCATTGGTGTTTTAATGCACACTGCTATTCACTTTTTGCTCCTGTATTTATCCCCTGATTAAATCATTATTTTCTTCTACCAACTTATGGAATTGATAGTGTCCCATTTTTGCTTGCAGGCTGATGTTTACACTGATCAATCAGGAGGATGTGTTGCATTCCTTTCTAATGTTGATTCAGAAAAGGACAAAGTTGTTACTTTCCAGAGCCGGTCGTATGATCTTCCTGCTTGGTCGGTCAGTATCCTGCCTGACTGCAAGAATGTGGCGTTCAACACTGCAAAGGTATTTGATTTTCTATGTCAATGGTCTTCTGAATTACAACATGCATTGCTGCAAAAAATGTTTTTCTTAAAAGAAAAAAAGCCTTGTCAAAACAAAACGGATAGCACCCTTCTCAACAAATGGAACATGGATAGCAAAGGAATTAAAAAGGAGCAAAATAAATGGCAAATATCAGAATATTTTATGCTTAATCCGAGTTATATAAAAAGTGCCATATTGCACGAAGTTCTTTTCTCCCAAATAATTGTAGCTCCTGGCTCTTCATCTTTAGGTGCGATCTCAAACTCTGATGATGGATATGGTCCCTGCAAATTTGGAATCATCAAAAGTTGATGGGTGGAGCATTTTCAGAGAGAAATATGGGATTTGGGGTAATATCGACTTAGTCCGAAATGGATTTGTAGACCATATTAATACAACAAAAGACTCTACTGACTACCTATGGTACACAACAAGGTTGGTATACTGCAGTCTGTTTCATATATACTACTTCTATTGCAAATAGATATGCATGTAACAATCCAAAAAAGAGATCTTAGTATTGTCCATATTATAAGTTTTTTTAACTATGAACTTTCAGTTAATTATGTGGTCTTTATTCTTTGTGGAATATGCAGTTTTGACGTAGATGGAAGTCATCTGGCAGGTGGCAACCATGTTCTTCATATTGAATCCAAAGGCCATGCTGTTCAGGCTTTCCTGAACAATGAGCTTATAGGTTTGTTGCTTACCCTTACTTTGCTGAGAGACCATCATCAAATCACCATCCAATACCATTTTCAGTTCAGCCGAATCTTCTGAATGCCCAATCATTTCCATATAATCAAAATATATCCCTGAAATGAGAGTTTTATATAATTGTCACCTCTTCTTCTTCATCTTTTTTTCCCCAAAAAGACAACCATATATATCTTCAGCAGCACTTTCTTTGCATATATACACTTTACAGTTCTCTTCAATTATTGAGTTCTTCTGTTTAATGTCATTACTACTTGCAAATCTTTCTTAGGTAGTGCATATGGTAATGGCTCAAAATCAAATTTCAGCGTGGAAATGCCCGTCAATTTGAGGGCTGGGAAGAACAAACTTTCCCTATTGAGTATGACTGTTGGTTTGCAAGTAAGTGCCTACGTTTACTGAGTTTTACATACGAGTGTATGACTAAACTTGAGGCATATCCTTTACATGCAAATTGCTATTTATGGCATGTCAATTGTACCCACTTTTGTCAAAAGAAAGTTCTAACTGTACCCTATAGTTTGTTAAGCCTGCTATTTTAGCTTCAAGTTAAAAATGCTTGAATCATCTGATTGATAAAAACTGTGTGCCTTTTAAGAATGGAGGACCCATGTACGAATGGGCAGGAGCCGGCATTACAAGTGTGAAGATCTCAGGAATGGAAAACAGAATAATTGACTTGTCTTCCAATAAATGGGAATACAAGGTACAAGATTGTTGAATTTGTTCAGATATTTGTGTAATGAACTCAATTGATGATAAAGTAGTATACTGTTCCTTCAAAGCCATTCTATAATTTTTCTCCTCTCTTTCTATGTACTTGGGTTTGCTTTCTATGATGACATATCCAGTATTTGGGGCAAGGTGAGGTGTAATGTTTATGTGAATCTTATGTATTTGTTGGTAGATTGGATTGGAAGGGGAATATTATAGTTTGTTCAAGGCTGATAAGGGGAAGGACATAAGGTGGATGCCACAGTCTGAGCCACCAAAAAATCAACCAATGACATGGTACAAGGTAGCCTTCTTCGGTCTATATTTTCCATACGTGTTTTTCTCATCGTACTACTTGCGGTAAACTACTAATGCAACATACTTCTAGGTAAACGTTGATGTTCCCCAAGGAGATGATCCAGTTGGATTAGATATGCAGTCTATGGGGAAAGGCCTGGCTTGGTTGAATGGAAATGCCATTGGGAGGTATTGGCCCAGGATAAGTCCTGTCAGTGACAGGTGTACTTCCAGTTGTGACTATAGAGGAACGTTTTCTCCAAATAAGTGCAGGAGAGGATGTGGGCAGCCAACTCAAAGATGGTATGTGACGATTTTTGGCACAGCTCACAATACCTTTTTTTTCATACTTCTCACATTTCACATTTCTGTTTGCATTTGGTCAAGGTACCATGTCCCACGGTCATGGTTTCATCCATCAGGAAACACCCTTGTGATTTTTGAGGAGAAGGGAGGGGATCCTACAAAGATCACATTCTCAAGAAGAACTGTGGCAAGTGTGTGCTCCTTCGTGTCAGAGCACTACCCTTCCATTGACTTGGAATCCTGGGATAGGAATACCCAAAATGATGGTAGAGACGCAGCAAAAGTACAGTTGTCTTGCCCCAAGGGTAAAAGTATCTCTTCTGTTAAGTTTGTGAGTTTTGGAAACCCCAGTGGAACCTGCAGATCTTACCAACAAGGAAGCTGCCACCATCCGAACTCAATATCTGTTGTTGAGAAGGTAATATGCACAGTTCTTGCACAAAAAGTGCACATCTAATCTAAAACTTGAGAGCCTTTGATTCTGACTTTCTGATATACGTCGATGCATGTGGATTTAGATCCATCAGTTCTGACTTGTAGCCATAGAGCAACTGGAATTATATTATGTTTTTACTGTTCCAAACCAGGGAACACTGGGTTGGGCACATAGGAGGGTAAAAACTTTCCATTTCAAAGGAGCCATGAGTTCCCTATGAGTTGTCCAATAACTATTTCTGGACTGAAGTTATATGGAGATCTTGATATTACTGACCATCAAACTTTATAATTGTGCTGAACTGTTGTTTACTTTATCTTGGCAGGCCTGTCTGAACATGAATGGCTGTACCGTCTCCTTGTCAGACGAGGGATTTGGAGAAGATTTATGCCCTGGGGTCACCAAAACACTTGCGATTGAGGCAGACTGCTCTTAAGGAGTTTAACTCAGCAATGAGATCCATCGCTACAGATTCGCTCATCAACTTGAAGCTTATAGTGCTTGGTACAGTAGCATACTACAACAACTTCGAAGTGAAATCCTACCTAGATTTAGATTACGACCTGTTATGAGCATGATTTGGCACTTTGTTTCTTTGACTTCTCTTTTGCTCAACAATATGTCCAGGTACCCTTGACGGGTCGCCATTGTGGATGCTAACCATCCACCCGAGCAAAGGAATTAATTGCACTGCATTCCCAGGTTTGCAATGGACTACTGTATGATTCAGAAACATGAAGGCATGAACGAGCTTCTATGAGCCCAAAAGGAATGGGATATAATATAATATGATATATTGCGATGCCCATGAAACATTTCATAATTGTCATTTTCTTCGTGTTTAGACTTGCTGATATGTAGACACCAGATCGCACTGGAGAAAGTTCTTGGATTGCTCTCTTCATGTTGTGTCGCGTCATGATATTTCTGGATTAACCTGTGAATGAATCTATGGTTGAGGCAGCAGGTGGTCAACACAGTAGTTCATCTCTCGTTATGATTGGGGAGACAAAAATAAGTTGCTCACTGTGCGGGTACTGTGATGTTGCTAAGATCACAGTGCGGAAGAAACCACTAGCTTGTGGCTCCATTGGCCGTAGATTCTGGATAAGATTAAGTAAGATCTGCATTCCATTCCATGGCGTACGGAATGGATGTTATTAAATCTTTGATTAGCCATGGATTAAGGAGCCGGGGCCTTTGACTGGATGCCGCTTCATGTTTTCCTTGTCATGTGAGTATTATTTAGGGGCCCTCGAATTAAGTCCTAATCACCCACAGCCTGTTCCCTTCCTCTTCTCCCTTCTTCCGTAGTGGTTTCATGACTCCATTGATAGGCCATGGTACTTGTACAGTATCAGGGAATAAATAAATATTGGAGGAATCATCTCCATCGAAAAGGAAAACAGAGATTTCATTCTCCCTTGTTCCAATCTCTTGCAATCATGAGAGTGATTTCTGTTGAGTGCTTCAGTTTGAGTGATTTTTGTCTGCCGTTTCAGTAAGGTTCGTGAACCAAAGCCGCCGAAAGTACACCGCAAAGCAATTCAGAGAGAAAAATGATTCCAGATTGGTTTCAGTAATCTCAACTCCGCTTTAAATAATATGGTTTGATCGTGAAATCACATAAAACTATGATTGAACGATGGTTTTCATACAATTATTCCATTTTGATTTGATTGATCCCTTGGTGTTTATAATGTCATGAGAGAGAGGAGGCAATAAGGGTGTATAGTATATGAACAACGAGATGAGGAAACCAATCAAGAAGATTGAATATGACATGTAGGGCCCACCACTGATGATATCTGCCGTTGATCAACTACGGGACATGGATCGGAACAGGAACAACAGGGAAACCGCATCCCCTTTGGCTGGTGAAGAATAGGAAATCACAGTTTCTATTGGAATTCATCGATAGATGGCTAGTTGAAATTTGAAGCGCGAAAAGTTCGTCAATGGACATGTAAGAATTAGGATACTAGACAACATTGGTTGTTGGGAACAATATTCGGATGTTAGGTTTGAGAGGTTGGTGTCAATTTTTGAAAGCCCCATATACCGGTTTGAAACGCTTGGTACTTCGTGTACGTGCACCAGCGGGCACTCAGTAACCATCATATGTTTGGTTTCCTAGAGAAAAATGGACTCGAGGTTTGGATAATTGGGTTGGAAATATATGCAAAGTGGTTCATGTCATGGAGAGAGACACGTTATATTTTCAGTAAAACGTAACGAAAATACCCTCCAAATATTGTGTACATACACTGACATTATGACATGCGTATGGTTTTGTATAGTTAAATGTGGATAATTTAGAAAAGTACCTTGTGGAATCATCATTTGTGAAACATACAAGTATTTAAGAAAGCAGAGGCAGAGCGTATTTAAACACATTGCTCTCTTGTTTTTCCATCATTGACTCATTCGAGTAATGATCGGTGACATCTCAGCGAACAGAATCTTTTCTCTTACTCCGGCAAGTTCATTCCAGAAAGATAAAAGAGTATTTGCCGAAAAAGCATTTCCCAATAAGTTTCAGGCTCGAAAACCATCTTGTGCAAAATTTAAAGTTCTTGCAAAAGATTTTATCCATTTAGAGCCTTGTAAGGTAAGTCTTCAACATTGTATTTCTGAAGACTAGCCAACTAATTTGTTTTTGCTAAGATTAGCCCGGCTGTTCATCTGTCATCCACTTATTAATTTCAGACATTAAGCAGTATTATGACTTGTGAGATAATGCATACAGGTGTGTATTGAATACTAAGGACTGTACTAGCGCATTGGAAGAATATCCAGAATAGATTGCAAGGCAGGCCCAGCCATTTCTCCGCTCTGAGCAATATTAGGATATACTAATTGCAGACCAAGCGTGTCGTACATATATATTGTAATAGCAGCGGGCATTGCATGATTTGGTGTAAATATGCAGGGCCCGGGACATGAATGATTTGTGCTATCTTTTAACACAAGCCTCTCATCTGAAGATTGATGCAAGTAAAGATAAGGCTCCCTGTGGTGAACCAGTGTGTCCGGTTCGGTGCGTGGGTGATTCTCCATGTTTTGGGCTTTGCCCCTGTGGTGTGAGAGCCTCGGGCTCTCTTTTTCTTTTTTCTGTACAGACTCTGAATTTTTCTTCTTCTTAATACAAAGTTTGGCCGGCAAAGCCGGCCCGGCGACAAGATAAGGCTCCCCCTTGTAGCAAGAAAGATTGGCAACTTTAGCAATCACATCCTTGAAGATTGGGGGGGGGGGGGGGGGGGGCAGAAGTTTCTTGTTTATGCCACTTGTTCAAAACTTCAATCAAACAATATATCACAGATCAATCAGAGCCTCTTTTGTAAAGATAATCTGATGGAATGCATACAATATTTGAACAAAAGAAAAATTAGTGGTTCTGCTTCTGCATAGTTTGGAGGTTCTATAGCCGTCTAGGCAAAAAGGCAGCTAGATATCTTTCCCCAATCTGCCGACACTTGAGTGGGAGACACCTCTGTTAACTATGATGTCGTATACTGATGTTGCATCAGGTCGTTTCACAGGTACCAACAAAGACATGAAGGAAAACCAAGTTAAGGGAAAGGAAGAAAGAAAATGATTCCAATAGTTAATTGCTCGGTTTACCTTGGAGCTCATGGATTATTTGTGATTTGGACGCCAGCAGTGTGCGTGCCAAACTGTCATCACATTGCTCTAATCCTCTTTTGTGATAATCCTAATAGTTTGAAGAGATGACGTAACGAAGAATCTAATCATGCTCTCCTGGCTTCGAGTCCGACCTACAATATCATTGTCAAGTGACTGTATTCTAAGCAACATTTACTATTATACAGTTTCCAGTAGGAGGGCAAAGGACAAAATCGAAGTCATCATCAGCTAGGGAGACATATCTTAATTTTCTATCAGGAAAAGGCAAGCCCAAAGGAGATGAAAATACTACGCACCTAGATAGGCTCCAACAACTTGTAATATACAGGCCAATGATTTGCCAAACGAAATATATATATCATATTGTGAACTTTTTTCTTGAGAGATATCTGTATATTTTCGGAGGGGGGGGGGGGGGGGTCCCCTGTCTAGCCAATAGCCACAACTTTAGCATTTTTGGTAAGTCCTTGGTAAGTATAAAATACTATTCTTCATTGCATACACAACTTTTCCATGATTGTACCACCGATAGTTCGGAAAAAAAAAGAAAGAAAATGTACCAATTCTGAAAAATGGAGATATCAAATGTTCAAGTTAACCTATGAACAAATTTAATTAAAAACAATTTATTTATTCATCTACTTGTTTGAGAGCTAGAAATTTCATTGTTGTTTCCCTCTTTGCTCAGTTTCTCCCGATCAAGTGACAAGCCTAAAACTTGAACTCAAGTGAATAGGTTCCACTAGTCTAACTAGTTAATTGAGCTACACTTATTTCGCTCCATCTAAAAAAATCCTCAAATAGGATTATTTCAGTATGGTCCAGTGTTTTTCCTAGGTTGAAGAGATCTAATTTTGACAAATAAAAAATATATCATCAATTAAATATATTTTCTTGCGGGGAATATCATCAACTATATATGATCCTGGGTATATCGTTTTCAAATGCTAAGAACGAAATTGCTAAAGAGAAAATGACCAAATCATTGGATTCTTTTGGCTTCAATTTATCATTGGATCCCCCATGTTCTTGTCTCGACATTACTCCCAGTATTTCTTCGAGTGAAATAGCATGGATGCAAATGCTGATCCCATCACAACTAACAAAGATACATAGCACATGATTGCTCACTCACCGCTGACAGAGCTAAGCGATTCGGATCTTCTTTTCCACTGGGTCTACACAATTTCACCCCAACTTCCCCCTTCTGTAACTAACATTCGTTTGAGTGTCCAAATCACGAATTAAATGTTGATCTGATATGAAAGCCATCCTATGTGTATTCGAACAGCTCTCAGGGCTGAAAATAAACTTTCATAAAAGTAAGATTTTTTTGCTTTGGGAAAGCCAAGGAAGTGGAGGATCAATATAGATAACTATTTGGCTGTAATTCTGGATCTTTCCCGTTTAGATATCTTGGTATTCCTATTCATTATCGGAAACTCTGGAATGTTGATTGGAAAGGAGTTGAAGATAGATTTGAGAGGAAACTCAGCACATGGAAAGGCAAAAACATGTCATATGGTGGGAGATTGGCCCTTCTAAACTCAGTTCTTTCGAGCCTTCCCTTGTTTATGTTATCCTTCTTTTGAAATTTCACGAGGTGTGCTTCAAAGACTGGATTACTTTGGGTCACGTTTTTTTTTGGAGTAATGATGACCGGAAAAGAAAATATAGACTAACTAAGTGGGAAAACATATGTCGACCAAAAGATCAAGGTGGACTAGGTGTCCATAACCTTGATATAAAAAATAGCTGCTTATTAAGCAAATGGCTTTTCCAGCTGTTTAATGGTGAAGGCCTATGGCAAGACCTTTTGCGAAATAAATACTTAAAGGGTAAAGCTCTTTCTGGTATGTCTAGCAAGATAGGTATTTCTCAGTTCTGAGCCGGTTTAATGAAAGTCAAAGACCAATTTCTTAGGTTTGGTTCTTTTAGATGTGGCAATGGGACAAACATAAGATTTTGGGAAGACACGTGGTTGGGATCGCGTGCTTTCAAAGATCAATACCCTACATTATCTAATGTGGCTCGAAAGAAGCAGTCTACTGTGGCAGAGGTCATGAGCACAACGCCGCTAAATATCTCTTTTAGAAGAGCTATTGTTGACCAAAAGCTAATCGAGTGGGACGATTTGATCCTCAGGCTAGCTAATATAACTCTGTCAAATGAAAATGACTGCTTTGTATGGTCGCTCCATAAGAATGGTCAATTTTCCGTCAAATCTATGTATACCGCAATCATGAACTGTAATGTTCGGATCAAAAAGAGAATTCTGTGGGACTTGAAAATTCCACTAAAGATCAAGGTCTTTATGTGGTTTCTTCACGAGAAAGTAATTCTAACGAAAGATAACCTGGCTAAAAGAAAATGGGGGGAGACAAACATTGTTCTTTCTGCTATGCACAAGAGACAATCCAACATCTTTTCTTTGAGTGTCATGTCGCTCAGTTTGTTTGGAGATGTGTGTTTTTTGCTTTTAATATCCCCCACCCCGTAACGCCAGAAACATTTTCGGTAATTGGCTTAGAGGGGTATCTAGGTCCATTAAGAAGATGATTGTAATTGGAGCTAGTGCTGTATGTTGGTCAATTTGGCGTTGTCGCAATGATAAAGTTTTTAATGGTAAACAATTATCTAACCCTATGCAGGTTATCTTCATGTCTTCCTACTGGCTCCACTTTTGGTCTACAATGCTACTACAGGAGGAGCAGGATACTATGCGCAATGGTGCTACACTCTTGGAATCGGTAGCCAAGGGTCTCTTATTCCACTATGGGTGGCGTAGTTCCATAAGAATTGCTAGCTAAAATATTTTATGTGGTTTAACGCTAGTCAATAATTAAAGGGGAGTTGGGGATTTGTCCTATCACCTTATTTCTCATTTTGATTTACTTTTATCTTATATTTTTATTACTATTAAACTTATAGCTGTGTGTCTTATAACAGAAGCCGTAGATGTAATCCATTTTCATTATCTAAAAATGTTGATCTGATTTAGACTTGTCATATGGGGGTCAAACCAGTTCACCTTTCATGTTTCACTCAGCCACAGGGACGCCCATGTTGCAGCCTCTCTCGCTGTCACTTCGTCGCTACTACTACCCCTGTCGAATAGTCTTTCTGGTATGATTGACTCATTTCTGTTTTCTGTAGGTTTGTTGTGGATGTCTGCTTTGCTGGGTGAAGCTAGCGTGAGCTAGCCGATGATTTATTTTCCAAGGAATGCGTTGCATTGAATCGTTGGGTAGTAATATGGTCTTAATTCGGCAGGATTGTCGGCCAAAAGTGACCCCCCAACTGCAAGCAACGTTATGGCTTCTTGGACCTTCACGTGACTGTCCCTAGTGAGGCGATTACTACTGAACATAGTGGAGTGAGTGAGTCTCCTGGTACCCTCCTTGCTCGATCTCTGTATATATGTACAAGGATTTCTTGGCAGGTAGATCGGGCGCGTCAAAGTATTGTAACTGCGATCGTTTACTACGTCCGGTTGAGTTACGGATCGTTTACTACGTCCGTTCTGTTCGGCATTGGCTTCCATGAGTTACGGATCGGGGTTTGTTTCGATGCCACATGTCCAATTACGCTCCGGGAAGGGAACATGAGAAACGAGAAACGAGGATAGCCCATCGAACAGAACGGAACCGACCCAAACTAGCGGCGCCGAGCCGAGACGTAGTACGTGACAAAGATCGCGACACAGCGTGGACGAGCAACCGCCGCGTACGCGCGACCTACCTGTGGCTCCTCGCGCGCGCCGAGCCTAGCCGCCACCCGCGCGCACCCCGCGCGTACGTGGTGAAATCCACCCGATGCGTAACACATCCATGAGCAATTAAGTAGATAAAATTACAAACAGATCAGTGTTAGTAAGAATTTAATAAGAAAAAGTTAGTACGTATAGCCTTTTCCCACATCCAGGCCCGCGAGGCAGCCGCAGCGCGCGACGGCAAACGCGGGGATCGCCGTGCTCTCACAAGCCCACACAACCCGCCGGGCCGCGATGGATTGGGCGAATCTCGCGCGCGCAAGCGGGGGGCGCAAAACGTCTCGCCCCGCGCGGTGTCCGCAGGACGAACCCGGTGTGCGGTGCGGAGCGCGGCGTGTGCGACTGTATTACACTACGTAGTAGTACGTGGGACAAACATCTTTGGGCTCGCGCTGCGGCGCCCGCCGCACGGACGATTCGGTGGGGGGTTCACCATATGCTCGTGGCGGCTTGTTAATTCGCCGGGGATTGCATCCTGAATCCTGATCCTGATCACCCACCCCAATCGAGATTCGAGAAGCTAATAACGGACAGTTTGTCCCTCGAATCGCGAATCGATCCGGTTTTCGGTTTCCCTCTACTGTACTGCACGTGTTCGTCGATCGCAGGCATCCTCGCAATCACCCCATCAATCGAGAGATCAGTATATTTTTTACTACAAGTTTACAACCAACTCCAAAATTAATCTACCACGTGAGATCGCATCGCTCCAGATCCGAAGAAGTTACTGCAACTACCACTACACCAACAACTACAGCATGTCCAACGCCCCAGTGGCCACTGGTGGTCAGTTCGTCACGCACCTTGGCTCCAGACCCTGCGACAGAATACGTACGCACCGCTGGCAAATTTTGTTGCCACCCTTACTACACAACGTGCTCATTCAATTTCCATCGGCCCGGACGATCAAGATCGGTACGTGTATGTGTACCCGCCTACACGTCCGTATACGTGGCGTCGCGTCTGCACAGAGATGGACCAGGTGGCGATGGCCATCGACCGACCGATCGATCGCCATCTCCACCACCAGCTTCGCACATGCGCACACGGCCGTGACGAGACGACGCGCTCGGGAACAGAAGAATCCAAGGCGTTTGCATGGCCATTGACTAGAAGCGTACGTGCCCCGCTCGCAGTTTCTAAAATCCAATCGAGTACGCGTAGTAGCTCATATAATTTTATATGACAATCTGTCTGATAGTGTACAAAGAAAATTTTATATGTGTTGTGGTGACTCAGCCAGCGTGATAGGCTGACAGGCAGCACAGTGCGAGGAGAGCCACTTGATCTGAATGGGGGGATCAAGTAGAGACACACACACACACATCATATGCACGAGCAAAGCATTTTCATTTGGGCCGGTACGGACAAGGCAATAATTGCTAACCGTGCCGTTCTTATTCCCCAATCATTCACCTCCATCAGATAAAACCATCTTGTAATCATGCACTACTGCAACACACAGAACACTCCAGCTCTCGTCGGCCGTACACGCAGTAAGTCTTTGGCGCCTTCTCCCTCTGTAGTTGGCACCTTTCTTCAGGACTATATATTATAAAAAACATTACGACGGCTTTTTACGATTCCGTCTTACGGCAAAAATCCGTTAATGATGGATTTGGTTCTAAAATTATATTTGTAGTACTAGTAGTACCCCTAGATCAGTTTGTGTATTCCAATTTTTGTAACTAAACAAACTAATGAATCTGCTAATTTTTTATTTCTTGTAGCCCATAGCTTAGAACATACTCTTTTTGTAAAAAAAAACACAATCCTAATTACGAAATAGACATGCACTTATTCAAATAATGCTCAGAATTGAATTTTTTTATAGGGTTGTAACCATCAAAATTCTTTTTCTCCTCCACTGGAGAAGTAGATGGTAGGCAGTCCACTCCACTCCAGTCCTTGTCCATTGCCAATTCACCCCTCATGCCGCTATGTCCCCACATGCAATTTTTTCCCTCCCTCTCTCTAAACACCAGTTCAAATAAATGCCCCTACATAAAAGCCACTCTTCTCTCTCACTCACTCACTCACCCACACAGCCACACTCGCTGTGTTTCTCCTCTGCCGCTTAACCACCTCCCTCCGTAACAAACTCCTCATTTCGCTCCCCTCCCTTGCTCTTCTTCTTCTTCTTCTTCTTCTTCCTCCTCCGCGACCACCACCGATCCATCCATCCACCGTGTCTTCTCTTCCCTCTCCAATGGGGAACCCTCCCGAGCTGTACCACCGCATCCTCAACATCCCCAGGGAGACCTCGCCGCAGGAAATCCGCGCCGCCTACAAGAGCCTCGTCAAGAAATGGCACCCCGACAAGCACCCGCCGTCCTCCAAGCCCGAGGCCGAGGCCCGCTTCAAGGCCATCACCGAGGCCTACGAGGTGAGCCCCTAGCCGTGCGTTGCGTGCGTGCGTTGGCTGTAGATTGCGACGGCGTCGTGTCGTGATGTTGGGCGATTCTTGGTTGCGCAGGCGCTCCTTGACCAGCAGGAGAACAGGGCGGTGTTCGGGGTGTGCTGCAACGACGGCCGCGCGGGCGAGAAGGCCATGGCGTGCGGCGTGGTCGGCGGCGGAGGGGCACACATCGCGAGGACGCGCAGCGACGACTTCGGCGCGAGGATGGCGCCCGGCACGCCGGCGAGGGAGTTCAAGAAGGTGTACAGCTCCGGCAACTCCGGCGGGCGGCGCGCGTTCGCCGAGTTCTCCAGCTCAATCATGCGCAAGGCGCCGCCGCTGGAGCGCAAGCTCGACTGCACCCTCGAGGAGCTCTGCCACGGCTGCAAGAAGGAGGTCAAGTTCACCCGCGACGTCGTCACCAAGAACGGGTATACCCCTTTCTTCCTCCACCTAATCCGTGAGCCAAGATTGATTGGAGCTTTCACCTGAATTCTGGCGAGCAATCGCTTGTCATCCATCCATCCATTTTCCTCTTTTAAAACTAACAATTCGATGCAACCGGAACAACCCTGATGTGATTCGCTCACTTGCATGCCAATTTTAATGGATCGATGCTTGGAAACTTCAGAGTAGGCAAGAATTCAGAATTTGTTCTGATGGCGACATCCATTCCGCTTTGTGCCTCCCCAATTCTCTGCACTGTTCGGAACAAAATGATCCATGAACAGTGAAACAGCACGACCACTTCCTTCCTTTCCAGGCTATGGCGCACTTCTTTTTTACAGTGGAGGGTGACTGCTTTATTATAGCCTGCATTTGTCAGTGGAATATTTAGCTTACTTTGGAACACATGAAAACCTTTTTACACAAGTTCCCTTTGGTGTGTACCTTTTCTCTTCCGGGGTATCTATCCTATTCTTGCAACATTATCCTACCTAACACAAAGCATAATAACAGCAGTGTTGATCAGGGTTTAGTACATGTTAAGATCCAATCTTGAGGAGATAAAATCTCAACTCAAGTTGCTTTCGTTGCCACTTATGCGTATACGTGTTTGTCGAGGGCTTAGAATACAGTAGTTTTGGATCTAGCATCTAGCAAAGTGGACCATTTGGGCAATAAGCACTATCCACATTTTCTTTTGCATGTTGATGGTGGTGGTAGTCTAGGAAGGTTCAGTGACAGTGACTATTAAGCACCTTTCCTCCTTGGATTCTCTCTTTCAGTGTTGCTGGACTAATCACCTTCAATGGATTTACAATCTTGGACAGGTCAATAGTCAAGAAGGAGGTGAGCCAGATGGTGCTGGTGAAACCAGGGTGGAAGAAAGGGAACAAGATCACATTTGAAGGCATGGGGGATGAGAGGCCAGGGTGCCTACCGGCCGATGCCGTCTTCGTCATATCGGAGAAGAAACACCCTGTCTTCAAGAGGGTAGGCAACGACCTGGTGCTGAAAGCCGAGGTGCCATTGGTGAGCGCGCTCACCGGCTGGTCCTTCTCATTCAGGCTCCTGAGTGGCAAGAAGGTGAGCTGCTCATTTCAGGATGAGATCATCTGCCCAGGATATGAGAAGATCATCAAAGGGGAAGGGATGCCAATTGCCGATCAGAAAGGAGCACGGGGTGATCTAAGGGTGAAGTTTGAGATCGCGTTCCCGAAGCAGCTTACTGACGAGCAACGCGACGGTCTTGCTCAAATTCTGAGAGGATGTGCATGGGATTGATGAGATTGAAATGCAAGGTCCAAGTGTATCAAATTTTCTCAGCCTTGTGTTAAACAATCAGAATGAGTACATAAAGAGAGATGCCCTTGTATATACAGGTATAATATATGATGAAAACCAAGTCTTCTGTGGATAGTACATGCCTTTCCAGATGAGCTGTATGGGTTTATTTTGATGAGATCTCGCCCTCTTCTTTTTGTCCATATATAATGGCCCATTTAATTAATTACTAACCCCACTTCATTTATTTAAGTATCTAAAAGTGAAGCTTCATACTATCATTCTACTACCGTACCCAATGCCACTCCCACCTGCTATGTCCACCTGTTCTCCAGGCTCATTGTCTTTTGCGAAAAGCACTAACAATCATTCGCCTAATTGTCGATTGTTCTCGTCAGTTACAACGGACGTGCTGGTAACAGCTTTGCCTAATCCCTTCCTTGGCTGATGAACTGCAGCTTTACTTTGTGCTTTTCCCCCCTGCTTTTGCTGCACTAGTTGACAGGCTGCAGTTGCTGAAACCCCAAGGGATTCAAGGGTCATCACACTGCTTACATATGATATGTTGCCAATGGGCCATTTCTTGGGCCAGCGAAGCATCGGCCGATCCGAGAAAATCGACGAACTGGACCACAGCCATGAATAGATCGATCGTTCATACTCGAGTGAAGTGCGAAGAAATTGAATGCGATGATCTAGTTGTTGGATCACAAAGTTGAGAAAAGAGCTGGAATGGTTGTTGGTGCAGTGCAGGCTCCCCCATCAGAATGTTGGGCCCCTGCGTGTTCCTTGATTAGAAAGCACAACCAAATCGTCCCCTGTTGCAGCACGCAGACGCAGTGGTTGGTTGTTGTTTCAATGCCAATTAGCCAATGCACCTTTGGTTAGGCGGCAGCGGCAACAAGCTGTTGATGCTGCGACTCTGCAAGTTGGGGTGATGCACTGATACCACGAGACAAGTAGACAGGCTGGGGCTTGGTCAGTCAATGAGGCCGGTGTGCTGCTGCACTGTGCCTAACCAACCTCCATTTTGCATTGTCGCATCGCACTGTAGGAAATTCGACAAAATTCCCGCAAAATGAACACTTTCTTCTTCTTTTTCCCCTTTTGCTTGACAGGTACAATTGGTACCTGAATATGTTGTGTGAAATCCTATGTTACAAACAATAGTTGGCGGCGAGGAGAACTAGTACTGCATCACCGTCGATGAGATGTTGAGCAGCGGCTCCAGCGCGTCGGCGGAGAACTTCCTCGCGAACAGGAAGCACGCCGTGGTCGGCCGGGAGTTGTACATGCAGGGCACCTCGCTCCTCCTGATGCTCAGGATCAGCTCCGGCGTGACGTCGCCGGCGGTGTACGTCGCCGGGTGCGCGCCGCCTCTGGACCAGTCGACGTACGTCACGGTGCGGTTCGAGTTGTCCGCGCCGTGGAGCATGGCGACGAACGTCGGGAGGTAGTGCTCGTCGGGGTAGCACGACGGCCGGCAGTGCCGCCGGAAGAGCGGGTAGTACCTGGCGTCCGTCAGGGCGGCCACGGCGAGGTCTCGCCTGAGCTCGAACCACTGGGAGCCCTTCCTCCACTGCGGCAGCGTGATGTCCGGCTCCATGCGGCGGCTGTACCGGCCGCGGCACGTCTTGCCCTTGTGGTAGTAGACCTCCACGAAGCTGTGGCGCGAGCCGGTGAGGTAGCCGTACGCCACCGGGAAGCTCTGCACCGGTATGCAGCTCTCGGAGAGGAGGACGAACCGATCGTTGGAGAAGTCCAGCAGCGCGTTCGCCAGCAGCCGCTTCTCGGCGTCCATGAGTGTTATGGATCCCCATGAGGTTTCCTGCAAGCAAGCCATGAAATCGCGAGGATCAGATCATGATGCTTTGCTGCGAATGATGGCGTCGCGCTGTTGTTCGGCATTGTGTTTGTGTCGTGCTCGTGCACCTGGCTGGGGATCTGCCGGCCGTAGAACGGCGAGTCGTCGGACACGTTGAGCACCATCCCGGGCGGCGCGTGGACGTAGATGGAGAAGAGGCCCTCGTGTCCACGGAAGAATCGCTCCCAGAGCGGCGCCAGCGGCAGGACGCCGCGGCCGGCGAGGAACATGAAGGCCACCTTGGGCACGCGCTGGAACGGGTACGCGCCACCGGACGACGCCGGCGCCATCGTAGCGCGCCAGAACAGCTGCTCGTCCGTCATATCGTGCATGAGCCGCGTCGGAGCCACGAACTCCGAGAAGCTACCGCCGCCGCCGCCGCGGTAGCGGTACACGGTGGTGCTCGGGAAAAGAATGTTGGTGTATGTGCTGCAGCACCGGCGAGGCCCGGTGGCCGTCCATAGGCCGGCGACCACGCCGAGCGCGAAGATCACAAGGAACACGACGGCTTTGGCGAGGTAGAGGAACCTCTCCTTCCTCGTGAGCACAATCTTGAATTCATCAGCCATGGCGGCCTTCATGCTTGTCACAGTGGAATGCAACAAAATGCAGACGTACAACACTGTACAATTAGCTAAACGGCAAAAGCTATCAAAGAGTGAATCAAACTACACTATGGCCAGTTCAAAGTACAGCTGCTTCTGCTTGACATGGATGAACAAGGAGAGGAGATTTTAACGACGCCATAGATGATCCATAGCTTGGAAGACTAGCTAGCATAAGATACCAAGATGAACTAGGCCGCACTCCAATCTCCAATTCCTGATTCTTCCATCTGGAGCTTCAAGAACACGAGACACGGACATAGAACGAGAAAGGTATATATACTTTGAGATCAATTTAAGAAAGGCATGAATATACGCAGAGAAAAATGCCAAAAAGAGAGGAGGATTCAAGGAAAAGGAAGTTGCGCTTCTAGGACTGCATGTTTGTTCTTTCAAGGACCATGGGAAGTACTACTACTATTGCTACATATAAGACATGGTGATTTTGTTTACGATAAGGCATATGGATGTGGATTTTCATCCCTCGAGGGGACATCCCCTGTTGTTTGTATGTCATCTAAATAGTTATCATTTTTTTTAAAAACAATTGACAACATAGATTAATATGAAATATATCACTCCACAAACATGCAAGACCAATTGAACTTCTATAAGTTGCAACAAAAATAACAAATTAAACTGAAAATAATTATCGCACATTCGTAACTATATTTGTTATTTTTGTTACAACTTGTAGAAGTTGAATTTAAACTTGCATGTTTGTGGAGTGATATATTTCATATTAATCTATGTTGCCAATTTTTTTTTATTTTTTTATAACTATTTAGGTGACATGCACAAAACGAGAGGATATCCCTCGAGGAATGATTTCATTTTCCCAAGGCATCTCTCTCCTTGATAATGTACAAGAGAAGCTGTACGTCCATGTTGTCGCAGAATGGCAGTTAGTTTCGAGGACAAAGCAAGCATAGAAATCCACTAAAAACAGTGCAGAATGTCCGGATCATGCAGCATCGCAGTCGCAATCTACAAAAACGAATAAAGCCAGCTTGATCTACGCCCCAAGAAATCGTGGATTCTGACCAATACCAATGTGCTTTCGAGACTTCCAATCTCCCATGGCAAGCTGGACTCTCGGTGTCTTCGAGGCTTGGTAGCAGTTGAAAGAGTACGAGTCAGTATTAGGGCCAGATTTGTAGTGGCCTGCTTGGTAGCAGGCCAGCCTTTCAGGAGACGCAGAGACCAAGTGGAATAAGTCTACTTTACCTCTCTTAACTCATGCGCATGGTTGAATTGCATCTTCAACCGCAAAACCGGGTATAATCTATCCTCCAACTCACAAAACCATTCCAAATTGACTCCTTGGACGGTTTGGGAGACGATTTTGTCCTACGTAGCGTCTTTGAGACTCTGTTGACATGCTGAGTCAACACGTGAGCCCCACATGTCAGTGCAAGGTGTGGCCGGTGAAAACTCACCGAGGGAGGAGGAGGCAGTCACCGCCGCGCGGCTTGCACCGCCCACGCCCAACGCCCTCACCTCACCTCACCTCCTCCACCACCCACCGGCCGCCGCCATCAAACCGGCCGACGGAGATGCCCTCGACTAGGACCCCAACGCTGCCGACGCTGCCAACAGCTTAGCTGCCGACCCCAACACCGTCGACGTCGCCATCAACCTGACCGCCACCCTTAACACGGCGGGGAGGGAGGAGAGGAGGTGGCGGCAAGGTCGGAGGAGGGGAGGCCTGGGATGAGGAGGCCAGGGAGGCGGCGGTGCAGAGAAAGGAGATGAGGCGGTGGCGAGGTTAGAGGAGGGGAGGGTGGGGATGAGGCGGCAGAGGATGGGCGAGGGAGGGAAGGCGGCGCCGACAAGGTTGGAGGAGGCACCGACGATGAGATGAGACGCCTCCGCTCCCACCATTCCTGCTGCCTTGAACCGCACCGACACCAACACCATTGACGCTGCCATCAACGCGGCGGGAAGGGAGGATAGGAGGCTGCGGCGAGGGCGCGGATGAGGAGGTGGTGGTGGGGAGAGGAGGTGCCGCAGCTCCCACCATCTTGCTGCCTCGAGCCTCGCCGCCCTGTTGCCCTACTGCTGAGCTCTGGCGCAGATGAGGCAGCGATGGCGAGGTCAGAGGAGGCGTCGGCGAGGAGAGGAGACGCCACGGCGAGATTCCTGTCACCCCACCCCTCTTGCCGTCCTGCTACTCCCTGCGTGGATGATGGGTGCCAAAGTAGGAGCCGGCCTGTGAGCTCCACCCCTCACGCAGCCGACCAGTGAGATCCTCCCCATGCACAGCCATTGGCCGACGAGGTCTTCCCACGCACGCGGCTTTCCCGGCCGATGAGGTCCTCCCCAATGTGTGGCGCGGCCGGCCGGCAAGGTCCTCCCCTGCGGGTGGCGCGGCCTTCCGGCTAGGTCCTCCCTACACGTGGCATGGCCGGCGGCATCGTCTGTGCTAATGGAAGAGGAGAGAAGAGGACTAGATGAAAGAGAGAGAGGCGGGGAGATGAGGTGGAGGCCTACTGGCAAGTGGGTCCCACCTGTGACTCAGCGAGCCGACTGCCACGTCAGACAAAACCACCTACGAAACTGCTCAGGGAGTATATTTGCAACGGTTTTGGAAATTAGGGGCGGGTTATACCCAGTTTTGCGGTTGAGGGATGTGATTCAGCCAGGGGCATGAGTTGAGGGAGGCTGAACAGACTTATTCCGAGACGAAGTTGATAGGCGACGAAGCCCACAGCCCACCTATTGGTGAGATGGTGCGAGCCGTAACTCTGGCGCGCTCGCGCCGGTCCATGTCACGTCAAGCAAATCAGGATTACCGGTTCTATTCATAAGCACGCTGCTTGCTATTATTTAGCTGAATTTTAATTAATATTGTATCATGTTTTTATCATATTCATATTCATTTAAGTTTGAGATTCGTATTAGAATCAAATTCCTAGTTATATTTTTAATTTTGAATTTTAATTAATTGGAGTTTACACGGACTCTTCTTTTATTACTACTACTATGTTATTATATTTTATTCCGAATTCTAGCGATTTATGTATTTGAGTTTAGAGTTCTTGTCGGAATCGAAATTCTTCTAAAAAAACCTAATAAAAACATCTGCCGAACCTAACATAGTATGCGGATCATTGTGGATAAAAAACGGTGGCGAGAGAGAGAGCCCGTCCCTAATTAACCGCCGTTCCTCTCGCGCCTCACCACCGAATCACCCTTTTGCCTTCGCAATTCTGGGCCTGCAACCACATCGCTTCGCCGCCGTATCCCTTCTCTTCTTCCTCTTCTCCGAGCGCTCGCATCGCACCGCAATTCAATGCCCGCGCTTCGGTGTGAGATCGACCTAGCCGGCCTCCCTGACGACGATTGAAGATCGAACCTACCGTGTAAGCTCGTTGATTCTGTTGACGCCTTGTTTTTCTTTTTTTTTTAGGGTTGTTGACGCCTTGTTGATTGATTCATGGTAAATGTTGCTGTTAGTTTGATTGGTGTACTCCCTTGCAGCATTGCCTTGATCGATGAGTTTTAACTGCATTATTAATAGTTAATTCTTTTCCTAATTTGTTCTCGGAGATGAATTGACAAATTCAATCACAAGCTAATGCGGGTTGTTCCCATGCAAGTTCAACATAACATATCCTGAATATATTTTTGTTGAAAAAATATCATACGGAGTATTCCGAATCATATACATGTACTTGTATGTTTTTTTCCGTATAACACATTATCCAAACAATTTTACTACAGAATATTTTTCTTAATATATCTCTCGTTAACTAACTCTTGTCTTAATCTTACATATACAGTGCAAGATCTTGTATAGTTTGCAAAATCCAGCTGTCTAACGAAGAACATGTAAAAGATCTTGTATCTGCATGGATTTCGATGCGACTACCTAAAGTGCCAGGTAAATAACTGAAATAAGCTATCCATAAGCGGGGAATCCAGTACGACGATGGCTGTAGGAACAGAGAGTGGCTCGGGCGGCGTAGCCGAGAGCGCCCCCTCGACGCCAATGTCGGCAATGACAACAACGCCCATATCGGCGAGGTCGGTGAGGTGGGAGAGCGACATGCCGGACATCGAGGAGGGAGGCGGCGGGCTGGAGCGGCCGCTGCTGCGCCGCCGCGGCACCAACACCACGTCGCAGATGGCCATCGTCGGCGCCAACGTCTGCCCCATCGAGAGCCTCGATTACGAGTACGTGTGTCAATCGTGACATCTCTGCCTTCCTCTCTAACTCTCGCGAGTTTTTTTTTTCTTTAGGCCTTGTTCAGTTAATCCGCGAGGGAGGATTGGAGGGGATTTATTCCACACCTATCGCGGTGTGGAATTATTCCCCCTCAATTCTCTCCAATACTTTTCAATCTCCTTTAAACCGAACAAGCCCTTAGAGATTCATGGTACCGGTATTTATTTTCGATTAGATTTGTTTCGATGTTTCATGTATGTTTTAATATCTATTTTTTATTATAGACGCGCTTCATGCTAATGATGGAATACTATATTTGGTTTGACTACTTCCCAAAATGGTTGAACTTTTTAACTTTGACCGTCAATACCAATTTAGTAGCTTTATAAAATATAGTAAATTTGGTATTTACATGCACTTTCTGAAAGACGTAAAATTTGTCTTATAAAGTATAATAAGTTTTTTTTTGGAGCGGACGTATAATAATTTTTTTATACAATGATAGTGCATACGCCATTATTTTTGTTTATAAACTAATTAACTAAGCATTTGAGAAGTCAGTGACTGTCAAAAGTTTTACTTAAATCTTATGACTAGAGATAGGATAATTTTACAAGGGACAACCCAAAGTATGTTATTATGAACACTAGTTTGAGTTTGACTACAATTTTACAAGTGAGGTGATCAATGTAAGTGTGGTAATTAATGGATTTTCCATATTGACTAATGATGACACAGACTTGTGGAGAATGAAGTGTACAAGCAGGACTGGAGATCAAGGGGGAAATTGCAAATCTTCCACTATCAGATCCTTAAATGGGTCCTAGCACTTCTTGTTGGATTAATAGTTGGCCTAATAGGATTCTTCAACAACATTGCCGTCGAAAACATAGCCGGGTTCAAGCTGCTCCTGACGACCAATCTAATGCTCCAGAACAGGTAGAGTCCACCCTTCCAATGCGGTTCATTGCAATTGATGAACAAAACCAGTCAAAAATTTTTTTTGAGCTCAACATTTCTTGGTACTTTAGGTACAAGGCGGCCTTTCTATGGTTTATCAGCTGCAATGCAATGTTGGCAGCAGCCGCTGCAGCATTGTGCGCTTACTTTGGCCCAGCGGCTGCCGGATCTGGCATACCTGAGGTGAAGGCCTATCTGAATGGTGTCGACGCGCCGTCCATCTTAGCGCCCAGTACCCTCTTCGTCAAGGTATGTATGATCCTGATTGAAACATTCAATCTTTCTAACTCTAATTTGATCATCACGACACCGATTTTCGATGTGCATTGGATCATGTTGGTGAGCTTTGTACTTGCAGATTGTTGGGTCTATATTTGGGGTGTCTGCTGGGTTTGTGCTGGGCAAGGAAGGTCCTATGGTGCACACTGGGGCTTGTGTTGCCTCCTTTCTAGGACAAGGCGGGTCGCGCAAGTATGGCTTCACTTGGAATTGGCTCAGGTACTTCAAGAATGATTTGGACCGCAGGGATCTGATCACCTGTGGAGCTGCAGCAGGAGTTACAGCAGCCTTCCGCGCCCCTGTCGGCGGTGTCCTCTTCGCACTTGAAGAAGCAACATCCTGGTAATTCCCCAAAATAAAAACCAAGTTGCATCTGAAATACCATTTTGCCAGATATGCTACAGTACACCCAGCATGTCTTTTGAATTGTCAATTGTAATCTTTGCACATTGTCAATTGAAAATCCACATCCCAATTACTCAATTGAAACTATTAACCTTTGCGCTTTCTCAGGTGGCGGAGCGCGCTTCTCTGGAGGACATTCTCCACGACAGCAGTGGCGGCAATGGTGCTAAGGTCCCTAATAGAGTACTGCCGCAGCGGCAACTGTGGCCTGTTCGGGAAAGGAGGGCTGATCATGTTCGACGTAAGTTCACAGGTGACATCATACACCACCATGGATCTCGCCGCGGTTGTGCTGCTCGCCATCGTCGGCGGGCTACTTGGAGCACTCTTCAACTTCCTCCTCAATCGGATCCTTCGTGTGTATAGCTACATCAACGAGTAATCTTCACCCGAATCAATGCATTTCAAAATTTTCAATCATCTGTTGCAACTTCGGCAAGATGATCACTGAGCTTTGCATGCATTTGGGTTAATTTTGCAGGAAAGGCGCGCCGTACAAGATCATTCTTACGGTGGTCATCTCGCTGGTCACCTCGTGCTGCTCCTTCGGCTTGCCGTGGCTGACGGCGTGCACGCCATGCCCGCCGGAGCTGGCCGCCAGCGGCCACTGCCCGACCATCGGCCGCTCCGGCAACTTCAAGAACTTCCGGTGTCCGCCGGGGCAGTACAACGCCATGGCGTCGCTGTTCCTCAACACCAACGACGACGCCATCCGCAACCTCTTCAGCGGCGGCACGGAGAGCGAGTTCGGCGTGCCCATGCTGCTCGCGTTCTTCACCGCCGTCTACTCGCTCGGCCTGGTCACCTACGGCGTGGCCGTGCCGTCGGGCCTCTTCATCCCCGTGATCCTCTCCGGCGCGTCGTTCGGCCGGCTGCTCGGGAAGCTGCTCGGCGTGCTCACCGGCCTCGACACGGGGCTCTTCGCGCTGCTCGGCGCGGCGTCCTTCCTCGGCGGGACGATGCGGATGACGGTGTCGGTGTGCGTCATCCTCCTGGAGCTCACCAACGACCTCCTGCTGCTGCCGCTCATCATGCTGGTGCTGCTCGTCTCCAAGACGGTGGCCGACTGCTTCAACAAGGGCGTGTACGAGCAGATGGTGCGCATGAAGGGGCTCCCTTACCTGGAGGCGCACGCCGAGCCGTGCATGCGCAGCCTGGTCGCCGGCGACGTCGTGTCCGCGCCGCTCATCGCCTTCTCCAGCGTCGAGAGCGTCGGCACCGTCGTGGACACGCTGCGCCGCACGGGGCACAACGGGTTCCCGGTGATCGAGGACGCGCCGTTCGCGCCGGAGCCGGAGCTGTGCGGCCTCGTGCTGCGCTCCCACCTCCTCGTGCTCCTCCGCGCCAAGACCTTCACCGCCGACCGCGTCAAGACCGGCGCCGCCGAGGTGTTCCGCAAGCTCGCGCCGTTCGACTTCGCCAAGCCCGGGTCGGGCAAGGGCCTCACCGTCGACGACCTGGACCTCACCGAGGAGGAGATGGCCATGTACGTCGACCTCCACCCGATCGCCAACCGCTCGCCGTACACCGTAGTGGAGAACATGTCGCTGGCCAAGGCCGCCGTGCTCTTCCGCCAGCTCGGCCTCCGCCACATGTGCGTCGTGCCGAGGACGCCGGGGGTAATAGAGCTTACCAACTTAGCTGAATCCTACATGCTTTTCCGCCATTTTTGCATCTGAATCTTGATGATGATTTTGCAGAGGCCGCCGGTGGTCGGGATCCTGACGCGACACGACTTCATGCCGGGTTACATCCGCGGGTTGTTTCCGAACGTCCTCCGTGAGTAGCGGCCATGGCGAGCGCGCGAACGAATTCTTTTGCACATATCTTTTTTTTCTGCTTTTGGACCTTATTACCAACTGGAGTAGATTAGCTTAGATTTGATGTTTAATTAGCACCCAAGTGAACGAGCGGTGGCTGCAAAATTCTATGAACTCGCAAAGCCTGAGAGTGAGAGTTCAGCTATATGAGGTGAGAATTAAATGTCATAGGTTTAATGGAGCTTTGTAATTAACTGATGATCTTTTCGAAAAAACAACTCGTCGATGATGCCGATAATGAATTTGATTTCAGTCAATTTGTTGGTGTAATTATGTGAATGGAATAGTCTTGGCGTAATCACTCTCAAACGCATGCAGTGGCTTTGCTGGTATCATCATCAGCGGACGCCGTTGTCGCTACCGTTGTGAAATGGCAATCGGTCAATTGCAGTGATTTGTCACTGCTAACCGCTCATATTCTAGCCGAAGCTAAGACAATTTAATTGGTGTATCTAGCACTTCGTACACAAAACTGTCATATCTTGTTAGCCGAAGCTGCTCCTATCTGTTCTAAATTGTAGATCGTTTAGGTCTCTAGTAAGTCAATTTTTTTTAAAAAAATATAGCAATATTTACATTTATAAGGAAATTAATATATTAATGTTTGGTTTTGTGAAAAGGTTGTTTGAATTTATAAAAAGTTTGCTTGGATTTATGAATAATTTGCTTGAATTTATGAAAGGGTTGGTGTTGTGAATGTTAGTATTTTTTTTATTTATAAAACTAGTCGAAATCTAAAATCTTATAATATGGAAGGAAGGGAGTACACAACAACCAACGAGCGGAAACACCGAGTATTCATTTGAAATTCAAGAATTTTACATAAATTTTGCAAGAAACAATTCAATTTTGAATTTTGTAAAAAAAAACAAATCAATTTTCTTATGGAAACAGAAGAACTGTCCACTATCCTGATGGGATTAGAGATGAATTTTACTCCATAGAACAAACGAATAGCATATATTTTTTCCCTTTTTTTTCTTTTGATTGTCTTGTACCTTCTTTGTACAGTTGGACACTCGAACGGAACGGCATTGTGCCCAATGTTGCAGACAAGCATTGGGCCCACATGCCATTGTCAACATCGCCGGCCAGCCTATCAGCCACATAGACCAATCAGGCCAAGCTGTTGGCCAGATGGCGCGAGAACGGAAACAGCCAAATCTGAATGAGATGCGCGCCTTCCTTCTCCTTCTCCGGCCCGACCTCCCACTCCTCCTCGACGCGCCTCTTCTCCATGTCGAACGCCACGAGCTTCCATGGCGTCCACAGGTACACCATCTCCCTGTCCGGGTGGAACGCCATGAACAAGAAGGTGACGGCCTGGCAAGCTCCGCTCGCCTCGCCGGCGACGAGGTCATTGACCCCCAGCTCGTGCTTCAGTGCCCACTCCGATGTGGCCGCGTTCTTGAGCTCCCAGAACTTGAGGCGCGTGCCGTCGCTGGACGCGTACCGGAGGCGGCCACGGCAGTGCCCGGCGCGCGCCCGGCAGCTGACCGGGGCCGGGAGCGCGGTCACCGCGCACGCCATGGTCCCGAGGTCGATGCGGACGACGTGGCCCGAGTAGGCCAGCACGTGGATCGCGCCGTCGAAGTAGTGCATGGTGGCCGACATGGCGTCGGTGTCGAGCCCGAAGTCGAGCTCGTGGTCGCGCCACGCGCCGCCCTCGGAGTCGAACACCTCGACGGACGCGCCGCGGGGGAGCCACCCGGTGAAGCACACCACCCTGTAGTGCGGGGACGCGGAGGGGTCGAACGCCAGCACGGACAGCAGCGTCTTCCCGCGCGGCGGCGGCAGCCTCGCCCACCGCCGCGTCGTCGGGTTCACGACGTGGAACGCCGCCGCCGGTTGCGATGCGTAGTACAGCAGCATGCCGTTGCACCCGTCGATGATGGTGGACGTCTCGTGCCCGGGGAAGAATCCCATGTCGGCCTCCGCCACGCCGCCGCCGTGGTCACCACCCCCCGACGCGCACGCGTACGTGTACGCCTGCCTCCTCCTCCCTTCGCCGCCGCCGCCGCCGCCGCCGCCCCGGCCTTCCTGGTACAGCACACCGGAGGTGATGAGCGGCAGCCTCCGGCGGAGGTAGTCGCCGGAGATGAGGCGCCGCCACGACGTGGCCACGCACTGGAACCTCGCCAGCGACTTGTACGGCAGCCTCACCAGAATCTCCGTGAGCATGTCCTCCCCAATCTCGCCGTCCATCTCCTCGATTCCTCCTTTCCACCTACTGATCGACCACCCTGCACCTCACCTCACCTTACAACTCCAAGCTATCGCTTCCAAAACAACAGTAGCAACAACATCCAAGAATTAATGGCAACGCAAGCGACGCACATATATTAGCAAAGCCGTTGGGCTAAAAATCAAGAGATTATGCAGCTTCCGAGTGGTGCACAAGAACAGCATGAGTATTATCTGTACTCAAAATGGATGCTGCTGCTTGCGAATGCGGAGAACTGAGTCGATGCCTTGCCGTTCCGCGCTGGACATATATATCTGCGTACGCCATTCGGATTTGGGATATATCGTCGGGTTTCTGCTTCGTTTTTTATTGAGTGTTGTGGCGGGACGCGAGGATTGCTGCGTCTGCAGCGTTGCTTACGCGTCCTTTTGGGTTCAAAAAGGAAAATGCGCGCCGCACTGTTGTTCAGAAAGAGAAAGATGGATGTTCCACTAGCGCGTCTAACAAAAATGGACGGTTAATTTTCATCATGAGAATTTGATAAACTGAGAAGGAGACATCTGAAGTTAGGTGTGCATGTCTTGCTTCCGTTGTTGTTTCAGAGAGTACTTTAGTATTATACTTGTATGTTACTGAAGGGGATTGCGTGCAGTGAACTGTGACAGTGTGACCGGTAGTCGGTAAATGAAGTGGCCAAAAAAGGAAGGAAAAGAATAAGAAAATGTTGAGAGATCTTTTTTTGAAAAAAAGAAAGTTGGTGTGATTGTGTGGCAAAACAACACGGTCGATCTTCAGAGTCTTTAACAGATACAGAAGAACACTCATCTTCTTTGAAAAAAAATCTTATATGTTCGTTTTTATAAAGGGGCAGAAGAACTTTCTTTCTTCTTGGACTTGTCTCCAAGCAAGTGAACACATAATGGAACCATGGTCAGACGGCCACGTTAACAGTTGGGGCTTATCGCAAGCTGCCATTTGGCGTACACATCTCTCGTCAGATATCCATCACGCCGAGCGGTGCCTACCTACAAAACTAGCTAGCATACACGTATATCTTCCAACCCAATCCTTTTCTTTATTTACATAAAAACAAACAGCAAGATGCAATGATGCACATCGAAAGACCCTTCTGTTTCAGGCTTCAAGGCTGGGATATCTGTTACTTGGACGCCATGCAAATCACAGCTTTGTCGCACTATATCTCGAGCTCTCAAGTCGTCGATGATTTCCTGAATCCAGGAGAGGAATCCGGCGCTTGTCCAGGGCACGAGTTTTACCATGGTCTATGAATTTTGTGTGGATGCCACTCAAAGTTTCATCTTTGATCTTGCGTCGTCCAGAGTTTAATTGGTGCAAACACACCGACGCTGACAGCGACCTGCCTATTGTTCTTGTCTCTGGTTGGGTAACGACGGGTCACGGGCCGGTGCAAGCTGTGTGTTTGCAACGTTTCTTGGAGTGTGCAACTTGGATTCTCTGCCTGGGCCATTCTTGTGCTTGGAAGTTCCAATCATCGTACAGTGCAGGAGCTAAGTTATGTTCATCACTTTGCTGATGATCGATGGCATCGAAGAGAGAGAGAGAGAGACGTGTCATCTGAAGGAAAACGTGTAGGCATATGCCGATTCTGAGGGAGACTCATGTAGTAGTGTTTAAAGTGTATGATATTTTATCTAGTACTGTACCATTAATGAGCATACCCCTGAATTCATTATTCATAAGTGGAAATTCTGTTTGTTTTCATGTTTTCATTTTTGAAAAACAAAAAACATTTCTAAGTGTGATGTTCATACATTGAGGAATGGAAATAAGGCCTTACATTGGGCTTCAAGAGTCAGTAGTGGTCTGGGGGCTCTGGCCTCTGGGCTGATACGTAGCCCTGCCTTGATTGGGTGGGCCAAGTGAGTTATAATCTAAGCAGGTGGGCTCAGATCTTCTGATGCTCGGCTCTTCCCATCACTTCCCATCAGGCACCAATTCCCCAACCATACCCGGATACCCCTAAATAAATTATCGAAACCATAGCACAAATGCAGGCACCAATGCCCAACCTGGCAACCAGTCTGCTGTTTATAGCAATCCAAAGCCAAGATGGCAATTAAGATGTAAGGCATAGTCCCGTACGGACTTCATTCGCAGGAACAAAGTGGTCAAAAGATACGATGAGTAATTTACTCCCAAGCAATTAGATTATGAATGATTACCCAGCTAGGAGGCTAAATCTGCAGCATGCTTTGTTGATAATACAAGTAAACTTTTTTTTTGAACATTTACAAGTAAACTTGAGATAGAGATAACAGAAGCAAGCTTGAAAAATGGAAGCACCTTTTGCGTAAAAAAAAAGGAAGCTATTATAGGTTGTTTTTTTAGCCACCAGCCCACCGTATCAAGTTGCTCCAGACGGAAGAGTGGTATTTAAGGGAATAACAAAAGAAGCAAGCAAAAGTAATGCTGAAGTTGACATAAGAGAATGTCGTACAAAACTGTGGATAACTGGGATATCCATGGGGGCAAGAAAGCCAACAGTTTGCTAATGAAAGCAGATGAATGTATATTCTATGAAACAAGTTGACCAGTAACCAGGGATCACAAATAAGTACTGTATCGTGCAATAGGTAGTCCCTAAAATAAATGTCAGACATCATGGAAGCCTACTTACTTTAATTTATAGATATGTGCAAAAGTCTCCTATAATTTATAGATATGTGCAAAAATGGCTATCAAGAGATCTGGAACTGGAAGCAACCAACAAATTTACAGCAAACCAGTGCAAAGTACTGTTTCAACTAAAAGAGCTGTACATTTGTAGTACATGTTTGAGGTCATTGACTTCATTCAGTACCGTTAGCAGTTATCAATGCGGCCTCTCAAGCTGGAAGCAAACGGAGTACTGCCTTGTAAAGCAACATGATGTTGAGGCCATGTGCACCAGGCAGGAAGGCCACTCAGATTAAGAACATCGAGTGCACAGCGATCATGCCAAGATATATATTACTCCATCTCTTCTTGGAATATACAAGGAAGCACATGGAGGCCTGTCATGGTTCTGAACTTATAAAAGAAATTGCCTGGCTCCAGGTGCATGCACATGCTTTCCAGGTAGATTTGCTTCTACATTCCACTGGAGAGGACCATGCAGCTGACAAAAATAATCTAGCACTGGTAGCTTGCTGCAACTTAAAAATGACCTGGGTACCACAGCCTTTTCCTTTTCTACCCTCCAAACTGAGATCGCCGACGAGTTATAATAACTACACTCCCTTGTGTAAGATCTCAAAGATGCATTGTAATAGATTTTGAATTAGACACCTCAGGCAATTACAAAGCGCAGCCGCAATTATATGGAGTTGATAGGTACATCACTGTATTATCAAAATGGAGGCTATAATGCAACTGCTGAACAGCAACACAAGCCATCCAGATTTTACCCTATCGAATTTTTCAAAATTATATAATCTACAGGTATTAAATATCATGCCTATAGACAGCTTAGCAATCGCTAAACATCCAAAAACAAAACTCAGGAATATTACAGCAAAGCTTCTATTCTCCAAGTCAGCCTGCTTTTCCCGAAATCTTTCAAGTTCTGATCTGCAGAGACACCATAACATGAATCACAAAGTTATAATCATCCCAAGCCGACATAATTATTCATTAATACCAAAGCAGTTCAAGTAGTTTATCTGAACTCTCAATAGTACGATTAGAAGCTATAATTAGCTAACAGAAAAAAGAATTAAGGAAAACACTTTTTGACAAGCAAACACGGAAGCCAACTCGGGATAGACCTATATCTCGAATACGAGAATAGAGTAAAAACACAAAAGGGAAAACGGTAACTATACAAACCTGATTATGACATTATCCAAGAGTAGCTGGTTTAACTGTGAGGAAGCAACTAGTTTCCATGAGAGAATCCCTTCAATTTCTTTCGCCTGAAATGAATGAATATATGATAAGGCAAAGAAAGTAATGCCAACAAAAGAAGAAAGAAAAATACATGTGAATAGAAAAGCATACAAAGTCATCTTTGCTTCTCTCAAGATGCTTCAGCTCCAATTTGATTTTCTCCAAGAGTGCATCTTTGGTATCAATATCAGCATCAAAATCCTTAAAAATTTGCCCATATCTGCTATTTAGTTCTTCTAGATACCGCTCCAAGACAGAAAAGCTCACATCAAGAGATTGCACCTTCTGCATTAGTACCTTAAGAACTGTATCTCCAGGAATCCTGCCAGCCTGAATTGGCCTTGTCTCGGTAACTTGATCATGAGCACCATTCTTTGATGAATCACCGTTTAGTTTATCATCTTCTAGTTCAAACTCATCTTCATCCAGGGGTTCATGTGAGGATTCTTTTCCCTCAGTGGGCTCCTTCAATTGTGTTTGCTGATCGACTGGTTCCTTCATTTTGTCATCAGGTTCCAGCCTTTTATTCTCAACTGGAATCAAGTTCTCCAGCATCTTTTCCACCGCATCCATTCCATACACTTCAAGCATACTGAGCGTGCAGTAGAATTCGGAACCATAATGGCTAAGCAAGTTGAGTTTCAGATATCTAGCCCACTTTGGCTCAGGAAAAGTAAAATTCTGAGCAATCTTGGCATTTGCAACAGTGAATCTCCCGAGTGTTTCCCAGCTATCTGTGGGATAATTCAGACTGCTCAGCATTTCAAATTCTTTCAAGTTAGAAGAATAGTGCTCAAAATTTGCAATTGCGATTGTATCTACCAAGGTTTCTTCAGACAGCTCTATAATGACAAACTTCCCCTCTGCTGAGCAAGGATTGCGGAGATACTTGTCTTTATCCTTGTCTAGGATGTTAGAAGCACCCTTGGCCTCCTTGTTGAATTCCAGGACCTTAGCCCCTTTAGCTGCCGAGGCATAATTGTACAACTTCCCACTAGGCTCCCTTCTGTGGATCACATTTCCAGGTTGACCACTAGGGACACCCTTTCCTCTTTCCGCAATCGCTCGTGTCTTGAATTCATCAAGACCAGGAGGGACAACTCGTGATAACCTTGCTGGTCTTGGAACACCTTCGCTCTCCACCTCCCCCTCTGGATGAACTACAGAATCATCATCTGTCCGTGGAAGATTCTCACCCTGATCAACGTTATCCTTGGGCAGAGCATCCATGCTATCACCCTGTGCCTCATCATTGGAGCAAAGCTGATCTTTCTCCAGCAGTGTCTCTTCAGAAAGCACATGATTTTCATCGGGTTTAGCACAGCTATCACCTGGCAACGCATGATTTTCCCCATTCTCCTGCTGTACAACTGAATCAACAGAGCCTTCGCTCAAGGTAGGCTCAACAGAATCAAACGAGGGATCAGAGCTTCCTTCATCCGCAAAAATCCCTTCATCTGCAGAAATCAGACAGCACCGAACATGAGCCCAATCGACACCGAGAAATACGCATAACGTCAATTTGAAAATTATTGACATGCGATATCTTTCAAAAATGGTAAAATTAAAGCGGAAATTTCATCAGGACATCAAAAAACCATGATGTTTATTCAGAATTCAGAAATGAAACGCGCATATATAGATCTATGTTGTAACCGCGTAATATTGCGATTCACGTTCGGCCGATTCAGCGAACGACCATCTTCCCCAACCACCGTTCGCACCACCACGCAACCACCCACCAAGCACGATCGATCAAAAATTGATTCCGCGAAGGCCAAAACGAAATCGTACCTCGTTGACCGTTCCCATGACCGACGAGGGGGTTGAGCAGGAGCAGGACGACCCAGCAGGCGACGACAAGCGAGACGGAGAAGCCGTACAGCCGCCGCCGCCGCCTCCTCCCGGCGGCCGCCGCGGTAGCCACGCCCACCCCTGCCTCCTCCTCCTCCTCCTTCGCCGCCGCCGCCGCCTTCCTCTTCAGAAGGGCTCTCCGCGACCTCTGCATTCCTCCGCCCTCACATCTGCGCCACACAACACGCCACCTCACCACCGACTTCCCCTCCCTCCCTCCGCCCCGGCCCACGCAGAGGAAGAGCACGGGGCACGGGACGAATCCCCAGCTGCCGCCCCGCCCCGGCCCCGCTCAGAAGAACCGCCGCGGCGGCGAGGTCCGATGCTGCGCCGGCGAAGGGGAAGGGGGTTGGATCGCCGCGTGGCGGTGGATGGGCGGGGGCTTTTGAGGTGGCTCCATCGGAGGAAGGGGAGGAAGGCGTTGATGGCTTTTGTACCGCGAGATCTTGTCGGCTTCTCCACCCCCGTTCGCACTTGTGAAATCGTGAGACCTGTCCAATCCCCAATGCCAACCTGTTTGTTACCGGTGCGCGTGGTGGTGAGGTGGATTCTTCTGGACTCTTTGGCTCCCTTGTTTATTCCGTCCAGCGTGGAGGAGTACAATCTTATTACCGTTTGCTGGGTGGACTAGTTCAAATTCAAAAGCCAGAGAGAGAAATCATGTCCATTTCAGGCTCACCGTTTGCTTTTTGGTTACTTGCCGCAGTCGAAAAGTTAAATTTTGATTTGATTTTAAGGATTTTTTTTCTCATTTTAAACAATCTCCCATTAGCTTTTAAATCCGTAAGAACGCATATGTGAGAGTTTTCCTCTACCTATAAATTATTTATTGATTGTTATTTTTTTCGCGAACGCTTTATTGATTGTTAAAAATCAGTGCCAAACAATCAAGTTGTTTAGTCTCAAATGTGTAGATTTTGTTTAATGGCCAGTGGTGGTATCTTTTTTTTTTTCTAACTACGGCAGATGTCACCCGTGCAAAAATAAAACTAAATTATCATGTGATTGTAGCATTATATATTTATATTACTACAAGATTATATAGTAGGAGTAAACATCGGTATACATCATATATAAAAACATGGGGTACTGAGTGTGTAACCATGATGCTTTAGATAAAATAATTTAAGCCGACTTTGATATGTTACGCAAACAAAGATGGTTGTACTAGAAGAAAAGAATTTTGCAGCCAATAAATATACGGAGTACTAGTAGTACTACTTCAATTGTAGGTTTTGTCGAGTTGTAGTTGGATGGTTCCACGTCAATTCCGGAGTTGAAGCATACACGTCACAGCTGTGCTTGCTTGGTACACGTAGGGTGCACGCCACGCGTGTCAGCCAACAGCGAGCCTCCACGTGGACTCAAGGAGTAGCACTGTACGTCTTCCCTTCTCTCTCTCCTCGGGTCAATAATAGTTAACCCGTTGACTCGATGGGCCGTGTTTTCACCAGCGCGGCGGAGGCCCATTTATTCAACTACCGATAAAGGGGCCCACACAACCAGCCCAGCATCATCTCCGTCTCCGTTTGCACCGAGGCCTCGGGGCAAGGGCCCAACCCGTTTCCGAATCTCGAGGCGCAAGAGGCCATCGAACGGCGGAGCCTTAAAGCCCCAACTTGTCCGTGCGGTTTCTTACTTTCGTGGGCTTTTTTTCTCCCTCTTGATTGCGGCGCGACTGCGAGCGAGAGAGCTTCACGCCCAGATCCGGGCGGCCATGGCGAGGAACCCTACCCGCACCGTCTACATAGGTGAGCGTCTGTCTCCTCTTCCCCCTCCCCGCGGCGCTCGCGGTGGCTTCAGATTTTGGTTTTAGTTCGGATTGGAGTAGATTGATGTACACCTCGGTGATTTGATTGATCAATTAGTTGGTTGGTACTTGGTAGGTTGGTTAAGTTGTATGATGTTTCCGTGGTGTCCTCGGTTAGCGTGGTTACGCGTGATTTGTGGATTTAGCGTGGTTGCTGTTCCTCTGATTTCTGATGGGTGCAACTGCAAATGTATCGTTGAAAGGATTCCTGTTGTTCCCCTTGTATTTCTTTTACTGGCTAAAACGATGAGTGCATTTGGAAATAGAGCTGCTAGATGCTAGTATCAAAGCTTGACAAGTGATTGCACTGTTGCTGCTATGAACTTTACTTGATAATAACGTTGGACTGTGTTTCACAAGTAGCATTTCAATTTCTACACGTTTCTTAAACTTACCTGGCATGGAGATACTGAACTTCCACTTTTCTCTCTTTTTTTTTTTGGTTGCGAGGAACTTTTAGTCTTTTACTGTTTGTTGCATTAGTGAATCTGTAGCGGCTCTAGTCTATTGAACTTTTCTCCAGTTGTTAGCTTTCTTAGCAATTCTCTGGGCTATGCTAATTTATTCGGAACCTTGTCAATTTATTTGCCTGCAAATGCAATGTTTTTTGTGGACAGTCCTGGTGTCATCTGGTATTGTTTGTATGTATATTGTATATCTAGTGTTTTATGTAGTCTAAGCAGCTTCATTTCTCTGTATCAGAGTATTGTATTAATTATATTGCAATTTTTTCCTACAATAGGTAACTTGGATGAAAAGGTAACTGAAAGAATATTGTATGAGATTCTTATTCAGCCAGGTCGTGTAGTAGACCTATGCATACCTCGTGACAAGGAAACTAGTTGTCCCAAAGGTTACGCTTTTGCTGAGTATGAAACAGAGGAAATCGCACAGTATGCTGTTCAACTTTTTTCAGGACTTGTTCGGCTTTATGGTAAAACACTCAAATTTGCGGTAGGTTTCCTTTTTATCTGTTTTTTTTTTGTTTGGATGTGTTACTTCTATATGATCATCAGCTTCTTATGATTAAACTGTACCAATATGATTACAGCTTGCGAAATTAGAGTGCTAGTAGTTGTTCTTGTGTTCTGTGCCATACAATTTCGCAAAAGATTGATAATTCTGATTTCCCAAAAGATTGATAATTCTGATTTCGAATTTCTTCCACATCCTTTAGATAATGTTTTAGTTCATACTTATCTATATTTATGCGGATATGAAGAGGGTCAGTTTTCTGAATTTATATCATTGTCTTTTGCAGATCTCTGGACAAGACAAACCCTCATCAAATGGCAATAATCCAGTAATGCCTAAACTCAATCCTGTACCATTACCAAAGCAGCCTCAGTTTGTGCATCATAGTGATATGCATGTATTGCATACCCCAGCGGATCCAATGGTAAATGGTGGGACAAGAGATTATGGCTTTTCAAACTATTATCCTTATAGTGCTAATCCCCAAGGTGAGATTATTTCCTGGGCCTATCTATATGTACTGTTGTACGCTGCATATATGTCACTCTTAATCTAATCCTACTATTCTTTTGCTAACCAGCATTACCAGTTGGACCCGTGCATAGCTACAGAGGGTTCAGCAATGGTACGTATGATTGCAGTACATGCATATTTGGTTCTATTGTTAATGGTAGGTATGGAGATTATGTTTTGAATGCTGCTGGCCATGGAGCTCCGAGGCAACCAATGTTGTATCCGTCCTACTAGGCACCAAAGAAGGGAATCTGGTATGTTGAGTTGTTGATAGAGTAGGCTGGTTGGGATTAGCTCCCTGAAATTTTCATCTCTTAATGCACATCATTGTCATACATGTACAGAATATGGCTCTCTTTTATGAATGGTAATTAGAAAATCTTAGTACAACACTCATCCTTCTCTTCTTTGGGGACGGGAGGGCTGCAACAGCGAAGGCTGTACTACGCCTCCTCCAACTCTCGAAACAATGAGCTATGCACGCTTAGGCTGTATTTGAGGAGAGGAGATAGAGGAGATTGGGAAGATACGCAAAACGAGGTGAGCCATTAGCACATGATTAATTGACTATTAAGTATTTTAAACTTCAAAAATGGATTAATATGATTTTTTAAAGCAACTTTCCTATAGAATTTTTTTACAAAAAACGTACCGATGAGTAGTTCGGGAAGCGTGCGTGTGGACTCTTAAAGCCTTGAAAGCAATCTTTGTCGTGTACTTGAATGACCGTTACTCTGTAATACTAGAAGATGTTGATGTCTCAACATCAGCTGTAGATTTTTTATGGAACCGAATCAAGTCAACTGTTCTTTACTTCTTTGTCCGTGCACATCACAGAAATGAGTCTCTGTCAGTGTCAGGGACAGGCAAGTTGCTGCAATGTGGCATTGCCAACTAACCCTATTTTGTGATGGTTAAGTGGTAGTGGCTTGGCTGATGTTTCGCTTTGCAGTTCTCTATTCGTTTGTCACCTGTCATTGCTAGCTAGTAAATTTTAGGCTTATCTTGGGCATTGCATTCCTTTTTATGTGTTAGGTGAGGTGATGCATACGTTGGAGCTAGGCAAATTTTGATCATTTCTCTACTAGTGCAGTTCCATTGTGTTCCACCTATACCAAAAAACACATAAGACAGACACACAAAACTTCACAGGTAGACAGGATGGCACTAAAACACTCCCATTTTGACTCACCTAACCCAAAAGGTATCCTATCCTGAAACGAAAATTCTACTGAAAAGATCATCACTTTGGGTCCCCTCGATTAACCTTCTTCAAGGTGAAAACCACACCTCAAGACACGTATCAGAGGTGCTGCTTCTCGTTGCATATCTCCTCTAGTGTAAGTTACTTCTGATGCTCTACTAAACCTAGCCTCCAGGGGTTCTTTCCTTCACTTCTTGGAGTAGTAGCATGTACAAGTCACATGCCATCTCTGCATTGTGCTATTTTTCCGTTGCAACTAGAGCAATATGAAAACTGAAACCAATTGTGCATAACCAATGCTAGCGCGGCATCTTTCCTCTGCAAAAAAACGTTTTGGATCTTGTTGCTCCAGTTGCAGTTGCAGACTTTGCATCTGCCGTACTGCTGCACTTGCTCGTTTGACGCTGTCTCTCGGCATTGCAAGCTGACAACATCGAAGACCAAGACTACGCAACGCACGTACAAGGACTTTTCTGGGTAAGACTCTTATTGAATCCATTGGAGTGTGTATGATTTCTCGCCGGTCAAAGCCAAGAGAGGAGGCGATGAAGATGGAGAGCCCGGGGGTGCAGCCGGCGGCCGCCGGTGAAGAAGAAGGCGGCGGCGGCGTCTTCTTCTGCGTGGCGGTGACGTCCAGGGGCAGGACGGACCGGCTGTCCTACTTCCAGGCGGAAGGGGACGGCGACGACGCGGAGGAGGTGGCCCGCGCCACCGCCGCGCTCTGCCTCGACCACGCGCCGGAGCACCACCACTGGCACCACCACACCGTCGTCGGGCGGCGCACGTTCGCGTTCCTCGCCGGGGACGACGGCCGCACGTACTTTGCCGTGGCGGACCCGACGCCTGGCAGCGCCGAGACGGTCCGGTTCCTGCAGCGCGTCCGCGACGCGTTCGGCAGCTGCGGCGGCGGCGGCGGCGGCGGCGCGACCAGGCGGCGCAACCAGCGCGACGACGCCGTGGACGCCGTCGTGTGGCAGTTCGTGCGGGCGCTGCGGGCCTCCGCGGGAAGAGGGACGGCAGCGCTGTTCCCCGGCGACGACTCACGAGGTGGAGGTGACGCGTCGAGCGCCGACGGCGACAAGGACGACGAGGAGGAGGAGGATGATCGTGGCGGCGAAGCGATGGCCGTCGCGGCGGACGGCGCGCGGCGGCGAACGCGGCGCTCGTGGTGGCGCTACAGCAAGGTCGTGATCGGCGTGGAGTTGGTGCTGTTCCTCGTCCTGTTCGTCGTGTGGATGATCGTGTGCAAAGGCTTCAATTGTGTCCAGCGATGAGCGGCACATCGCTTGTGCAACTGTAATTACATTTACACGTATAGTTTGTTTTAGTCTACGTGCTGTGCTGTCCATGAAAAACCTTGCCCGTCTTGTTAAATCGTAATTGTCTTAGCAACATGGAGTACAATTTACGGAGTATTTGCTGTGAAAGGCTTTGCTGGTTGATTTTGTTTTCATGTAAAAAACTTGGGCTCGCTTGCCAGCGGGTTTTCTTAACGATGGTAAGGGGGTTACCTCTTCCTACCGCGGTAGCAAAACTGAGCAAACTTTAACAAAAAAAAATTAAAGCTTTGTTTAATTGTTGATGGTTGATATGCTAGGAGCTAGGTTATTTCCGTTACTAAACCCTGACGATAAGCCCATTCACCGCTGTAACCGAAGATGAGAGACATTGCTTTTGCTTGCTAGTTAATCCTGGGGTAATGCAATTATGCCCAATGCAGGGTTTGAGAAACATACCAATGCCACTATGCCAGCATCTGTCAGTTACCACGAACTACGGTACAGAAGAAACAGTACTCAACAGGGTACAAGAATTTGCAGGGTGGGAGCTGTTTCAAACATGGACTCGAGCTGATCATGTGTGTTCACAAACAGGGCAGCCCTGTAAAACACTATTCTAAAATCTCGCCGTCATATGCATGCCACGTTGCCCGTACAATTCCTTTTTTTTTTCCTAAACACGGTACCGACGCATGCGCCCATATACACGACATCTCGTAGAATAATACGTCATCTACCATAATAAAATAATTAGCCGTAAATAAAAAACATATGCTAAATTTAAAACTTAAATTCGGATAAACATGTTTCACTGTAAGAAACCTAATCGGTCGTTCACGTTGCCAGTACAATTTTGAGCAGCTATAGTCCGACTCATACTCATACATAAACACTGGGAATTTGTAAATGAATTTTCTGAATAATAAATGGCATTTGATGGATGAATTTGTAAATGAATTTTCTGGATAATAAATGGTATTTGAAGGATAATTGCAAAACAAACTGACAAAATGTACCAGTGTGAAGACTGCACATTTTGTTTGATTTGGGCTATTGGACTTGCATCATAGTAAAGTTTTATTTGGCCCAGATGTAAATCAGGCCCGGATTATGACAGCCTCCAGGAGGCCATTTTTCTAAGGCAGTGGTTGGGAAGCGGTAGTTGATGAATGGCGATCAGCCTACCTATCCTTCTCTCCCTAACCGAAAGGGAGGAAAAAAAACAAGTAAACAACAATTCCTTGGAATAAAAGACACTATAGTAAATAGAGTAATATATAAGAGTTGATTAGTCTATGAAAATGAGCCTATATATCGCCTATGATTTGGACAGAATATCTTGATCAGCTTTGTTGCGCTAGCACCCAACCATTTCCCTCATAAAAAGACAGAAGTACGAAAATGAAAGGAGCACAGCTTTGGCAGCCTTTCTGTTGTAAAACCAATTCATACGCATCCACATCTCTAAATTATAAAACTTTTCTCCCCACGACAAAAGGAAGTAATGTGTGCTACTCCTATCACCGTTCTGAATAATCTGCAGTGGTTTCTTTGGCAAGATCAGAAGAACCAACATGAACTTGCATTTGCTTTGCCAGTTGCCAGTTTGCCACCAAAACACAGAACACGGCATGCTCTGTCTCTCGAGCGGTGCAATGCAATGCAAGCGACACCCTCGATTTCCTCCTGCAAAAGAGGGAGAGAGAGAGTACAGGGCATGGACACCATGCGTGCTCCAGTTTCAGGCTCGGGTTCAGAAACGGGCAGTACGGGACACGGCCTTTACCCACACAACTCTGCATCACATGCGACGATCAATACCAAACAGCTGCGCCTCTGCATCTGCATCTTCAGCCAGGGGCGGAGCTAGAGAAAAACCGAGGGGTTCCTAACTTTCTTTACGTAGTATCGACATGTACAGCTCTGGAACGATATTATACTAAATAGTTGTATACTCAATACATATAAGCATCATCTTCCTAATTAATGACAATATATGAGAAAGTGCATGAAAAAATTAAAAAAAATACGTACCATAATGAAGAAACCAACTGATAATAATATATATGAAGTTAATAATGTGTCATGAGCTCCATACCCAAAACAAATGAATATATCATGTAAAATGCGATGTCACCATCTTCATTCCTCCATGCAACAAGGCATAGTTTAATTATCAACAAACAATAAGTCATGAAATGATTTGACATAAATAAAAACAGTTACCTATTAATCTTTATCATATTTGCGGTGGTTATATTCATGAACCGATAAACCACTTGTTGTAAGTGGTGGCTATCGGATGTGATTTTTGATAGAAGCACTTGTGGTCACTAGGCGGATTTGACGAGTCAATGAGGGCAAGCCGGCGAGCTCATGGATCCAGCCATTGCCGGCCAGCTTGCTGCTGCCGCTGCCCGCCGGCCGTCCTAAACTTCTACTCCCAGACTGCCCTGAATGGCTGCGTTCATCGCAAAAGCAAGCAAGAAAATTAAGATTAAATCAATGGTAAACTAGCAAAATTGGAAGAGAGAAGAAGTAGGAGTACATGACTTACAGAGTGGCAGATTGGATGATAGGATTTAGGGGCTGTCATAGGTCGCGGAGTCGTCGGAGTGTGTGGGAAACGGGCGGCGTCGGCAAGCGAGCGCCGGGCGGTCGCCGCGTCGAGCACGGCTGTGGCGGTCCATGGGCGAACGGTGACGGGCGCACGACGGGATGGAGTCGGAGACGTCAGGCGTGGTCGCCGGTCGTGGAGTCGCGTGGAGCAGGTGCTCAGCGGCGACGGACGAGGAGAAAGAAATAATCACGCGCTTGATTTTGGGAGATGAAACGACGCCGCCGCTGCGCCGTGTGGATCCAACCACGTGCGCGACTCCTCCTCTCCTCTCAGCTGGGCTGTCTCTAACAGATACACATCGATGGGCCTTGTTTTGGGCCAGACGAAGGAGGGGTTCCTGGTTTTGGGCTGAGGGGGTGCTGATGTGGTGAATTTATGGGGGTAACAAGGTATTTCAGAAATTGGGCCGGGTTCCTGGGAACCCCCCGGGCCTATTGGGCTCCGCCCCTGTCTGCAGCTGTTGCGGGCTTGCAGCAACGTCATGGGTTTTGCTACGCTACGTGCCAGGAGAATGGTCTCGGATCCTCTCTCTCTGTTGCTGTTACTGCGGGGCTGGCTTTGCTGCTGTGCGCGTGAAATTGTGAACAGTGTAGTGAGTGATGAGTACTACCAGTGGTACTGGTACTGGTACTCCAGTAACTGAAGAACCGAACTGGGCAGCAAGCAAGCAAGGAAGGAGAGGAGTCTGCTGTGGTGGTTGTGTCGCTGAAACTTTTTTTAACCGCATGTTCTTCTCTACCGCTGTTGATGGGTGGATGGGGCGATGGGCTGTCACATTCGCCGGTCAAAGAAGCCTCTCTTTCCTTACAGTTGGAGCCAGCTGCCACCGACTATTTTAGCATACGTACTCCTACTCCTAATCTGTTGCTCTTTTGCATTCTTTTGTGTATACCGGTGCAGTACTGGTACTGCCCTGCAGTGCCGGTGGGAGACCGATTCCACAGCACTTGGGACCGGGGTTTTCCCTCTAGGAAAGGAAGAAAATTTCGGTGGGCATCAAAATTCCGGAATTTCGGATATTCCTAACGATTTTTTAAAATTTTTAACATATATTTACTGAATTTAAATAAATTATGACTAAATTTACAAATATTTGAAAAGGTCTGAAATTTCGATCAGAATATTTGCTTGTCGGAAAGGGATGAAATTCCCAAAATTTTGAATATTCCTGAAATTTCGAACCAAAATTTATATTCCTGCTTGGGACGAGGAGCGAGCGTCCACTCTCCATGGTCTGCATGGACCATAGCCCATATACCCGTCAGCCGGTCAGCCACTCTTGGAGAGGCTTTTCCCTATTTGGTAGGAAATACTTTCAAGCCATCGAAATAGTTGACAGTAAACAGATCAAAGTTCAGTACAAATGGAATGAACTAGTGTGAATTGCGGGTTTATGATATTAAAGCTAAAGGTGTCGTCATCTCATATATTGCTGGGAGTTTCGTTTATTTTGTGTTCCTATTGTGTTACCCTTTTCTTATATGTAACTATAAGGCACATACACCTCAAGATTATAACTCTACAACCTATTAATTTTACGGAAAGTATGTGTACAACAAAGTACAACAAACTATATTTTAGACCTGGTAGAGTAGTAACTTGTTGACGCTCTCGATGAAGGGGTTTGGTGAAAAGTGATTGTTGGAATAGTCTCTGGGATCTTTCTTTGCTTGTATCTCGATGGTATTTATGCTCGTAGGCTCCATTGTCTTGAGAGACTCATGATTTTTTGTCATGTACCCGTGCCATTCTAGTTGAGTTCAAATATGTCATGAAATCCTTACATAATTGGGTGCGTCTCCGACCCTTATATGCTCTAGGCGATACCTTTTGCAGAATTTTTTTTTATATGCAAGTTGGTATGCATTCTTTAGGCCGTGTATCCGTAGAGTATCCTTTGGCTTCGTTCGAGATGGCTGCTTGGACTAGATTTTCATCGGCACGTGAAATCAGACGAGCTATTAGCAAATTATTATTTGAGCATTGAGTATTACAATTTAAAAATAGATTTATTTAATTAAAAAAATTCTGTATAGGAAGTATTTGTAAAAAGGCAAAATTGTTTTACACTGGAAATTGTTGTCTTTGGTTTCATAGCATCGTAAGATATTAGTAAAAATGTGCTAATGATAAACGAGAGAATAGCTAATCCGAAAAACACTCTGAAACTCAGCCTTTTAACCCTAGATCTAAAGGAAGTATTGCTAGCTCTGTTTCAGGCTTCACCCAAACCTGACTAAAGGAGTATATCTTTGCCATTTCTGTTCATTTACACGCACCAACTAATAAATCCAAATTAAAGACCAGATTGTTAAGCTAATGAAAATGACCAGGCAAAAACTAATTTATCCATGAAAGTCACATAGCCGTATCGTCCTTCATCGTCTCCAACTCCAACATCGCCATGCAGTACGTACGGATGAGAGGCAACGTGGCTGTTTGACGAGCCCGTAACGTACATAATTTGTCACATTCCGGAGAAAAAGGTCCCAGCCGTTGGCTCATCATATTCATATCTTTCACGGTTCACCGCTACGGACGCAACGCCAAAAGGTGCCCGACCGATGCACTGTTGGCGACGGCATATACATACATACATCCACGCGACCATACGCTATGTCACGACGGGGATCTTCGAGTTGTCGGGTTCGTTCCGTTTTTATAATCTCCTGCATATATGCATGTTTATCTTTTAGCGTCAAATGATAGAGATCAGGTTAGTCGTCTTCACAGACGGAATCATCAATCATGTACTCCATGTGCTTTGCATGGCTGTAGATTCCAGCTGCTGTCGTCTAGCATCACATAGACGGCACTTAAAATAAACAGCCGGTAAAAAATCTGAAAAAAACTTATTTTTATTTTCAGTTTTTAACTTTTTATTTTTTTTTTTCAAATTCTACGATTACATATTATAAAAATCTGGATTATTTAGATAGTTTCTGACAGCTGAATATTCTAAAAGAAATTGTAGTACTAGCTTAGAAGTTTCCCCAAACATACACATATTTTCTTCATCCTAAAAAACAAACCTCCCGTATTAGTATGTGTTATATTCTGTACTAAGGCCGTGTTCGATACCAGCCGTTCCCAACTCCCCCTCTCGTTTTCCGCGTGTACACTTTTTAAACTACTAAACGGTGTGCTTTTTGTAAAAAGTTTATATATGAAAGTTGCTTAAAAAAATCATATTGATTCATTTTTGAAAAAAAAAAAGCTAATACTTAATTAATCACGCGATAATAGACCGCTCCGGTTCCCATCACCCACCACCCACCACCGAACACAACCTAAAATTTGTCTTGTACATGATGAAAGAAATAAACTCGTACCACAGTCACCATGACACATACTCCCTCTGGCTCATAATATAAGGTCATGTACAAAGGTAGAGACTAATATGAGCTCTCTATATTAATTAATGTAATTAGAGACTATTCTCCTACAATATTAGAGACAATAAAAATTCTAAACCATTAATGCATAAATAATGTTATTATTATACTTCTTTCCTTTTCTCTACCCTCATGCAATAAACTTTCTGTTAATAAATGTTAAGAGTTATCTCTGAGCCGTTGTCATGCGTAGCAATAATATTTCTCATTCCTTTCCACTTTTTCTTCCACGTCACCAAATTTACTTGCATAACAATGAAGAGAGCCCGTTATTAGACACCATTGTACATGCCCTAAGGGATTTTGGAGGGATGCGATATATACTAGGACAACCAATCTGGATAGGAGTATGTCCAGATTTGTTGTCCTAGTATATATCATATCTCTTCAAACTCTGTTGTAATATGTGACGGAGGGAGTATTTATTTATGGACTTAACTACAGCGCATGCAGCGTGCATTTACCTCCAGGATCGTCACGTTGACGGTACGGTACGGTACGTAGTCCCATTTTGACCATGTACTTAGATCCTGATTTCCTGTGGAAAATGACACGTTTCTACGGCAGAATCATCTAAAATGACGTTGACAAGAAGCCGGCCATCTGCCAACTGCGATGTGCCGCTGCAGGAATATTTTGGTCAGTTAATTATAACTGGCTGTGCCTCTGTACGGAGTGGAAGTGCAGGCCGGACCGCCGGAGAAGGGGCAGTCTGAGCCAAAGCGATGATGTCTTTCACCCCCCCTCGGCTTTTCCGGTGAGATCGGCGGGCAAGAACGATGGATGCAGCGTGCGGCGCAGCCGCGCAGGCCTACCTACGCCGCGCGGCGCCACTGCCGCTGCCGCTGCCGGCTACGGGAGGACGAGGGAGGGAGGGAGGGTTGGAGGGGCGGCGGCCTCAGAATCTGCGACGCTTGTCACAAGTGGCCTGGGGACCCTCCTCCTCACCCTCGAGATCTGCACCAGCAATGATTCGCCGCGTGGTAGGGCCAACGCCGCACTGCTTGCCATTCGAGCCTGGAATTGCTGTGCATACGTCCATACGTCCATACGTTAGAGCAGTAGGCTATATGCCGGCTAAGAGAAGTGGGCTATAAACTTACAGTCAGCTTAGACATAAGAACCAAAAAGCTCTGTGAGAGAGACAAGTGGGTCATGTATTAATTGTAAAGAGCTAATTATTACTCCCTCCGTCCTATAATATAAGGGATTTTGAGTTTTTGCTTGCACTGTTTGACCACTCGTCTTATTCAAAAAAAATTAGAATTATTTTTTTTGACTTACTTTATTTTCCAAAGTACTTTAAGCCTATTTTTTTGTTTTTTATATTTGCACAATTTTTTTAATAAGACGAGTGGTTAAACAGTGCAAACAAAAACTCAAAATCCCTTATATTATGGGACGAAGGGAGTATATGGGTAGGTTGAAAGAAGACTACAAAGAACCTTATAACCAACAGGTCGGCTGTATTATTAGCCTTGCTCTTACGGGGGATTTTTGGTTCTCTCCCAACTGGCGAAGTAGAAATTTAACTCTGTGGGGTCAATTACTAGTTTGTACTTAAACGAGGTCATTTATTTAATTATTTTGGATTTATATATGAAAATGAAAGTCTATAGTGGTATTTTTCAAAAAGCTGTGAGGTCAGCTGACCCCACAGTTTATGCATAGGTCCGCCACTACTCTATTCTTGGTAAGTTTTGGTACTAATAATATTTTTGGTAGATAGATATGCATGTATCACACATATTTGGAATGATACTAGTATAAAGCCAAATATTGATCATATGGAGAGGAAGGTTTTAAATTAATGCTAAACTGACCGTTGGAATTATCAATTATTTGGGTTTAATCCAAATATACACTAATACCATTCAAACATATTTTTTGACAACAACCTAAAAATGGTCCTATCCTACATCGCTGGGCACATTTCCCCTTTTAAAATCACACGACTTTGGATGTTTTAGACTACTTTAAGATCTGTTCAACACCTCTCTAGCCCCAACCCGTCATTATATTCTTCTCGTTCACTCACGACACCATCGCGACAGGCTCTTCTTCTCCCGATCCTCATGCCCTCTCCATTGCAACCGTCTTCCCATACCAGCGTGCCGTCCTCGACCTTGCTAGCGCCAGGAGCCACTACCAACACGTGACGAGATACATCCGATCAAGCTCCTCCATTCCCCCAGCCATGCTTTCTCCCTGTTTCGAGACCACCGGAGACACCACGGTCACCTAACCACTTTGGATCCATGCTTCCATCGCCAATATAGACCAATCACCTTTTTTTTTTCGTCGAGACGACAACACCACTGTCTCGCCGCCCAACCATGACCGTGGGTCCACCATCAGACTATCACCGCCTTAACCATTCCTCTTAGCTAGGGAACAATTCTCACTTCCCTGCCTCCAAACCCCATTTTCTCTCTCACCCTCAACTTTGAAACCATTATAGTATGTAGTTCAGGGCTTATCAGAGACAGACGAAGCACGAATCTTAGAGCATATCTGAAGGCTCAAAATTCGAGTGATCTTCACCCTAAGAGCAAGTTTAATAGTATAGCCAACTACTAGCTCCAATTCATCTATAGCTAATCTAATAGCTCATTAATACAATGGTTACATACTACACTATTAATACTTGGTTCCACCTGTCATACACACACTGTGTTTTGGAATCCGTGCTACAGCTGACTATAAATATATAGCCCGCTGTTCTTCTCTCTCCTCACTTATCTCCTTAAAATATGTTTACAGCTGGCTTATAGCCTGCTACTGTACCTGCTCAAAAATGTGTCAAGTGGTATATATAGCATTCCCGTTGGGTTGTGTGGTTTGTGCGCGTAGCGGGTTTTCTCGTGGCGAAGAGGATCCGCGCGGCCAGCACGGTGCACGCGGGCCGTACCTGGGCCGCACGTGCCGGCGAGCCCGCGGGGGGAGGCAGTGGGCGGTGGCTTTTTGCGCGCAAGTGACCTCGATAGAGGAGGGGGCCCCGCTTTACAGCTGGTTTCTCCTCCCCGGCAGGGGGGCACTCTGTCCAGTCACGTGGGACAGACAGCCTCAGCTCTTCTCTCCCCTCCTCTCTCCCTCTCTCTCTCTCTGCCCAATTATTTCCTGAATTATTGCGGCTAAAAACACGACGTGGCCCACAGACAGAGTGCTCAGAGGTATAGTTAGCCTATTGTGCACTCCTACTCCTACTACTAGTACCGGAGTCATGTTCACGCTGTGCCCTGTTGGTTTGAACCGTGGACCAGTGGTCAAAACGAAAAACGGATCAGTCCCCTGCTCACGTTACGTTAATTTGGACAGTAGTCAGGTCCATGCAATCATGCATGCATGCAGCCCAAGTTGTAGAGTACTCCGCAGTATAGTACCACTACTATAACTCATGAACTTGAGTTGTATAAAGATCTTGTAAGATATTGGTAGATGAGATTTTTCAAGAGGCCGTATGTTACCGATAAAAATTCTAATCCTACGAGGCTTTAATTGGGCATGTTCTATGTTCGACTAGCAGCCAAAAATTCATTGCACCACCAACCAAAATTCCAGACGATTCTCTCTTTACGTCAATCTTTTCCTACAAGTGGAAAGACTTAGCGAGGTCTTCCTACGTCAGTGGCACCGCCCAATATCTCCTAACCAGAATAATACAGGTTGGAAGCTTGGACAGTTGGGTAGTGGAAATGTGGAATCCTAATTGCTGCGCAGTATGGGCACAGCCGTTTACGTACCCTTCTCAAGTCTCAACAAATATTCATCGGGCGAAAGACGACACGCTGACAACAGATATACGAAGTACTACTATTCTTTTCAAAGATAAGCAGCAGTTGCGCTTTTCTTTTCAAAGATTCTACTGTTCCTGAAAAAAAATGGTTGATTTGTTAGTGAAAATCCCTCGAAATACATACGTACCAAATGCGGCATGATGGAAATCATGTAAAGGAAGGCAGAAAAACCCTACTACAGTATATCACTGGTGAGTGATTGAGCTAGCCGATAATTCCCCCATTCAATCCCATAATTCAAACATCGTGCAGTAGAACTTACCAATTGTACTACGAGATGTGCCAGCAGCTTACCAAGTTTTCTGGATTCTGGTTCAGACTAGAGAGTATCCAAAGTTCCAAACTTTAGTGCGCTGGTGGAAGAGCAGAATTGGATGTGAACAGTGATCACTTGCATACAGGACCAGGCACCAATGGACTGACGCCTCAGTGCTTCACATGTCCAATTAGCCAAGACCCCCTTGCTCCAGGGTCAGTCCACCTCGACCAGTCAACAAGGACAGCCGGCCTGGGGAGAAGTTAATCTAGGACGCAGATACTGTAGTCTGATACAAACGTCAGGCTGTATACTGGACCAAGCTAAGATTCCTCCCTTCTCCAGAGAGAAATACTCCCCTGGTTGTTAAAAAAGATTCCCCTTGCAATGAAGCATGTAGCCAAATGATTAGTAGACAACATCCATCGGAATGAAAGAGACAAAAGTGATAAAATATCAAAGCATATGTAATTCAATGATTCATAACATACATCTTATTTCTAGTTCATGTGAATACTGCACTTGCAGCTAGCCAGCTAGTACTACGAGATTATAAATTCCACATTAGACATCCATTTTCAGTCAGCTAAAGCGAGGTGATAGCCCCCTCACACTGATATTCATATAATTTAAGCGAATGTTCTCGGATTATGCACATTACACTTTTCTTCATGGATTTCTGTAATATACTAATCTCTCCTGCAGGTACTCCTAATCTCATGCAAGAGTATCTAAAGCTAAGGAGAGTCTCCTCGCTTAGACACTATTATATATGAGAACCCACTCTAGCCTACTTTATTATATTAGTATTTACGCTACCATGTCAGATTCCAAAGGTGCTTCAGACTGTTTGAAGTACTTGTACTCACAAGTATGAACGAACATATGCTTTCTATGTTAATAAATCTAACCTTGCAGTTGCAGACACATGTTACATGATATACACTTTCCGCATATTCTTTATTTTCGTCTTGAAAAGAAAGGGACAACTATTAGTCAGCAGCAAGATATTGCATGGATAGGTACATACACACGGGGCGCCAAAGATTGTATTGTTGTTGTCTGGGACATGACAAAGTGATGGAGGAGGCTGTTGTTATCAGAGGTGGCTTACAGGCCAAGAGAGATCTAGAGTTAGGAGGAGCTAGAGAGACAGGCAAAAGCTTTGGCACCTGCGTCCTTGTCAAGCCTCGAAACAGTTCAGTACTCCCCCAACCACTCCAATTGGGGTGGCAACTCCAGCCGTCCATCTCCAGATCAGATCTGATGGCACATCATGCATTCCCTCAGTTTGCCAGGCAGTGCACATCATCAAATATCTCTCCCTCCATTGGTGGGGCATATTTTTCTACGTGCTTGATGTACAAGGAAGAAAGCCTCCACCACAGCTTTGCTCCAACTCAAAGCGGCTAGCAGCCTAGGATCACGAGTGAGAGTGATGCTGATAATCTCTAACTATATTGCTCTACTGATTAGTTCATTTAATGTAGCATATATTTATTGAGTGAAGTAATATAACCTTCACAATTGTTGGCAAAACGTCTCAGATAGGAATTAGGATATTTAACATGGGTTGGAAATGGGGCATGAGATATAACTCGGATAAACAACTAGCCTAAGATTTGCACAAAGGATTTGTTCAGGTAAAAAAAGCCCTGGGCTTTATAAAATAGAACTTATCTGCAATTGCAGTCCTATCAGGCATAAATTATTCTCACCTAGAAATATAGCACAAAATAACCTATATTAGTGGTGCAGTGATTTTACCTTTAAACTCTTTCTGCCCACTTCCTCAACCCATGCTTATCTACCACTTTGAAGCAAAACAGTACTCAAAATGATCTCTACACATCATATTCTGCTTGGTATTAGATTGTACCAAGTATGACCAGAAGATATGTTGATGCGCCCATAAACCCATTCTGTCCACCATAAACCTCCAATTACGCAAGAGAGTACATCCATAAATCCATTATGTCCTCTGTTCTGCTAGAATATAATAATCAAACTACTATGTTATAATTGCATTCAGAGCACGAACAGCGCTAGACTGATTACGCTTGATTATCTATAATGACCTACCTCCAATCTAAACAAACAAAATCGGGATACGCTCACAAGGCCTGCATCTTACGAAATTCTGTTAAGTTCCCTAATTCCCGACGGAATCCCTCCCTAACTCCGTTCCGTTTTTGCCACTATCCAGACAAGGACAGCTCAACGCCACCCTGTAACTACTGTTCATCCAATAAGGACAGTTGAGTCATTCTACTGATGCTTTGGCCGGGGTGGGTGTGTCTCCCGGTGTGTAGTATTATTATACGAGCATGGTTTGGACCAAAAGGACAAGAGTGGTGCATTATAGCAGACACTTGTATATATTGCCCTTCTGTACTCTCCCTTCCCCTCTCTCCTACCCCCTTTTCCTTCTAACCTTTAGCTTTTCCTGCCTCCCTCCTTCTTTCCCTCCTCTCTTCTCTTCTCTTCTCTTCTCTTCCATCTCCTAATCTTCCCCTAACAAGTCCTAGCTAAATTCAGATCCTTAGTTGCTGGTTTTTCTTGTTCCTTTTCTGAGCTAGATTTCTTGCTGCTGAGTTGAAGTTAGTATCATGAGTCCACCGAGTGTGATAGGGCAATTTGGGGACACAACCTACACCAAGGTGTTTGTAGGAGGGCTGGCATGGGAGACCCAGAAGGAGACCATGAGGAAGTACTTTGAGCAGTTTGGGGAGATCCTGGAGGCAGTTGTTATCACTGACAAGAACACTGGCAGATCCAAGGGCTATGGATTTGTATGATCATTTACAGTTCTATCTTTCCTTTACGTGCACTTAATTGCAGCAGTTTACTTTGCAAACCTTTCAGTTCTAGTCCACGAGTTTTTTCTTTCCTTTTTGGTTTGCTGCAATATGCAAAGAATGCTTAATTTTTATTAAATTATGCACCACAAATTCGTATTGTAGGTTACCTTCCGGGACCCGGATGCGGCGATGAGGGCTTGCGTTGATCCCGCGCCGGTGATCGACGGGAGAAGGGCTAACTGTAATCTGGCTTCCCTTGGGGTTCAGAGATCTAGGCCTCCAACCCCACAGCATGGTTAGACATTTGCCATTATCTCACCAGCTAACAAAAGCAACATAGAACACACAGTTAGCTAGCTTGCTTGAAAGCCTTCGATGACAACTTCTTATGAGTTGAAAACAGCCCAACACCAAAAGCTCTTGAAAAAGAGAAGTGATAATCATTATAGATGCACTAACTCTGGCATTTTCTATGATTTCCACATATAGTTTCATGATCGCAAACTTAGCTGTTATGATTTTATGCGCAAAAAAGTTCCTTCCTGCCAATAGAATAAATAAGAGCTTAAAGAACACGACATCAAGTTTGCCTAACTTTGCTAATTGGCTAAGCCTTGTTAGATGAGGACCTTTTAAATGCATTGGTTTAGCTTAGTGCTAACTAATTTTTACTAAGTACAGAGCATACATTTTGACAGGACTGCCCTTTTACCTAGCAGCAAAAAAATCCATAGTCTTGACGATATTATCTTGGAATTTAGTTACTGGAAAAGTAGATAAGGAGGACGAACAACATTAGCAGTACAAAGATGTTAGTTATCCTTGAAATAAGTGCCTTGTTTCGGATAATGCGCTATACTAATTATAAATCCTAGGCTCAGATAATAAACTATAGGATCAAACCTTAACCCTAAATTAATCGGGACAGATTCAGAGAATCTTTTACTTCTATTATGTCGTCTTGCAATTCAGCGACCGAAGAATGGTTTGACCATCTCTGTGAATAAACTCATTAGTGGTGCATCAGAACAAGTGCAAGGCTGCTTTCAAGTGTCTTTTTGCAGATAATGCTAGCAAGGCAATGTGGGTAAATTTGCTCTAATTTTCTTGACGATGTTGCTACAGGAGGGGCTAGGAGCTTTAGGGTGATGAAGTCCTTTAGCCAGCAGGCAGGGATCCAAGGTGGTCTGGGCGCAGCTTTTCCTTCTCACGCCACCTTCCCCCATTATGCTATCCCACAAGGTCTCCCTTACCATGTCTATGGGTAAGTTCTCTCTCTCTCTCTCTCCCCCCTTAAAGTTCCCAAGGACCAACTATGACGGGGGGCTTATCACATGCATGACATGTGCATCATGACATGCCGCCTTGGTCAATGGTGAATGGCATGGAAGCTTTTTAGCTTGCACCCCCAAGGCCCCAACCCCTCCTCTCTCACACACACACAGTGGCAGGCTGGCACTGGCAGTGCATGCTGATCCAGTGGCACATGAAAGGGCAGTCTTGTTATCTCCCTTAGACTGCAAGCACGCCCTACTCTCCCTCTGGCGCAAGCTATTAGATGCTTAGTCGAGTAGATGATTTCATAACCATGATTGATACAAAATTGATATTATTTCTTCTCCTTCCCTTAACTACTGCAGGTACTCTCCCTATTCTCCAGACTACAGTTATCCCACAGTAAGTTCCTCTTGCAAATCCAGCAAGTACTATTAGTTGGATAAAAAATATAATAGGATGCTGATGTTCTTATTATTTAACTGAGATCAGTTTCTGTGTGTGTTGGGGGTGGGTGCGGGGACAAATATTAAGCATATCAATTTTAAGCTAACATACCATTGTGACAATGCTTATAGGTGTACCAGAAATTAGTTTTGTAGTATGCATTTGCAATAGCAATCAAGATATGATACATGCTGCATAGAAAATAGTAGCACATAAACATCTAATAGCAAAACAAGACATTGCACGAAATTAAATGCTGCTACAGGAACATATACTATACTGCTATAGCAAACAGTAACCCAAAGAAGGTGAGAAATGCTAAGCATATTAGCCTCTTCAACCGCGAGCTTTCAAGCCAACCTGGACGGTTTGTCTCCATACTCTAGTGTACTAAATGAAATCTGTCTTCATAGCAAATCCTACACAGGTTTTACTTACAAACTGACATCCTGCATGCACCGTCACTTAAAAACTGGCATAGCATGCTTGTCAAACACTCAAACTTGTAAATCATGTACAGATCCCATTAAAATGTTACTAATGGAAAGCACATAACTAGCTAATACAAGCCCACAGCCCCACACCAAATAAACATTAGTGTGTAGCACTACCCCAGTACCCCTATATAAATATAATAACATGAATATACAAAAAGAAAAGCTATCAAAATAATCACTTTTGCTACTAGAAAACCAAAAATCCTAGCAATTTCAATACATTGAACCATTTGAAATACCACAGGCTGATAAAGATTTTCCTTTACCAGTAGTTTTTACCTGTCAGTTGGCATGAGTTAGCAGCTCTTAAGAATATCCATCGCCTGCCTAGCTTCCTCCATGTTCAGTGACAATATTATGTGCTATTGTGCTGAAAGGCCCTAAGCCATGCATCCTTTCAAAACCATTCCCTTCACGTGTAACAGGTATTATAATGTTGAATTTCTGAGTCCAGCTTCGCTAATGGATATGAGGTTGTTTTCCAACCCCCCTCAAACAGTTGTCCCATATGAGATGAGCCCAGTCCAAACAATGTCCATGCCTGCATTAAAAAAAATCATCAATTATCCATCCTGAGCCTCCATCAAGTATAGTGCCTTATGGTCCTAGCAGCTTCTATCTTACCTGGTACAGGCGCACATGACATGGGCCCTAGCTTGTCCAGACCAAACCTGTTAAACACTGGGTCCATCCTCCCATCAGCTAGACCCCTTTGTTAGCCAAATAAACTTAGTGACAGCACATGCGTGGGTCCACAATTCTATTCAAAGCTATACCTCTGTTTGGCTCCATAAAGACCTAAGTCACCTATTGGGCCTTTGATGCATGGACCTAAATGTAGTCCAGAATACAGGTTTTTGCAGTTAGTGCGCCAATTTAGCTTTGTCCCAGATTGATGCACTGCATATGACAGGAACAGTCAAGTGTCTGTCTAACATGTAATCTGTTGCAGAGGCACATGATTTTCATGAAGTCAAATAGGAAGCACAGAAACTTGGTATTTCAATACTGTTTGATAGTTTACATGAGCTAGAAAAAAAAAACTATTTGAGGTATACCACTCTAATAACGGGACTATAGCCTGCCCCCTTCTCCCCCTCCTCTCTCTCTCAGTTCCAATTTCCAAACCATGCATTTTGACACCATCCATTTACTAGTGTTGGAGCGAGGAAAAAACAAAATAAGTTACTTGTTTGGATATAGTAGGATATTTTCTAGAATAATGCAACAGAACACCTTTTAAAAGTAGGTAAATTGTACATCTGCATAGTGACTGTGATACCCAGAATTAGATTATTGGTTATGTACTGTAAAAGGCATATCCAAAATATTAAAATGACAATTAAACCAAATTGTTGCCTTTACTTTAACAGTTGCTAACGGTTATGCACTTACGCCTTAGCCGCCTTAATATAGTACTATCAGAGTCACTGATTCAAATTCATTAGTAAATTTTCAACAAGAAGCAAGAAAACTTAACAGAATATGCAAGCACTTAATTCAACTTTTTACATAAAGTTACAGATGCTAAAATGCATCTCTTGCAAACCTAACAGATTCAAGCTGCATATAGGTATGTTTTGAATGTAATGTGAACTGAATTATAACAGAGTTCCTAACATACATCACAGAATTATATCAGAAAGAACAAACGTCATGGAATCAAGACTTATCTTCTCCTTGTGCTGTTAATTAGAACTACTACAACATCTACGGAGGAGCTCAATACCCATTTTATGGAGCGGCGGCGGCGGCGGCAGCAGCAGCAGCTGGCATGGTGACTGGAAGCAGCCCCTTTTATCCATATTTCCAGTTTGGGCAATCAGGAAGCACTACAACCAACTATGCAAGTGGACAAGGCTACAACTTGCAATACCCACAGATGTTTCACTTCTCAACTGTGGCTTCTACAGCTGCTGCTGTAACAGGTTTTGCACAGCAATATGGAGGGCCATTGTCTCTTGCAGCGAGTCCTCAAGCCCAAGCAGGTATTACTAGCTCTCTTGTATATGCACCTCCATCATAATTCAAATCCTCTGTGTAGGCATGATCCTAGTTTCCTAGGTAAAATATAGAGCTTTCAAAAGTACATTAGATTTTTTTTTCTCTTCACTTGACAAAAATGCAATTCAGAGGTTACTTTGCATGAATATTAAAACAAGAAAAGCAATCCAGCAGCTGTTACTAGGTTGCATTTCAACCCTAACAAAAGGTTGCATTTCAATATGGAACTTTTCAGTCTGCCCCAGTACATTTCTAAGGACAAATTAGCTGTCTTTTACGCATTTGTCAATCAGTCAGTGCATAAAGAATCCTAACTAGTGGACATGTAATGAGAATGATACAAAGTATGGTTTACTTTTTCACGCTTGTTTGCTAAGAAAGCTATCATTTTCTCATAATATAGTTACATTATTTCTTTCTTGCTCAGTAGTGACACTAATACATTCACAGTGTGTGTCCCCATTAAACAGGCATGACTATGGCTCTCACAGCTCCTACTTTGCCGACTCCAACTCAGGCTGCTCATCCTTACCGGCTCATTCCCTCGCACTTTGCTGTGTCTGCTGCTCCAGAGCAACCCTTGGCCTAACCATGGTCTCCTTTCTCATCGTCACTCTCATTTTTATTTCCCACATGTTGAGTCCATGCATCCATCTCTAACACCAGAAGGCACTATTGTTGACCTCATGCTCATCAGCTAAAAGTGCACACTCCATATCCCACATGGTCATGTGGTGATTGGAGATAAGCTTCAGCCCCAGGATGGGCTCAAAGCTTAATGCCCCCATGGATGGGGCTGTACTAACAGAGAAGCACAAACCAACCAATTTAACAACAGTCCAAGGAAGGACTTCATGGATTAATTTCAACCCTAGCAGAGAAGGCTATGGGCAAAAGTAACCCTAACAATCAAGCATTAACCCAGGGAGGGTTCATGCTGATACAGGCCAATTGGACAAAAGTGACATCTAAACAACTGATCGAGCAAGAATGCCACTTCAAAATTTCGTCAGTGGAATCTATATTGTATTTAGCATAGGCCATGTGCTTCTGGATGAAGCACAAACCATTTAGCAGACCCTAATCTTCTAGTCTTGCTGTTACCTAGAGGAAATCAATTTGACATGTAACCAGTCTTTAACCTCTTCCCATGCAAATTAGCCCCCAGCAACTTATCTAACACCACGTGTTAACTTGTGTAACCAACTTTTAACCTTTAGTAAGCAACTATTAGGTGCTCCAACTAACATTCCTTTTTTATCTTCCAGTTTATAGCTTGCATCTAGGTGGTTAAGGCTCTAAGGAGAGCCTGTGCCCCTTGTCAGAGACAGGTTCAGAGGAGTGCTAATGTTTGTTTTTGGCACTTAGTGCTACCTCCTGTCATTTCTAACATAGTGATGGTACCCCAAAGAAGGCTTTGGAAATGCCAGACACTGCCTATGTATTTCATTCATTAACCCCAATGGACCCATAGATATATTTTATTGTCTTGGGTCGGCCACTCATCTAGATGTCCATTGCTTCCCCAATGTCACTACCATGGTTAGGTCCAGGATCACTCCTTTCTGCTCCCTTCCCTCCTTCCCCACCTCTCTTCCCTCTCTCTGTGTGTACAGAGAGAAGCCTTAATGCTTTTTAATGTACTATTATCGGACATGGTGATTGTAATAATAAAGTAGTACTGTGACACTTTTAGGACAAGCAGTCAAGCAGAACTGTTTACTATTCAATCCTGCATTTCTGCCACATCCATTCCTGATGTTGTAGTTTATTGTATAATGTTATGTAAAATCTACCTACCGTGATGCAAATTTCTTGCTCGTTTATCTTTTACCTAGTTTCATCTCAGAAATCAGAATTTAAATAAACAGGAATTACTGATGTGAAAAGTATGTGTTAAAATCACTCAGTTAAGGCAGTTCATTTGAACCACCATCCAGTAATATTTTAGCTAAATAAACTCAAATTATCCAGTGAGATAGTGATGCACCAATTACAATTAAAGAAATCACTTCAGCTGCTGCTATTTTCTACAAAGTACCAAGCCACTCTCAAGGCGTGCTTTGCAGTTTCCATGCTGTGTGGTGTTGTGCTTATTGTTTAAAGTTGTTGTGGGAATGAAAACTTATAATCGCTACAGTTTGTTTTACCTATAAAATTAAGGTTAGAATGAAATATGTTATTTAACAGTCATGTCTCTCCCATCAGTTCCATATTTTTGGGAAACAATAATAACATTATCTTTTGCAACAAAGATAGAGAGAGAGAGAGAGAGAGAGAGAGAAGTCAAGCATAAAATGCGGAAATGTCTAAAAAGCAGTTGCACCAAATGATATTATCATAATCCAACGCAATTCCAAAAGGAGCCTGAGTTAAGAATCATACCTAAGCTGTGGACAAATAACCAATTTGCTCAAATTATTACGGTAAAACAGCACATAGGTCCAACTACAATCGATATAAACCAACAGTTTGCATGTCCAGTTCTATACGAAGATGGCAATAACCAGATTGTTTGTAATATACAAAATACTGATGAAGGTTAGTTTAGACTGTTATTTTGTCAGAAGTTATTGCCTAGTATAGCTAGTTAGCTACATCAGTCGTGGAAATTTTGGAAGTCAGAATGACTCAGCATCCCTTAGAACAAACTCAAGTAAGTACATATAAATCATTTGACCTAACAAGAGAAAAGAAGGTGCTATAAATATTGAAGAACAGTTGCGTCATCAAAAAATTCTATTGGATTGAAATTCAAATAGTAAACATAACTGTACAAAAAAACTTGCCTGATCACCCTGCAAAACCATTAATACGGGAACAACCGCTAACATGCAATATGTTTCCTTCCAGCGAGCATGCAAATGAAATATATAGTAAAAGAATGTTATAGATCAGAAAGAATAGAAGTCCGATTCCCATAAGAATCAGTGGAATAAATAGCATATGCATATTTTCAATCGCAGGAATTTCATATGAAATAATTTAATTCCAGCAGTAACCAGGAATTTCTTGATACGAAAAAGGGACATATATCTTGGAACAGCAGGCTGGTTCATAATAAGGTAATAGTTCAACAGTAGTTGCATTAGTAGCTTACATTTAGCGATCTACGCAACCACCTAAAGTACCTAGCTTCATATGCTGGACGTTCATAACATGCACAAGAAAAGTGTATCCAGCACAAAAGGGGGTCTGTGCACCATGAGACATGCAAGAGTTTAATACCGCAGACAATTGACATTAAGCATTTATGACATATCTTCATGATAGAGATGAAGTCCAAGACCAAGACGGGTACAAGCTCGGCGAAAAGCCATTGCTTCAGCCTTCTGCACAGGATCTCCATAGCCTGTATCATCAGCAGAAGAAGTTCCAGTGGCTTCTCTGTAGATCTGAAAGAAATATATCCCAAATAGGTCAGTTCTACCATATGTTAATTAAACAGAACTATGTAATGTTAGTATGTTAAAGCCTAGCATTTCAACGCTTCGAGTTGAGATGAGTTTGTATTTAACAAAGGAATGCTGAGTGATCTCCAGGATCCTCGCCTTACCATTTGGAATAGAATTTCATTAGTATATTTATATGCATCAGCATGTGCACTCCATGATTGAAGAACTAGTAACATACTGGAAGATTACAAATGGGAGAATAGTAGAAAATGCAGTATATGAATCTAAATAACCTAAACCATACATAACAGTACGACACAAAGCATGCCTAGTAAATTTTGATGAACTATGGCATGAAATCCTAGTTCAGCATCAAAAGAAATCCTGCATCAAAAAGGGGGCAGCCATACTTAGTTTGAAATTTATCAGCAGATTGTCAATAGTACCATACTAGAAGGCCTGGGATTCAATAATTCATCCATATCTTCTAGTTTCGGAATGACATTTAGTAATTTAGTTGCAGAGAGCTTGTCATCTATACAAAATATGATTTCCTGGGGAAAATAGGTACCTCTGCATCAGTTCCATGGAGAGTCACGCGATAAATAACAGATACAGATTTTCCATCAGATGAATAAACAATGCTGCGAACCTCGCCAGACCATTCTGCAATGGATACAAAAATCTAAAATTAAAACAGCAAATATGATCACTCAACTTCTGGCCCACTTTGAAACTAATCCCTCTACAAGAGTATAAGTAAACAGCCAATGTAGTAGTGACCAGAAAAAAACTCACCTGGAGCATGTATATTCAGAATTTTGTTAACAATGTGCCTGCAAAAGTCATCAGAAGTGAAAACACAAATACAACTATATGAGCGTCATTTACCCAACTCAAACAATGGTATGGTTGCTGAAGCTCATGGCATTACCGATTGTAAAGTTAGCTAGGTGGATATGGTTGTTTAAGGAAGATCGTATGTTTTATCCCTTCTTATTGGAGAAGTTGTTAGTGAATACATGTATATAAAGGAGACCATAATGCTACCATTGAGAATTAAAAAGAAGATGAATTGCTCTCAAGAATCAAGACCTTCAAGTTTTTTATATTTAATCTAGCTCCTCTCAAAGCAGCAGGTGGCCAAATTTTTTCCTCTCCATCAATCAATCCCAAATTTTTACACGAACGAACCAACAATTACATGTAGTTCACACTTCGCAGAACAGTGTAGTGTGTTAGGTCCAAGCATCATTCAGCTGCTAAGCACGATTCTACAAGTATAATCTAGGACATTAATGTAAACCACATCAAAAATCCGCAAATACGCGCAACGCGTTAAAAACTAACAGGGAAATCTCCCAAAATAAGCCGATCCCTGTGTTGGTGTGTAGGAAGGGAGGATTTCGATAGGCCATCGAAAGTGATCGAGCGGGCTCACCATGGGATGTACTTCAGGGAGAAGCCATCTTCGACGCGCGTCTTGACGAGGGCCTCGGGGACCCTCTTACCGAGCTCCCTGAGGACCTCGGCGAGCGGCTTGCTGATGCCTTCGGTGGGCGCGGGCGCGGCCACCTCGCCGCCGGCGAAGTCGTCCTCGTCCTCCGACGGGAAGGCCGGCTCCTGCGGCCGGCGCGACGCGCGGGCCTTCGCGGCGAAGGGGCGCGCGAGGAGAGGGGTGGCGGCCGCGCGGCGGCCGAGGAGGAGGCGGGCTAGGGCACCGGAAGCCATGGCGGGGGAATCGGGGGATGCGGAGGGGGCGGGGAGAGCGAGAGGGGTTTGGTTGGGGTTTTGGAGTGGAGAATCGGAAGGTCGCCTTTTATTGCGAACAGAAAATCTATCGCACGGCATCCCGTGGCGGTGCGGGCGGTCACGGGACAGCTTTAGGGTCCCTTTGAATCGTATGAATGAAAAAACAGAGTAATAGGAAAAACACAGGATTCTGACAGGAATACAATTGTAAAACAGAGGATTACAAAACACAGGAAAAACACAGGAATGGCCGTTTGATTGGACCACAGGAAAAACGCAAGAATCAGATGAGAGAGATAGACTCAGAGGAAATGTTCCAAGAAGTTAGACATCTTGCTAACTTTCCTCCAAAATGTGCATAGGATTACCCATTCCATAGGAATTTTAAAGGATTGGATAGGATTCAATCCTTTGTCTCAAAGGCCTTCATAGGATTTTTTTCCATAGGATTGAAATCCTCCAAAATTCCTACATTTTTCCTACAAATCAAATGGGCCCTTAATGTGTCCGAAACGCCACGGCTTACAGCTTGCAGCTACTCACAGCTCCCTTCCTCTCTCTGTGTTTTTCCCCTCTATTCACAGCGCTCGCCGGCGTGCGCAGCCGCTCCCCTCCCTCCCTCCGCCTCCCCACGCCGGCGAGCCTGCGCCGCCGCTCCTCTTCCTCCCTCCGTCCCCCACGCCGGCGGTGCTGCGGCGCCACTCCCATCACATCCTTCCTTCGATCGGAATCGGCTCCTCCACTCGGCGCACTCCACTCCGGCCGATTCCTCCATCCTCCACGTCGGCAGTGCTGCATCTTCTTTTGGCTCCCTTCGTTTCTTTCCACTGGTACCTGTCGTGCTCCGGCCATAGGTTGATTTACCATCGCTTCAACGACCTACATCCACATCGCGTCATCTAAAGTTAGTGATGGTGTTTGTTTTAAAATGTAAAGGCAACTCCATAGTGCTTTTGAACCATGTACTGACCTCCCCCCCCCCCAACAACCAGGCCAACTATCTGGTGGTACCACCATTTTTTTTGTTTTAAATCATGTGAATATGTGAACAAATGTCACCATGTAATGGCTACTGCAGTGTCACCATGTGAAATACATCCAAACTTATCTTTCATTTGCAGCACTCAACTTTTTTTATGCTTGTTGTGTGATATTTTTTTAAAAAAATATATACCGCGAATTTAAACCATGAAATCAAAATGTCAATAAGTATATGGGGGTTGGTACCTAAAATATTTTTTCCCTGTATTTGAAAGGTATCAGGGTCTTGGTACCTCACAAAATGGGGTTGGTACCTACAAGCATCGGAGGCTTTGATTGGTACCTTCCAGTGAAGGTACCATGATATGGTACCTTGGTACCTCACACAATGGGATTTGGTACCTAGTACCAGGTACCACACCTGAACCTAGGGTTACTGTGAGGCACACGGTACCTGCTACCACCACCTTGTCTAAACTAGGTACCAGACCTTGTACCTCAATGAAAACCCAGGTATCAGGTCTAAACCTAGGAACCAAACATGGCACCTCACAGGATAGGGGTACCAACCTCACAAATACAGGTACCAGGGTCTGGTGCCTAGCAACAACCAAGGTACCGGTACCTCACATAAAACCCAGGTACCAGGTCTAAACCTAGGAACCAGACATGGTTCCTCACAGGATAGGGGTACCAGCCTCACACAATACAATACAGGTACCAGGGTCTGGTGTCTAGAAACAACCAAGGTACCAGACCTGGTACCTCAAAAAAAAACCCAGGTACCATGTCTTAACCTAGGAACCAGACATGATTCCTCACAGGATAGGGGTACCAGCCTCACAAAATACAAGTACCAGGGTCTGGTGCTTAGAAACAACCTAGGTATCAGGTCTGGTACCTCACAAAAAACCAAGGCACCAGACCTGATACCTTACAGCACATGGTCACTATAGGTATCATGACTGGTACTACACAGTCATGACTAGCTTAGTACATGTATTAGGCATGACCAACTCAGTACTTCTCACAACAAGGTACCAAGATCACCTCACAGTACAAGTATCAGATAAAATTCAAGTATCAAGTGCAACAAAATTTGACATTCTCTGACCATACATCACAATTGTTCAGAAGCTTTCCATTCAGTATCAGGCATCATCATCATGACTTGATACTTGTTCCATTGCTCTTTCAACAGAGACATCTTCCTTGCCACTCTACTGTTCTTTGATACTTCTTTCACCAAGGAAATCACTCCCTTCATTTGCTATCTTTTCTATCATTCTTCCAGCGGATCCAACCGAGGAGTCCATTTTTTAACTGAAACTACAACAGCATGAATAATTCACACATTTTTTCAGTCATTTTTTGGCCCCACACATAACAAGCAGAACACAAACCATTATAGCTTGAAAAAAATAGACATGCTGATACCTACACTAGAGACAAGCTGATACCTAAACTAGAGAAAAACACTGATACCCAAAAACTAGAGAAGATGATACCTGTCTGGGCAGAAGAAGGAGCACTCCTGCTCGGAGTGAGGCGTGCCGGGTTCTGGCTGGGGCTGCTCGGAGTAGTTGCGGCGTCGCGGAGCGTCGCCGGCGAGGTATCGCACGCCTCCGCGCGCGATACCGAGCCAGGTTCTGGCTTGGGGGAGTCCCTACTTGGAGTAGTTGCAGGCGGTGCCGGCGAGGTATCGAGGATTCGGGGCGAAGGAAGGAGCGCTCTTGCTCAGAGTAGTTGCGGCGTCGCGGAGCGTCGCCGGCGAGGTATCGAGCGCGATACCGAGCTGGGTTCTGGCTGGGGTCGCTCAGAGTAGTTGCGGCGGCGCTCCGCGCCGCCGGCGAGGTATCGCACGCAGCTGGGTTCTGGTTGGGGTTGCTATGAGTAGTTGCATATCAGCCGGGTTCTGGATAGGGAATCGAGCAGAGTTGGCCTTGGTCGGAAAAATGACGAAGTGTGGTATTAAATCTGTCGGGGTGGTTTTGTTAATTATCCCGTGACTACTGCGTTGCAATGGAATCCCGTACGGTAGCTGCCCTCTATTGCGAAGTATTGGAATGGTTTGGGTTTTTCTACGGAAGCTTTGCATTATTATTTTTCCAGAGTATTTCGGCCGTATGGTTTCGCTTTTGCATGCTACTCCCTCCGTTTCATAATGTAAATCATTCTAACATTTTTCACGTTCATATCGATATTAATGAATCTAAAAATATATATCTATCTAGATTTATTAACATCATTATAAATGTATAAAATGTTAAAATGACTTACATTGTGAAACGGAGGAAGTAGTATATTTCCTGTAATTCACTGTAACTATTCTTCGGAACCTTGCTATACGTACGACTACTCCATTCAACCGGTGTCCGACTGAAATGGCACAACACCATACCACGTAACGGCGTAAGGCTTCGTATGATGTTCTGCATGTTACCGACGCCGTGTACTTCGCAGTCGTTGGAAAGTTGGACGCTCAGGTCGCGTGTGTAGCATTTTCATTTTCTTTGTTACTGGTAGATTTGGTCCTGCAGCTCATTTTATTAATATTTTTTAGGCAACTAAAAAGTCATAATACCTTATTAAGTCACCTAGCACACTAGTAGCTAGGAGAGTTAACTTCTGCCCCATTATCACATGAAGCTCTTAAGTCCTACTGTTAGCGCGGACAATGTTGTTATGGTTTCTACCGCTATAAAATCGAATTAATTTGCAAGCATATATAATTCATAGCTATCCCTAGAAATTCATCTTGCTTGAATCAATTCATATTGTTCCTACTAGTTTCCATGATTGCTACAGGAGAGGAGATTATACGGGAGAGAAGACGGTGGCACAACTCATAACACAAGTGAGGCAGCTTGGGTCCTAAAAAATGTTGAGAGATTTTAAAAGTTAAGATGGCTACCATGATAATCTAGAGATAACCGCGTGGTTTTATCCGCGTGGTTTTATAAACCCTGTTAGAAACTTCAGAGCCATTATGATAGGTGTGGATACTGAGGCAGCTCAATTTGTTATGCTAAAAGCAAGCTCATGAACCGAGTCGGAAAACCTTAGCGAGCTAAAAGCCTGATTCAACTCGACTCGCAAGTTGGCTTGTTAGGTTTATTAATATATCTATTATTATTCTTTTTTTGCCGAGAAAGACCGAATGAGGCCATCCGAGTATATTAATAATAAATAAAGTTACAAACAAAACACGATAAAAACTATCGAGGTCGGAAGTGCACCAAGGTACATGACCAGATAGCCACGTGCTAACCACACAAACACAACCAACCGAAGGTGGAATCTAGCACCGAAATAACCCCTGCTAAGTGTGACCGAACGCGGTCAGGCTTACGACAACACCACCAAAACGAGACTCTAAAAACAATGCTCCCACGAAGGTCACAACATCAAGGATGTCACCATCATCCATCTAAGAAGATGTGGTTTTCACCTAGAGAAACATCAAGGGAGAGGGGTATCATAATTTCAAATCTATAATTTTATCATATGCATAAACATAAATAATAGATATTAACTAATAAAGAATTCATTATATACAAAATAGTCTAGATGTAATTAAATGATCAAGCACTATTTAAGAATTTCGAGCAGCTCGCTAGATTAAGGTTAGTTATTTTTCTCAACTTCAAACTTTAATTTTATCGTTTTCCGTTAGTATGCTTTTCAAACTGTTAAATGATATGTTATTTAAAAAAAAATCTATATAAAAGTTATTTTAAAAAATCAAATAAATATATTTTTCAAGTTTATAATTATTAATACTTAATTAATTATGTGCTAATAAGTTTTCTCGTTTTGCGTGAGTTAAAAATCTCTCTCTAAAAAGGAGATATAATGCAACCAAGTATAGTTTGACTTGACGTATTAAGACTTCGACTTCAAATTCGAGGTGAACCAAATCAGATTAGAATCCTCTACAGTTGAAGTCACGTGACTTTCTTACTCTAATGATCTATGGGCTCACATGTCGGTGATAAAGACATCGTGCATTTAACTGAAGAGTATCTTAATCTAATCAGCCCCGTTCGTTAGTCCAACAAAAGTTGGATAAACTTTTGAATACTCGTGGCACGTTTTTCAAACTAATAAACGGTGTGTTTCGTGTAAAAACTTTCTATATAAAAGCTGCTCTAAAATATAAGATTAAATTATTTTTCAAGTTTCTAATAATCAAAACTTAATTAATCACACGTTAGTGCCACCTCATTTTACGTGAAACACTTAATATTTATTTTCATCTTCAGGAGATTCAAACACCACCACATGAGTTTCGTATTTTTGTTCACATGTCACAAGTTTGCACTCGCTCGAACGTTTCGACGGTATAAACAGGGGTTAATTGGATCAATGCCACTGTAAATGTGACAAATCAGAAAAATGCAACTACTATTTATGTTATCGGCCAGGTACCACTGAAAATTTTTAAAATTAGAACCATGCCACTCCCGTTACTATTTCCGTCGTTCTCTCTCACGTCGTCATCCTCCTCTCTCACGATGGCACGGCGAGGGCAAGGCGTCATCCTCCGAGGACGAGGCGGTTGCCGGCGAGGACGTCGCGAGCGCGGGGAGCAGGTGCGGCCGCGGTTGCCGCTGGCGAGTACGGTCACGGGAGGTCGCGGAGGTCGCGGGCGCCGCCGGCGAGGACGGGAGCGGGGAGCAGGCCGGACGGCGAGGCAGTCGTCGTCCCCGAGAAGCTCCGGTCGCCGCCGATCCAGCTCCTCCTCCATGACGAGATCCGAGCAGCACCAAATCCTGTCGACGGACCAGTCGAGGACTGGGCTGTCTTGGGCATGGGACAGCACTGGACTCCCCGTATGGTCGAGCAAGGTGAACTTGCACCGCGCGTTCATGGGACCATCAATTCTATCTTGAAGAATGAGCAAGAAGGACATGCTCCATGGTGAGCCAGAAGCTGCTATGGTATTGGTAGGTGATACGCCAGAGGGGAGCGGGCGTCCGCCGCCGAGGACGGTCGCGGGGAGGTCGCAGAGGTTGGGGAGCGGGCGCGGCCGTCGCCGGCGAGGACGGGAGCTGGCGCGGCTGCGGCCACGGCCGGCGAGGACGGTCGCGGGGAGCGGGCATGGCCGCCGCCAACGACGGCGCGGACGCAGCCGCTGTCGCCGCCGAGGACGGTCTTGGAGGCGGGTGCGGGCGCTCCTTCCCCATCCGTCGCCGTGCTGCACTCCTCTGGCAGAAGAGCTCGTCCTCTCGCCGCTCCTTCCCCATCTCGACGCCTCTCGCCGCTCCTTCCCCATCCGCCGCCGTGCTGCTCTCCTCCGGCGCCATGTTGCCCAACCGCCGTTGAGACCAAGATGAAAGGTGAAGACAGAGACGGCAAAAATTATGACAGAGAGGACGGAAATAGTGACGGAGTGGTATGGTTCTAATTTTAGAAAATTACAATGGCATTAACTCGATTTCATAAATAGGAGTGACATTTTTTTATTTGCCATATTTGTAATGGCATGATCCAATTAACCCTATAAACAGAGGGCCGACGAATTGGGGTAAAAGTGGGAATGGGGTAACGGAGATCGGAACGGACGCCTTTCACCCTTTCCGGCTTTCCCCACTGGTTCTACAGGCATCCGCGCGGATTCAAATCAAATCCCTCGTCGTTACCCATTCCAGCCTTCCCCTCTCACCTTCCCCAATCTCCCTGCGGTAGAACCCTAGAGGAACCTTCTAGAACCCCCGAGCCCCCCCCCCCCCCGCGGCCCCCGGCGAAGCCAGCGAGATGATTCTCCGGACTCCACCGCAGCGGAAGCGGCGGGCGGACTCCGACGTCGACGCCGCCGCCGCCACCGCCACCACCCGGAGCCCCGTTTCCGACCGCCGCCTCGTGCTCTACGACCGGCCCACCGCCCTCGTACCCGCTGGCGTCCCCGGGGAGCCCATGGATGACATGGTCTGCACGTACCACTGCCGTCAGATGGTGAGATCGCTTCGCCCCTATCTTCTACTGCTATTGTTGTCTTAGCCCAATGGTCGGTGGAAGCATAGCGTGTCTAGTAATTTCGGTGTTACTCCAGCCTCGAGCTCCCATTTAGCTCCAGGTAGTCTCATATTTGATATGCTTAGCTCAGTTGATTCCACGCATGCCACATCAAAAATGTAGACAATTATCGATTGATTGATCAATTTGTAAGGAAATAGATGGCGTGGAGCGAATAATTGTGTGTGGCTGTTGCAGTAAGCGTTATTACATGCCAGTGTACCATATTGATATATACATACTGGTGTGTTCTTTTTTCTTGTATGTAATTCTCGTAGGTGAAATCAGAATTTATGGTGGCATTGGACACTGCAGAGAAGCAAGTTCAGGAGTATCGAGCCACACTTGATGATATGGAGGAACGATTATCCAAGAGTGGTATGCTGTTCTTTTTTCGCATGTGTACCTTCTTAAGTTCGATTTGCTATATCCGTTGGTCAAGATACATTTATGTATCACTTGAAGCATGCACGGAGTTTGGGCCTACCTTCTTCCTAGTTGTGTTTAGTTTGATTTGCCGGGCGCAGAAAGTAGGAAGGACACGTAGTATTGAATCAGATTCACTGCTCTAAGCAATCTACTGTTAGAAATAGGTGTTAGCTTATTACATTCGAAGCAATTGCATGCACATACTTAAAGGTAATCAATAAACATTTTTTTACTGCTTCAGAGGATGAGAGGGCAACATGCCAGGACAAACTGAATTATGTCGAGCAAGAATTGGCAGCAACAAAAGGTCGGGAAAGTGCAATGCAAGAGCGATTATTAAAGGAGGTGGGTGACTTTCAGGAACGCTACTGTGATCAAATCAAGAAGATAGGGGAACTTGAGGTATGCAAATCTCCTTTGGCACATGACCTCCATCCCGTCACATAGCTGGTGACTTGCCTTTAATGTACACCCCCCATTTCTTTTGGTTAGTTCCTTCTGCACCACTGAATATTTGCAAAAGGCCTCATTAACTCCCTAATAAAGTGGGTCTGGACGTACACACCCACTGGGACATTGGCTTGACACATAAGTGATGAGGCAAACATTCAGCTCCTTTTTTTAATCGTATATCTGCTCATCTATTGGCATGACTAATGAAGATCTTGGTGCTGCAGACGCAGCTGAAAAAAGAGATTGATTCTCGAATTGCTGCTGAATCATCGTCAGCATCCGCAAAGGAGTCAGTCAAGGAGTTGGAGGGGAATTTGCAGCGTTTATCTGAAAATTCAGAAAGGGAGAAGAAAGCCCTTAAGAAGAAGCTTTCATACTTGCAAGACGACACAAAATTATCCATTTCTAAACTAAATGCGGAGGTCTGTATTGTTGAACTCTTGTGCATAATGATTTATTACTAGATATTGGCTTATCTGTTTGAAAATGTCTGATGATAGCTTGAAAGAATGAGACTCAGGGCGCTAAACTCTGAGGACGAAGCAAAGTTGCTGAATGAACAGTTGGAGGACTTAAAAAAGCAACTAGATGAGGTCAGCTTATCTCTAATTTGCATGCTTGTCAGCTCATATTTTAATTTGCATGCTTATTTTTGTCTAGCAATATTTCTAATCTTTCCCTGCTAAGAATAGGCTATCTCATTAGATCATCTTTCTCATCTATTTTACTATTTGTTTGATATTTTTGTTCAACATCTATATTGATTTAATTTGTTTCTGGTCCTTGCCAGAGTGTTCGTGAAAATAATGAGATGGAGCACAGGCTATTGAATTGCAGTTCTTTATCTTATGAACGTACTCCATCAGACGATCAGAAGTTGATAAAGCTTTTGCAAGAGGAGCTCCGGAATTATGTGAGCATTATAAATTTGATATCTCCCAGATAGGTTCATAGCTGATTCTATCTGACTGGTTATTTTTCTTGCTTCTTTCATGCACTTGTACAAACTACAAAATGCTTCTTTGGATACACGTGGCTAAACAGCGAAATACCAGCTATTGATGACTGGCAGAATCTTATGTAACTAATCAGTGTCTTGCCGATATAAGCCTTACATCGTTATTACCATTACCTGCTTAGTATTATTAGATAGCATAGGGCCTTCCCATTCATAGTGCAGGGTAATAACACTGACAGAATGTGTCATATTAAAGTTCTGCCCACCCACCCCCCCCTCGCCCCCCGATACCGCAACATTATTAGCAGTGACTAGTTTTTTTTCCTCGAGAACAGCACTTGCTAGTAATTACTGATGCAAAATTTATGTTTTAGTTCCAAGGGAGTTGTTTTTCTATGGCCAGCTACCATAAATGTAGAATGTTCAAGCTGTATTGAAAGCTCTAATCTTCGCACAAGTGCGCTAGGCTGCTTGTTCTTATATTCTTCTTCTTGGATTCTAGATACAATGCTTTCCTGTAGCTGTCTTAAAATTGGATATTGTACAAGTGCTGCTTAACTTCGTTCATCAAGGGACCCTTTCTCCATGCAATGCACTTAGTTACCCCCTTCCCCTCCATTCTTCAGCTTTAGGCATATCTGAAGTTTTATTTCTTACCTGTCATTATATTAGGTTGTCTGAAATGAACTATTGTCCAAAATGAATGCATTTTTACCTGTATGGTTCTGTGCATTTAGGAAAAAGAAGTTGATGAAGCTAGAAGGTTGAAGTCTTCCCACACAAATGTTGAGTTACTTAAAGAAAAAATATTGGAGGAACAGGGGTGCAGGGAGAGAGCAGAAATGGAATTATCTAAGCTGCAGGAAATTGAAGCTAAAGCACAGAAGTTGGAGCTTGAATTAGCATCATGCACAGCATTGCTCAGCAACATACCTGATGTATCTTCTTTTGGTGATATACCTCAAAAGATCGCAGATTTGCAGAAGTGCGTGTCCATTGTTACAATTTCAATTTCATTTGTCTGCTATAGGCGAGCGCTATCAATTATCTGTGCTTCTTTCTTTCTTTATGTAAGGTTTATATGGTTATTTTGATTTTTAACAGGCAAGCATTGACAAATTTAAATAAAGTTGGTGAGGTAACATCACAGTTGAAAGAATTAAAGGTTGCATTGGAATTTGCTGATCTTAGCAAGCAACGGGCAGAAGGTGAAGCAACCCTTGCCAAAGAGAGGGCTGAAAGTGCTACTAGGGAGATCAAGCGGCTTGAACTTCTGGTACTGTTGTTTATTGCTATTTTTATAATTACTACTGTGATGCTAGTTTCTACTCCCCCCCTCAGTGCAATGCAATTCTGTAGATCCACTTGTGGCACCATAGCAAGTTCATAATCTGTTCATGCAACGATAACTCTTCCTCTGTACATTCTGTAATTACATTGATAACTTGTTCTTTCATACCCCATGATTTCATGCTGTCATTCCATTTGCTGTTTGTTTTCTGAACAGCTTGCTGCCATCAGTGAAGAAAGGGATAGATTAAGAAAGGACCATGCTGTGTCGAAATCTAGGGATGGAGATGATGCATCATCCAAGGTTTGTGATTTTTTTAATAAAATTGACAGTTTTGTGCCTTTATCATTCTTAATGGAATGCACAATATTTCTTGTGAGGTGACAATCCAGAATATGGAATCGGATCTATCTCGAATGGAAAAGGTAGTAACAGAACTGGAGAGCACTATACGTGACCAGAGAGAACTAATTAGTCAACAGCACACTGAGCTCAATTTGATGAATGAAAAATTGAGCATTGAATCAAGAAAAGCAAAATCATTGGAGCGAGATGGAGATCAACTACGCTCACAGGTGGCTTTACTTGAGTCAAAGGTAAGGGTTAAGATGAACTATTGAAATGGTATCTACATATGCTCATTCTGTTGTTTAGAGTAGTTTCATTTCGAAAAGGCACCCTTACATCTCATGTTTATCATGGTCCCATTTTCTTCATATTGCTTATATCTGTCTGGAACATCATAAGTTTGGATTAATTGTTCCAGTCCGGGCAACCTTTATTTATTTGTTTATTTGTAAGCAAACTATCAAGAATTTGGCTCCATTTATAGAGTGTACTGAGAAATGAAGCTTTATTCCTTTTAGTAAGGTAGCATGTCTATCTATCTTCTCTCATGAGCTGGTGTGAGGCTGTGAGGTACTGGACAGGGATGCTTCTCCTGCTTCTGTGAGAAAGCATGATTGGGACCATTATTTTTTTTCAGCTTCAAATGAAGCTTGGCTGAATGTTTTTGTGCTTAATTTCTGTTGTGTTTGTTGTATGTTGAGAGTTACCGTTTGCTGCTGGTGCAGTGATATATTGTTGGAGTCTCAAGTGAATGAATCTTCTTTTTTCAATAGAGTTGTTTTTCACAGTTGTCAGAAATGCCACTGTAAACAATACTAACTTAGCTGTTGATTAAAACCATGTTTGTACCTTGAATGTTCTTGTTATGTTTGACAGCTGGGCCATGGAGATTACTCTGCCTCTAGCACAAAAGTACTGCGTATGGTAAATACTCTTGCAGTGGACAATGAAGCAAAGCAGACTATAGAGGCATTGCAAGCTGAATTGAAGAAAACGAAAGAGAGGCTACAAGCAGTTGAAGAACTAAAAGGACAAGCTGGTGAGTGGTTTTATTCATCTTTTCGTCCTTGTGACAGTGTCCACATTTTTTGTTGGAACCGTGTGATAGAGTTACTACCTAAAGGATTGTAGGCTGTAGCATTCATTAATCAGTTGTCACCTACTCAGTTTTTTTAATTATTCAACAATATCTGATAACTCTTTTTTTTCTAGTCATTGCTCCATAGTCTAGCAAGATGTGAGAATCCTCAGATCTTCAACGCTTCATCAAACTTTAAATAGAATATTTATTTTACTGCAGATGTTGGAACTGTGGTTGATGTGAATATTGCTGAAAAGCTAGCACAGCTTAAAAATCAAATTGCAACCCTAGAGAAACGTGAAGAAAGGTACCCACTTTGTTATCTGTATGTTATAAGCTTCTGTTCATACTGATTTGTTAGAAAATGACCTTACAGTTTGTTTGAAACAGATATAAGGCAGTATTTGCAGAGAGGATCTCAGTTTTCCGAAAGGCTTGCTGCTCGCTCTTTGGTTATAAGGTATTATTAATATGACACAACCCATATTACACAGTGGATCAACCCTATCTATCTATTACTGCTATTTGTGCATTCTCCACCTCTTTTTTTTTAGAGATGAGGGATTCATGTTAGCATCTTGCGAATCTTACATAGTGAATCTGTATGCATTAGTATGCCAAGTCAGTGTTTTGGGATTTCATCCAATGTGAACCTCTTGAACCCAAATTAAAATTGACTCTCGATCCTGGTGTTTGAAGCTAAGGATGAAAGAGTACATCAGTATTTGTGTTGTGGAGTGTGGACATGGTTAGTTTGATACTTCTCAATCATGCTGTCTTTTGGTTTGAAAATTTTGATTGCCTTCGATTGTTGCATTGGTCATGCCTATTTCAGATAACCGTGCTCATCATTTTCTAGCTTCAACATTTCGTTTGATTTTTTCTCATGCCTTTATGTTTGATGTCAATACTATTTGACGTAACCTTTTCAATTTTATGGTTTTAGATAGTGATGAATGATCAGCAACAGTCAAATGGGATCCCTGTAACACGTTTTATTCTGCATTCTGTTTACGCCCAAAGTGATGATGAGAAGCTTGAGTTTGACTACGAATCTGGAAGCACCAATATTGTGGTAGGATTATTACCTTGCTGAAATTATCATTCCTATAATTTAACAGGGCATTATTTGATGTTATTAATGTATATACAGGTCAATGACTACACTTCTCAACATGAAATTGCTCAGCAGGTATTCAGCGTATTGGTTGCATTTGACTGTATTTCTTTTTTCTGATGCATGGATGAAATAACTAAAAAGTAATGTTACAGATGTGTATAGGAGGAAAGTGTGGAAACATCGTTATTTATTCTTGTCTAATATGACTATTTATTTATGTCCTCTAGTTTTGCATCTAGGTTGTATGCTGCACAAATGAATAGTCTGGTTGGTGTCTTAGTGAATTGCGTTAGGATGCAATAGATAAATCCCAGTGGCTAGATAGGTGTACATTTACTTAACACATCACATTTCATTTAAGGCATATCTCTTGGGGTGCTCAGGAACCAGCAACCAAGATGTTTCTAATGAGAATGCTGTACACATTTTCTAGACATCAGATTGTTTGAAGTTGGAACAAACATTTGATCTGGACACCCATACCATGATGGTCTTACAACAGCAAATTACAGAACTGTTTTTAAATCTTGTGTTGGGCCACTTGGTTTTACTGCTTCTGATGATGCAACTATACATTTTCAGGTAGATATTTTCATACGAAAGATGAATTCTATCCCGGCCTTCACAGCTAACCTGACAATGGAATCCTTCAACAAAAGAAGTATCTGTTGAAGATAAAAGTTCAGTGAGAATTCATATTGTTGGATTTTGTGAGTATGCTTTCTTCGAGTCACCGAAGATTGGAAAATGTATTTCATTTTGGAAACACTCTGGGCTCATGTCTTTCCGATGCATTATCACAGCTTCTCGTAGTAACTGGAGATGTCCAAATTGTTATGTTGTGGCAGCCCTGGACCGTGGTCGAGCAAGCTCCTAGATATAGCAAGGTTCCCCCCACCCTTTTTCATATATACTAAGGTGCAATTGATATACCTTGTGGTTTTTTATATGTTTTAACGATTTGTTCAAATGTCAAAAGCTGAGGAGCACGGCGTGTTACTAATTGGACATGAGTAGAGAGTTGATGCCGGGCTGTCACATACTCACATGGATTCACCTCTGTTATGATTTTTGACAAAGTATATATGAATGCGAGCGTTACTTGTACTGTGGCCTGGACTGAAGCATGAGCTTTTGTAAACTGTAGCGAACTATCATATGTAACTGAGCCATGTGAATTGTTAATTACCGCAAACCAGAATTGGTTTTCTTAACATGCTATCATCATAACGTAATGCACGCAACGCGTAGATCCCAGCCGAAAGCAGTTAACTTAACTTTACCCCGTTCCCCTGCATTTTCTGGGCTACACCGATCCATTCCCCTGCATTTTCGGGGCTACACCGATCCATGATTGGTACATAGTACGCCGGTGAATCCGACGTACAATCAGCACACGTAAATTCGTTGTCATGCATGGATGAACTCTCCCAGGTCAGGTCCCATGTCTCACACGCTCAGCATGAGGCGCCTCACACGAAATGGCCGCCCCAAACCGAACCGAACCCCGCGCGGTGCAGGCGCAGGTGGCCGCGGCTGGCAGATAACCAGCGCGTTTCGCTCGCGCGCCGGCACATAAATCGCGTCGGCCTCCGGCTGCCCGAGAGCCGTACGTACTACAGAAATACAAGTGCTAACTTAGCTTATTAGCGGATAATCCCCCCAGCGAGCGAGCGAGCGAGGCTGCTGCTGCGAAATGATGGTTTGTGATTTATCCTGTCAATTGGTTAAGTTGTTGTGTTTAGTTATTTTTGGGTGAAATACCGTATGGATCAGTGGCTAAAGTGAATTTCTTGTAGACACTGTCGACGTCGGAGCGGCAGCCGCAGCCGGAGAAGAAGCCGCCACGGACGAGGCCGCCGCTGCCAGGCAAGGCCGTGGCCGCGCTGTGCGTGGCGAGCTTTGTCGTGGGCTTGCTGCTCAGCGGCCGGGTGGTGGTGCCGTTGCTACCTCCGGGCTCGTCGTCGCCGGCGAGCAACTACAAGACGTCCTTCTCTACTGGCTGCGAGAACAAACGCGCTGTAAGTTGCATATACACAGAGTCCAAACTGATCTCTAATTTCAAACGGTTGCATGCATGACAACTGAGCTTGCACGTACACACCCTACTTTTTTTTTTTTTTGGAATCCCCAATTGACACCCTATATATTTTTTGTGTCCTGGTCGGCTGATCCAACTCTGGAAAATCTCTCAGAAGCTAGGCGAGAGCAATCCAACGGACATCATGAACGAGGTGTCCAGGACTCACCACGCAATCCAGTAAGCATTTTCCTTCGATCAAAGCGAATCATAACGTACGTATCTCATGCGAGCCCAATGGTGATCGAACTGTGCGAGCTCCCTCCGGCCTATAGGTCCCTGGACAAGGCGGTGTCTTCTCTGGAGATGGAGCTCGCCGTGGAGCGCGCTCGGAGCAGCGCCGCCGTCGGCGCCGGCACGGCCGTCTCATCCCTGGGCCCACAGAAGGCCTTCGTCGTGATCGGCATCAACACCGCCTTCAGCAGCAAGAAGCGCCGCGACTCCCTCCGCGACACCTGGGTCCCTAGAGGTCACAAAAACTTACAACAATTTTTCAGTGATTCCCAAAATGCATTTTTTTTATTTTAAAAAAAGAGATTAGGAGGAGAAACGTCACTCAAAATATTTTTTTAAGAAAAAATTATGAGCTGCTGAGGATTAAATACGGAATCTCGAAATTGAAATAATACATCCTCTCATCACTGCACTATCAGGTGCATCTCCCAAAATGTTTTGTTTTGGGGAACCAGTTCCAAGTATCGATGTGTATGGTTGTGCAGGGGATAAGCTGAGGAGGCTGGAGAAGGAGAAGGGGATCGTGATCCGGTTCGTGATCGGGCGGAGCGGCGCGGCGGCGGCGGGCGACGGGCCGCTGGACCGCGCGGTGGACGCGGAGGACGCCGAGAACAAGGACTTCCTGCGGCTGGATCACGTGGAGGGCTACCACGAGCTGTCCTCCAAGACCAGGGTCTACTTCACCACCGCCGTCGCCACCTGGGACGCCGACTTCTACGTCAAGGTCGACGACGACGTCCACGTCAACCTCGGTAATGCACCATGCAAACACAAATTAATACACCATTATTCATGCTCGAATAAATAATAATCTCGATCTTGTTCGTGAATGAATGAACAAATTTTCGTTGCAGGGATGCTGACGAGCAGGCTGGCCAAGTACAGGACACGACCGAGGGTGTACGTCGGCTGCATGAAGTCCGGACCTGTTCTGTCGCAGAAGTGAGCAAATGGAGATTAAAATCTTGTGTTTTGTTTGTTGGTAGCCTGATGCATGGATGAATTTGTCGGTGTTTTGTTGTTGTTCGTTGTTGCAGGGGAGTGAAGTACCACGAGCCGGAGTACTGGAAGTTCGGGGACGAGGGGAACAAGTACTTCCGCCACGCCACCGGCCAAATCTACGCCGTTTCCAAGGATCTCGCCGCCTACATCTCCATCAACCAGTACGTACGCTTGATCCTAGCTTGTGTGCTTCTGAAATTGTGACGTGATATGCTCTGAATTTTTCTTCTTCTAGGCCGATCCTGCACAGGTTCGCAAACGAGGACGTCTCCCTCGGCGCGTGGCTGATCGGGCTCGAGGTCGAGCACGTCGACGACCGCAGCATGTGCTGCGCCACGCCGCCAGGTCAATCTCAGCTATCGATTCTTTTCATGATCATCTTCCTAGCTAGTGGTACTACTCCAGATCAGAATTTTTCAGGGTTTTTTGTTTTGTTTTGAACTTTCTTTCGCATTTTTCACTGGCAGATTGCGAGTGGAAGAAGCGAGCTGGGAACGTGTGCGTGGCGTCGTTCGATTGGTCGTGCAGTGGGGTCTGCAAGTCAGTGGACAGGATGAAGCACATCCACAGGGCCTGCGGCGAAGGCCAGGGAGCAGTCTGGAGCGTCGCTACGTGATGATCACATCATCAGCTTTAATCGTAGCATTAATCTTTGGTTTTATGATGGTGCAAAGCAGCTAGCGGGCGACGAGGGGACTAGTTTAACTGAATGATCGATTGTTTCAGATGATTAGGAAACGAGCCACGTAGAATGGATGAACGTGCATGATGGTGGAAAATGGAAATGCATGGGTGGTAACTGTAAAAGTGTAAAGGCTTTAGCATCCAATTTCCAGGGGGAGTTGGGTCATGCCATATGCTTCACTTATTAATCACAGCTCTTTCTGCATTTTTAAGGGCTCCTTCAGAACGCAAGTTTTTTTTTATGATTAGTTGAATTCTTATAGTCACCCTTTATATAGTTCGTTTACCTTTCAAAAAGTGCAGCCGTGAGATGTAATTTCTACTCTCAAACTAAAAAAAGGCTGAAGGATGCAGAAGGAACTTTCACATGAATCAAAATATATTGGTTTTTAACTATAAATCTATAATGACCGAATAATTATAAGGTTAGCTTTTAACAATATCAACTAAAACAGTCAACTCCCTCCATCCCAAAATTGCTGGTCATCCCAGAATTGTAGTGGTAAATTAGCTTAAGGTGAAAATTACCACGATGCCCCACATTATTACTAGTTGCATGTTGTCATTTCAATTAGGGGATTACCACAAAAGGCACTAGCCACACAAGGAATATTTTTTAAGTATAGAGTTAACTAAGGACATGTTCAATGCGTACCCCTGGACCATGTCCCTGCTCACGCCGTCGGTGCTTGTCGTCAAGCCGTCTCCTAGCAGAGGGCCACGACCCCAATACAGGGGACGCGGCTCTATGAGCTCCTCGGTTGGGGGACCGGGCGAGGAGTCGCACTGGGTCGGCCGTGGCTAGGGGAGGAGCCTGTGGACATCGCTTTCTCCCCCCATTTTTCCCCTTCTACCCTCGCCAGCCGCCGAAGAGAGAGAGAGAGACAGAGAGTACCGCCGGCGCCGGCGAGGTGGAAGGCGACGAGTCACCGTTCTCCCCGGCAACAACATCGGCGCCTGCCCGCCACTGTCTCCTCGTTGCGGCGCGGACGGCACCGCTCCAACCCGATCTAGCCGCGGAGGGCCAGATGCACCCACGACAGCGCCGGATCTGCCGCTCCGGCCGGTGACGGTGCGAGACGGGGAGGTCAGCGACGGTGCAAGGCAGGGAAGATGGCAATGGCGCGACGGGCAGCGACGTGGGAAAGAGAGGGAGAGAGAGGCGGCGACGGCCGACAAGTAGCACGAGAGAGAGGGGCAAATATGAAAGAGAGTGAGAGATAGAGTGAGAGAGACGGATGGAGGTAGGGGTAGGAGGGGAAAAAAGTCTATGTGGCTTCTTGGGTTGGGATACCCGTTGCGGGCTGGAGTATCTCCATCAAGTGGCATCAAATTTTAAAGAACCCATTAGGGGTATCCTCCATTGGAAGATGAGTTCCCCAGAGAATACCCTTAGTTAGTGAGAGCACTCTAGAGGTGGCTTCGGTTGTATATGCCCTAAGTAGTGTCACTAGTACAAGCGTTACTACTCCAATGCCAAAACAAAGCATGGAAGGACAAACGCTAAGAGGTAAAGCGTTAAGCAATCTGGGACGGAGGGATCGGAGTAACATTTAACCTCCTCCTCAACAAACGGTTGTACTTGTCTAGCTACCAACCACATGAGATATCTTAAAATCTTAGTACATAGGGCTTTGTTCGACTGCAATTAATTTCATTGTTGCGCAACCAACACAAATAGTGTTGTGTCTGCAGCTGCATGCAGCGGCTGTATCGGCCAGTCGAACAGGCCCTATATTACCTTTGGATGTGCATCCAACTGTTACTACTCATCTTCTCCAATCAGCAAAGCTATTGCAGGGGGGAGTCTAGTACGTGAACGTTCGTGGGAGGTGAATCTGGCGATCCGTTTTGATAGGTTAGCCTTTCTTCGTACTAAATCACGTGCCTAATCATGATTTGCATATATTTTATCGTTTTTGTTATAATCAAATCTGTGAATGCTTCGTCCTTTTTTTTTCTCTAAGTTTGTTTAGATTGGACTCTTTTTTTTAAGAAAATATTCACTAAAATTTCTAATTGCAGATATAATTTATATATAGAAAGTTTTTATATATAAAGTCTATATATATATAAAGAGTTTAAATACATAAAAATTTATATACATAAAGTCTCTATATATAAACCTTTTATATGAAAAATCTATATATATATAAAAGGGTATCAGAAAGTCTACCTGTGAAAAGTTTTCAAAAAATAGTTAACATAAAAGTTTCCGTTAATAAGAGTAAGAAAATCTGAAAAACAATCGGCTTGAAAAAAAGAAAAAGAAAAACCAGTTCTCGTAAAAGAGGAAAGAGAGAAAATAAAAAGAAAACTTAATCACGTAAAAGTGTAAACAGATAAACAAATACGCGTGTGAAGAAATATCGATCCCCCACCTGTTCGCGAGATCGGCTATCCGCGAACGTTCGCCAACTAGCTCTTTCGGTTTTTCTCCAACTAGTTGTCATCCAATTGCCGAATAGGATTTGACGATTATCCGTTTTATCACCTTACATGTAAAATCATCTATGGAATGGCTAAATGTACTTAACAAATAGCGAAACTATATATTTATAATTCCTCTGTTTGGTTTTGACTTTGAGTTGTCTTACGATCAGGGGTGGATCTAAGAAGAACTGATATGAGGGTATGAACAAAATATAAAAAACTATATCCCTATCTTATAATGAATGTATGATAGAAAATTTTAGTGATAACTTAATGGGGGCTCCAATGGATACAAGGGACCTGCGGATCCGTCACTGCTTATGATCACCAATATATTTGAATAATCTATTTAACATCAAAGTTGTACGATTAGGTTCATAATCTAAAATACATTACTAGTATCTTACATTCAAATCTATTCGCATTCACATTGTCGATGAGTGATCCTCTCTAGCGGGAGATCGTGAGACCCCCCTTTCGTGAGTTCGGCTGGGGGAAGAAGCTCGCCTCTAGAAATCGCGTATCCGTCCCCAAGGCTCCTAGCTAGCTCGCACACAACCAAATTATACAGGTTTGGGCCGCTATGAAGCGTAATACCCTACTCCTGTGTATAGGATTTAGACTGAGAGTTACAAGGGTTCCTAAACTCGGGAGAACACTCTTACTTCCCTCATCCACAAGCTCAGATTTTCTGAGAGTCGTCCCCTTTCTCGGTGGGCAAGGTCCTCCTTTTATACCTCAAGGGGACACCACATGCACCGCCTCTACCTACTCTTCTTTCGGGTGGGGACCCACCCTATCTTGACTGGAACTCGACCCGTGCCTTCGCCTGGAAGCTAAACCACAGCTTGTCCTTGAGCGGGGCCCAGCGCCGTCCCTCGCCTGACACGGGGGACAGCCCTGTCATTCCCTCATTAATAGATGAAGACTTGTGGTGGCCACCGTCCGAATGACCCTCCGATGGGACGGGTCATACATACCTCCACTCCGCCGGAAGCAGATGCGACGTGGGAGCATTGTTGTCCGTCCAGTCACACGTGACCGGCGTCAGGCCGGTCACAGACCGGTCATTCTTGACCATCGCGCGTCAGTTTAGCACGCCGCACGTCTGCCCCACTGCATTAAATGCGACAGAGGGTAGTTGGGGCGCTGCGCGCATTAAAGGAAGTTCAGTCTAGGCCCCTTCCTCGCTTGCTCCCCCCGCCAAACGGCGGCTGGGTGAGGGCCTCGGGGCAAAGCAGTGCAAGGGCCCGAGGGGCATGACGTGGCACCCCGAGGCCCCGACCCCCCGTCCGCTCCTGCGGTTCGCGGAATGCGGGGACAGGACCAGGCTGTAGGGACACGTGACAGGATGGGAAGGTAGATTCCCCTCAGTTCGCATACCCCCGGGCCCATATCTCCGACAGTAGCCCCCGGCACCACATCGGACATTGGCCTCCTGAGGTCGGTCTGACGTGGTGCCTCACGACTTCCACCAGGTATATCGGAATTGTTTCACTAAGTGGATCAAAAATATTTCACTCGTTTAAATTGGGTGTTGTTTCACCTTATATAAAAACATGTTTCAACAAATAGCGAAAGAATGTTTCAGTTCACTGCAACATTAGATCTATACATAGCGAAACATTGTGAGTACACTAGGTGAAACATTTTTCGGTGGAACAAAAAATAAACCAAATTCCCTTAATAGGGGGTTTCCAAAATATGTGGGTTTTTTTTTTGCAATGGAATGTTTCGTTCACTGCAACATTAGATCTATACATAACGAAACATTTTTCGGTGGAACAGAAAATAAACTAAATTCCCTTAATAGAGGATTTTCAAAATATGTAGGTTTTTTTTGTTGCAATAGAATGTTTAGATTATTTCAGTTCACTGCAACATAAGATCTATACATAGTGAAACATTGCAAGTACACTTGGTGAAACATCTTTTGTGAAAAAATGGGATAGATAAGTGGATGGGTCCAGATAAGGAGAGGTGAGCGCACGTATGGGGGGAGGGGGAGCGACCGATTTTTCCCACCTCCCCCGGTCGCCCGATTATAATCCATTTCCTATTAATATCTACGTTTATACTGTATTTCTCGTAAAAAAATCATTGGGCAGCCAGCCGTCCATAGAAGAGGGACAACGAACACTACCTAAAATTGCTAGCCGTCTGATTGAGAATCAGGGGGCAAGATCGGCATGACAAGAGAGACAGCGACCCATCATCATTAGCACGCAATTAATGGTTAGATGATCCGAACCCGGAGTTCCAGACGCTGCTGTCGTGTCCTTCCAACCTTGAGGCATGGCCCCACCACCACGTCACTAGTGACGACGACCCACCCCCTTCCCTCCCTCCCTTCACCAGTTTTGCAATTTCCTCCCTCCCCTAAGAACGAATACAATAACAGACTATAACCTAGCTATAAACACATTCTAAATAAATAAAAAAATAGATAGAAGAGCAGTAAAGATCGCTGCAGCACATATTACAAGATACATAGATGTATGATAGGTGGGACCAAATATTAATTGTGTACTACTCCCTCTATTCCATAATATAATACACAACCACTTTTCTTAAATGTTCCATAATATAATACATGCATGCAAGCATGCAATTAACTATGACATCTTTTTTCATTAAATTATCTTTTTTAAATCATCCACTCTCATATTATCTAATTCTATTGGATACATGCATTATATTTATGAGGATGATCTAAACTACAAGATGATAATCATTATTTCTTGTTCTTTAGGTTAAGGGTGGTTGTGCCTTATATTTTATAATAGAGAAAGTATATGTTTCTAGGTACCTATGATATGAATTGGCTATTAGATTAATTAAATATAATTTGAAGCCAATAGTTGTTTATACTATTAAACTTGCTCTAAACCCGGTCCAGAAAAGACGGCATGAAATCCCTATCCTGACGGATCATTATCCCCGGGCTGACGGCCACGTGTCCCTCCAAATTTAGGCGGGCGAGGTGGAGGGAGAGGAGAGGAGGCGAAGCGGCCGGAAGGAAAGGAAAGCCGAAAGTTTTTGTTGCTCTCGATTCGATTGACTGGACGCCCGGCTACGGCCTCCCGCGGTCCCCGCCTCGCGTTTTGGGGAGGGCAGTTTCGCCCATCCGCGTGCCCCTTGCTTGGTTGTGTTTCCGTGTTTCCGTATTTGCCCCTCAGCGTCCGTTTGATTCCTCTATGCTCTGCTGCTCTGCTCTGATCTGCTGGGATCTGCCGTTCTGCTCTGCTTTGCCGCAGCCAGAGCAGGGTTAGTACTGGAGTGGAGTGGCGTGCAGTGTGCTACTGTACTGACAGCCAGTGCTATGAGTACCATTCATTTTCGTGCCGTTTCGTTCCTATTCATAATTTAAATATATACTATAATGTATATTCCTAATACTCCATCCTTTCTAAAATAACTCAACCTAGATGGGGTATAATGAATCTGGATTACCCTTTATCCAGATTTGTTGTAATAGGATGTGCCAGATCTATTTAAAATCTCTTATATTATAGGACGGATGGAGTACTAGATATGTAAAACATGTTTGAAAGAGTTTAAAACTATGAGAATATACTGGTTGATAATTAGATTTTGAGAATCTAAAGAAGTTAAGTTTTCCCGGTTCTGGCTTGTAATTTATTTCCTAGGTTATACAACTATATATTTTTAGAATTTGGGTCACACCTTGAATTGTTAATGGAGTTGAAGACTATGTGGAAATTTATAGTAGCTGCTAAAAACTTTCCCAAACAGGTCCGCGATACTAATCTCATGGCTTCGGCTTTCAAATTCTAATACTATGGTATGTCACATTTTGTATTATATTTTTTTTTACTAAGGTAGAGTTTGATAATTGTGCTACTCCCTATACTAGGGATATAATACCTCTATCTCACAATATAACAATCTAAATTATGACGAGAAACTATATAATATAACGAATATGTACTCCCTCCGTCCTATAATATAAGGGATTTTGAATTTTTGGTTGCACTGTTTGACCACTCATCTTATTCAAAAAATTTATGCAAATATAAAAAACAAAAAATGTGCTTAAATTACTTTGGATAATAAAGTAAGTCACAAATAAAATAAATAATAATTCTAGCTTTTTTTAATAAGACGAATGGTCAAACAGTACAAGTAAAAATCAAAATCGCTTATATTATAGGACGGAGGGAGTATATTATATTATACTAAAGAGTAGTATAGTAGTGAGAAAAAAAAAAGAGTAGTATTGGCTTGGGGTGTTGCCACGTCATCACCTGGTGGCCCAACATAGCATTATCTAACCGGATCTACTACTGTACTGGTGGAATAGTTCAAACCGAGGGGAGGGGCATTCCGGGAATTTCGGCGACACGAGGACACGCCGATTTCCCCGCGGACCCTCTCCTCCGAAAACCAGGGGCCTGAAATGACCATCGTACCCCCAAGCCTTTATTCCCTCCCATTTCTCCCGCTCACTTTCCGGAAAGTACCCCCTCGGCCCGTCGAACCCAACCCAACCCAACCACCCACCCAACAACGCTTAACCCTGGTTAGCGCTCTGCCACGACCCTGACGAGCCCATCCCGCCGCGAGCCACCTACACCCGTTCCACCATACGCCGGAGGCTGACCGGTGGGCCCGGAATTCATTGCAGAGCGCTGGTGTTCAAGGACCCGGCGTACGGGGCCAGGCTTCCCCTCGAAGGAATCGACCCCATCACCTTCCTCCTCTTTATCTCGTAGCCGCCGCCGCCGCAAACCCTAACCCGAGTTCCGATCTGGTTCGACGACGACGACGGCGGCGGCGAGGGAGGAAGGCAGATCTGAGGAGATCCGACGGCGGGGGAGAAGGGGGAGATGGTGGTGAACAGCCGGCCGCTGAAGAGGGCGAGGACGCGGGTGGAGGCCAGGGACTTCGCTGGGTTCCCGCCGGCGGGGGACGGCGGGGCTGCCGGGACGTTCCGGGAGGCGGTGAGGGGGTTCCTCGCGAGGTACGCGCGGCTGCTGCCTCTCCCCTCTATCTTCTCGCCGGCGGCCGCCGCGGCACCGCCGCATCTGTTGACGTGGAGGGTGTCGCTGCGGGTCGGCGAGGAGGGGGACGAGGAGGGCGGCGGCGGCGCCGTGGAGCTCAACGTCGTTGAGGAGGATGTGCTCCGATCGCGATCTGTGTATTGTGACCAGTGCAGAGTCGTGGGTGAGTAGCTTTCCTCTCCTTTTATTTTTCTTTGTCTTTTCTTTTTGGGTTTTCTTGGAAAAACATTTCCCCCGATGGAAAATATTATTTTATTATTTTGCCTTTATTTTTTTGTGTGATGATTGCTGGATAATGTCTTTCTTATAGAGTATTACTTTAGTTTTTTTTAGCGAGTTCGGAATGCAACTTTTCTTCGAAAAATGTTACAGAATAAATGTTGTGAATTTTTTTTTGGGAAATAACGGGGTGAAAGGGGCAAATGACGCCGTGTCTGTTTCCAACAGCAATTTCTCTTGAATCTTCTCGCCCCCTTCTGTGACTGTTAGCCTATGCAAGTATTGTTGGCCTGTTGCTTTTGATGTACAATTTCCACATTTGATTGCTGTCACAATCCTTTTGCAAAAGAGAAGAAAAAAATTCAATCCTACAGAAGCAGTGATGTAATCTTGCGCGATGCCATTTGTTTGGTTGCAGGATGGAGTGGTCACCCGGTCTGTGGGAAGCGGTACCATTTCATCATCGAGAACGACAACAACCAGGTGTGCGGCAAGCGCCACAGCTGCTGCCTCCGCTGCGGGACTCCCACAGTCGCTGGAGAATCAAGGTGGGAAGAACAAGCACCGTTAGTTTCAGAGAAGATAAATATAGTCAACTGTAACACCACGATTGGTTTCGGGCGGAAGGATGATAATGTGCCTAGTTTATTTCATATCGTGGTGTAGTTGTCGAGTTGTTCTTATCGTGCCTAGATGCAAAGATTAAACTTGTGAGAGATTTGGTGATCGAATGATGCTGCCCTATGCTAATTGTGGTTCGTGCTAACTTTGGATGCAATGTTTTCCAGATGCCTCCTATGCAACTTTGATATGGATGGCGAGGAGCTGGAGGAGTGCGGGTACATGCATCTGGACGACAACACCCACCTGCTGCACGCTGTGGTGCATGCAAATGGTTATGGCCACCTTCTGAGGGTAAATGGCCGTGAAGGTGGCTCAAGATGTCTCACGGGCCGTGACATAATGAGTTTCTGGGATCGCTTGTGCAAGGTGCTACATGTGAGGTATAAATTGATCGATATGTTTTGGTTCATGTGTCGTTCCTACAAAAAGAGGGTTATTCAGCATGCCATAACCCTGAAAATTTCACTAACCTCACTGCAGGAAAGTAACTGTCATGGACATATCCAAGAAGCATGGAATGGAATACAGGCTTCTGCATGCCATCACAAGTGGCCATCCTTGGTATGGTGAATGGGGATACAAGTTTGGCGCTGGTAGCTTTGCACTAACCTCAGATACTTACCAAGAGGCAGTGGATACGCTTTCCGGTATACAACTCGCGTTGTACTTCTCACATCGCCAGCCCATTCGGACCCCTCTGCAGAACACGATTGCTCTGTACTGGGCACTCTCTGATCGCCAGCTTGTGACTGTTCGGGACCTCTTCCGGTTCATAATGCACCTGCTTCATCAAGCACGCAAGAAGAACGAGACATCAAAACCCACAACTGATGAACACAAAGAAGTTGCATCTAATGTGCTCTGCAAGTGGACAAAGGAAGATATTGATCGGGCAGAAACTGCAATGCTCAAGGTCCTACGGGTTGTTCAGCCTGGACAGTGGGTATCATGGCGTGCACTTCGGGGAGCTGCATCGAAGGCTGTTGATTCACAGGAGCTACTTGACTATTCTCTTCGAGGACTGGGTGGAAAACTGATGGACGATGGCCATTTCATAGCTGTCCGCTGCAATGCTGAGACGAGTGCAATTGAATACAGGTGAGCCCTATGTTCAGAATGTTGCTCCTATTTGGCTAACTTTGTTATAAACTATCATGACCCTCCTCCTATATCTGCTGACAAGCAGGCTGGAAGATAACTCCAACCAGTCAGTTGATGCGGCTGCGTTTGGGCCTTCTGTTGATCATCTTCTGCACGATCTGAAGTTCCTCTATAACGCTTTGCTGAACCCAGAAACCATGTTGGCTTCACAGCCAGAGGTTATAGGTGCATCATCACACAGTGCAGCAGCAAAGATTCTCGACTGCAAGCAGTTCATCAAACATTACGATCAGCACACCCCACGGGCTCCTTTGAACCCATTCCTACTTTCTGTGAGGTGTTCCATTGAACTTCTTGATCACCCAAAAGACTACACTGCACCACCGGTGGAACTAGTGCTTTTACCAGCAAGTGCTACCCTTGCTGAACTGAAAATACAGGCTACAAGGGCCTTTCAAGAAACATACCTCATGTTCCAAAGCTACCAGGTTGAACAGCTCCCTGACTTCCCAAATTTTAGTGACACAACCCTCGTGAAGCATGTGCTTGGCTCAAGCCAGCTCGTGAGGGTAAGAGGAAGGTGCACTGGGGATAACCGAAGAATTGTGCAATTCAGGATGGAAAGGGGGTTGGAGAACTGGACGGTCGACTGCACCTGTGGAGCCAAGGACGATGATGGCGAGAGGATGCTTGCATGTGATGTTTGTGGAGTTTGGCAACACACCAGGTGTTCAGGGATTAGTGATTTTGATGATGTCCCTGAGAAGTTCATCTGCAGGAAGTGTGCTAGTCCACGCAGAGGAAAGGGTCGTGGTGGTGGAGGTGGCAATGGTGGTAGCAGAATGGATGTGAGCGCTGCAGGGAGGTGCAAGGATGAGATAGGATCATCTGTTGGCGGTGCAGGCAAATTTGGGCGCATGGCAACTGTTGGATGACTGTACATAATGTGTGAAATGTAAATACTGAGGGGAGAGTGGGGAGTAGCACCTGAGGCCTGTGTGAACCTTCATGGAATCTTGTCTTTCTGACCAGTGATATGATGTTAATCTATCCTCCTTGGAAGCAATCCTTTCTCAGAATTGTTCAGCACGCTCAATTCTGCATGCACAATCAAGTATTTTTGCCAAGCTTTTAAGTTAGAAATATAACACAAGTCAACAAAACGTACGTAATGATGGATCAATATGAGAATATATGTCAGTGACAAAACTAGGCTTCTGGGCGTTACATTTCCTCTAGAATATTGCTATCAGGATATATGCAAATGCAGAAATGGCTAACAGTAAGCAGATGAACAAGCAGCATCGCAAAAAAGGGATAGGAATGATCTATTATCACTTGAAGATTATACTAAACGAGTAGAGCTTCCGAACGCACCTGCAATACAAAAATGAGGAAGGCTTAGTAGCACATGTTTGTTAGGGTAGTTTGCTAAAGACTTACTGCAAAATTTTCATAACATGATTGTTAGGCAGTTAACTGGTCAAAACTGGCTTGCAAATTTTCTTTACCCATTCAAGTGCAGCATAAAGAGGGTGGGATGAAAGATGACAATCTTGAAATGAATAATAAGATATCTAACGAACACTCATTAAATTCTTCCAGGCTTCCATGTCGTGGCTTTACACTATGAAAGGCAGCCATATAGTAGAAAGTGGTGTCCTGCAATTTTAACACAGAAGTTCCGTTGATCAGATCAACTAGATGCAGCATAAGGGAGGGCAGGATACATCGAGCATGAAACATTTAATAAGAGTCATGAAAGGTGAACCCTTTTCCAGGTAACAATTGGGATGTTAAATTCGAGAAAACTACTTATGGTGAACAAGAGCAACCTTTAGTAGTTCGAAATTCAACAGAGCCAGTGATGTTAGTCCTAGTTCAAGGCATCCGATGTACACATTTTTTTTGTGTTAGAAATATGGATTCGCAGCACCAGTCTGCAATGTTTGCAAACCTAATGCTGGTTTGTATAACTTATTCCAGTAAGCTGGTAAGTGATGGACATATCTAAAACATATTTCAGTTAGCACTACCGTAATTACCCATGCACCCATGCGTTCGATACTAAAGAATTGCTGAGCTAGTTAGTGGCACGAAAAACAAAGCATGTGATTAGCACATAATTAATCAAGTCTTAACTATCATAACTTGAAAAATAAATTTATCTTGTTTTTTCAAAAATTATATATATATATATATATATATATATATATATATATATATATATATATATATATATATAATTTTTTGCACGAAACAGATAATTTGGCACTTCAGGTAGTGTGCCCATGATAACTGATGAAGTAGCCTAGCCTGTATGCTAGAAAGAACGCAACCTAAAATGTCTAAAAGCATAGGATGTTACAATTCTGCAAGAGTAAGGTGACTTTGTGATTCATTCTTTCTCAGTGTTAGGTCCTTACTGCATAAAACAGTGATATTATGCATATACTACAGCACTTTGCACACTCCTAGTCCTATATCTTAAACATAAAGAAAAGTAGAGCTAACGAGTGTAGGGAGCAGTGTACATAAGAATAGGCCAAAAGGCATTCAGGCCTAAACCCTATTGAACCAAGAATGTGTAATCAATCACACTCAGAATTGTCACCAGCTATTTATCTAAAATTATCACCCAAACATGATAGAATATGTTCACATTGAGTTACGGATAGATCATTGACCGCTAATTTCACCAGTTATCCATTAGGTTGAGCAAGGTAACAGAATAATGGCACAGATGCATAATATGATGTTACAAGGAGTATATGACATTTTATACATGGAACTTTCAAAAGCGACTATCACTTATTTGCAGTTTATGAGGCTTAATAAAAGCAAGGATCTTTGATAACCAGTTAGGATTATAAACTAAGTTGATTAACCTGTATTGGGAATTTGGCATGCCAATTTTCACTTCAGCATTGTCCATCAAATTCCTAGGAAGGATTTATGAACTCTACTTAGCACAACTAGCATTTTAGTTAAACAGAGAGTCAATGGGTTAAATACAGAAGTTTTTCAGTGTTAGGTCTTTATCCCTAGGTATGATCTATGACTCCACTTGTTTACTACCAGACACTTCTATAATTATCATGATCACACAATTGCTCTTCACCCGTTGAGCCATGAATGAAAAACCTTAGACAAGGTTAGATTGCCAAATAAGACCATATTAACTACATCAAGCATTGAGAGATTTTTAAACCAATGAATACCAAACTCAAACCCTGTGAATTAACACTTGATCAAACTACTACCACATTATTCAATAAGATGTGGTCTGACATAGCAATACAAGGATCTCAAAACTACCAAAACAAGCAGGTTCACCAAAAAATGAATACAGATTACCTGAACAGAGCTGCTGCCTGCTGGCCTTACACCTAACAAGTAACGAGAATATGAGGCATCACCTTTCCAGCACCTATCTTAGCACATAAGACACGAAAGTAGAAAGGTTTAGATCCTAAGAAAATATGAACCATGTAAAATAAATGTAATCACGATTTAAGTATACAGACTAGTATAAGAACTTCTAATCCAGCCAAAGTATAAACTGTATAATCATCAATCAAGTATGCAATACCGATCCAACAAGCATCAAATCCCATAGTTTGATCAGAAAAACAAAATTTTGAACTCTAGGCCAAAATGTGCTGCTAAATAACGCTCATTTGATTAATTGAAGCACCATAAATTCAATACGCAGAAATCAGAGGGAACCCAGAGGTAGACTGCCAAACTGAGTGCAGTATAAACAAATTCAGCTCTGACGACTAATCGCAAAATGGACCGAGGTACCAAGCAAAAAATCTAGCCACAACGAAGCACCAGTAACGTAAAAATCACGTAAGCATCAGAGAATTTGAAAGATCAGACGTTCTAGCCACGCCGCCAATCGGAATCCCAGCGAACGGAGCCAGCCAAATGCATGATATCAGCACAAACCAAAACAGAAACAATCGCGCATTGGATCCGAACAAATCATGGAACCCTCGACTTACTTACTATGCCCTAGCCACAGGACGCAAATAGAGAGGGGAAAACATGGGTTACGCTTAAACCAGTTCATGAGGTCAATACATAAGTCGTAGCGCAAATCCAAACCGCGAACAAACCCTAACACGGATCGAAACGAAGCATTAAGCGCGAATAAGATGAATTCCCAATCCGCAGCGCAAAGTCCAATCGCAGCGAACACAGGGGAGACACCCAAATTTCCACAAGCGCACAACCCTATAACAACTAAAAAAAAGCGACAAATCGAAGTCAAATCAAACGCGAATTCGCAACCCCATCACCGAAAAATGCTAGAGGGGGAGGGCGGCTACGCTCAAGCATAGCACGACTCAAATGATCGAACAAACGAAGCGCGCCGAGCAAACCCAAAATTCCGACCCCAATCGAGCATCCCAGCCCAAAAATCCCAAACCCTAAGCAGCACCATCTCCACCGCATCAACAACCAGAAACGCGAAAGCACAGAACCCCTAACCCACCAATCAGAGCACATAATCACCAAACGAACCAAAAACCTAACCACCGACCTGGCCGCAATGTTGCGAGCTCGAAGCAGGCAGCTGAACAAACCAAAAAAAATCCCCCCCACCGCCACGGGCTCCGCATCGCGCGCCCCCCAGCAGCTTCATCGGATCGAGCGAGGCGTGGGAGGCACGCCCCCTCCGCGAGGCGGAAAGCACCCGGGAGGATGGCGTCGCTCATCCGCCTCTCCTCGCGGTGGAGATACCAGCAGCTCGAGGAGGGGGGAAGGAGCGGTGCGAAGAGAGAGGAGAGAAGAGAGGGGGAGAAGGGGGCGAAGGAAAGGGGGTCGCGCGGTCGCGGCGAACCGAACCGCGGTTTGGCGACTCGGATGCAAGCCGCGGGCACGCACACCGGTAGGTATTGTGGTTAGGGTTCTCGCGTGGCGGCCGTGTGGCTGCGCCGTGGGGCCCGCAGGTATCTCTCTCTTCTTCTCTTTTTTTTTTTGCCCTTTTACCGCGCCCTTTTCGGTGCCCTGGACTGGTCAGCGCCGACTCGCGTCAGAGTCCGTCCCGGGTTGCGCAACGCAAAAAGGCCAGGCTTTGTGTGACTCGTCAACGCGAGCGGCTACGATTTCACATTTCGCTAGCTGAAACACGGGGCGTTATCTTCCCACATTTGGGTGGTCGTTACGCATCGTTGTAAAGGAATGGAGTTTTGCCTCTTCCGTAGCCTGCACAGTGCATGTACGCATGGCAAACGCAATGCGTAGTTGCTATAACTTGGTAGCGTGTTTTATTCGTGCATGCATGCGAAGAACGGAACAAGTCAATAATAATGGCTTTCCACCCGGCCGGGGGCAAAGAACTGAATAACCATCTGGTTCGATTCATCGTGTGTACTGTACTGCATCCAAGCGTCAGGAGAGTTCTTCAGCCTTACCGTGAAGTGTAGTAACTCATCTCAATTCTCAACAGCATTACTACTGTACTAGTATCTCTCCACAGATGAGTCCATCTTATCCTGAACTTCTGCAATCTTGGGCTCTTCTGTTCTGCTCTTTGCAAACGACGATTTTTTGCCATGGGGAAGAAGGGAGCGGCCAAGGAGCCGCGCGCACGGGCGTGCTGTTTTCAGGGACCATGGCGCGAGAATGAGGACATGTGCCGGTGGGGAATTCTCCTCACTCTGCAATCTGCATCCACCCTTGCTGAAAAGTGGAAAAAAAAAAGGCATCACCTTTTTGCCGCTTATATATCTCATCAGTGCCCGGTGAATCACAAGCTTGTCATAGAAAATTAGAAATATAGTACAAATTTGCAATTCGTGCTCTCTAGGTCTCGTTAAGCTTGTATAGCACCTAGATCGAGTAACTGAGTAGTAGGTTCTCCAGGTACAGGGAAAGATGGCAAATTGCCTGCTTCGTGATGGTCGCTCTCGACCACGGCGTTCTTTCTCTCTGGTCTCATTTGCAATCTTGTCTACCCAACAAATAGCTTAGATGTGATGTTTACTTTTGCTTTAACTTTTGGAAATGCTGAGTGCATGTATAGTAGCTAGTGCAGTACTTATGATAATGGTGTCTGTTTTGACATGTCGCCACTGTTATTGCTTTCAGAAGCAGTGTCGTTTTCATCACGTGTCAGGTTCAAGAGCGGAGCCCCCACCCACTGGAATCAATTGTGAGCTGATAATTTTCCTTCAGCGACTGTCCTTTGTAGGAGTAAGATCAGAGAACAGCCACCAGCTACTGCAGGGCCTGGGTCACGTTCAAAAGCGCTAGGTGCCAACTAGCTAGCTTAGAACAGGTGACGCGGTGAAGAATCAAAAGTGATGAAGCGGAAACATCACTATAAGCAAGTCAGATCCAAAATTGCTCGGTGCTCACTCATGCAGTATTGCTGTCAATACGATGTTTCTTTGTTTCTTCCTCCTCCTTTCTCTCCTTTCCCTTGCTATGAACACAAGCAATACGTTTTATCTTGAGTTCACCTGCGTTCCAATTTGCACCCCCACACTTGTCTTTCTTGCCTATGCTAACGTGTTGGAATCGTAATGTCATATCTTGCGGAATTATAATACTTCTGTAGAACAAGTGTTGATGAGGCATGGCCTTTAACTGAGTGCATATACATGGTTAGCAAACAGGTCTGATTATTTCATGTTTCGATCTTAATTGTTCAACACAGATGTACTACCTCTGTCCCAAAATAAGTACAGCCATAGATATCCGTGTTTAACGTTTTAACCGTCCATCTTATTTGAAATTTTTATGATTTTTTTTTTAAAAATAGTCACACGTAAAGTAATACTCATGTTTTATCATGGAATAACAATAAAAATACTAATCATAATTTTTTTTAAATAAGACGAACGGTCAAACGTTAGATATGAACCGTGCTAAAACTGTATTTATTTTGGGACTGGTGGAGTACTAAATCACCGTGCCAATCGCGAAACTACCTTTGTTTGTCTGCAAAAGGACATGATATGGGCTTACACGAGTTTACATGCTGTAATTATTTTCCTGTCGAACTGGCGAATTGCAATTTAATAACGAGCATTTAACAGGTCTGGAACCACTGCACATCTCATCAAGAGAGAGCAGAGTGTATATATATATACATGGAACGCAAACCGTCAGTGCCAGCTCTTGCTCTCCTCGTCCTCTTCTCCTTCGCTAGGGGCCTAGGGCTGATCTTGACGCCGACTTGCTGAGCGGCCGACTCCGGCGAGGCAACCCTGCCAAGGTCACCGACACTCGTCCGAGCTTTCATTTCATTTGCCGGTAGGTGACAACCATCACTCTGTTCGGGCCAGAGAGCCTCGCGTTCGACGGCGGCCGCAGTGGGCCCGTACACCCAGCGTCTCCGACGAGTCGTATTATCCTCAAGTGGGGCGGCGTCGTCGCCGGCTGGACCACCTCCGCTTACAGCGGCAACTACCGGTGTACGTGCTTCCGCTCCAATACGTGCGTACGAACAGACAGGTCACAACTCATAAGAGCGTGTCGCCGTGAACTCCGTGCTGGTCCTCCAAGAACCCAGTATGCAACTTGTAACGGAGAGCATGTGCAGGAGGCCTCTGGCCCTTCGGTCCCATTTGAAATCCGGCGACCTCTACATCGCCGATTCGTATGCCGTTCATGCTCGTCAATGGCGTCGTCGACGGTCGACATCGACCAGGTCACTACCGCGATGTCTACTTCACAAACAGCAGCAGCACACGGAGTATCTAATTTGATTTGATTCGTAGGGTTGTATGTCAGTTAGTCGTCGAAAGTAACGCGTACGTGCATTGAACACGAGCGATCACGACGGGGCGGCTACTGAAGTTTCGAATGGGACTTGGAGGCTGTACAGAGCAACGGAGACACGGAGTATGTCTCTTGTTAATTTTATCACTGTAAAATGTGTGGCATGACTAAGGGTGAGTTTGAGGAGGAGGAGATTGAGAAGATACGCAAAACGAGGTGAGCCATTAGCGCATGATTAATTGAGTATTAACTATTTTAAATTTGAAAAATAGATTAATATGAATTTTTAAAGCAACATTCCTATAGAAAATTTTTGCAAAAAATACATCGTTTAGTAGTTTAGGAAGCGTACGCGCGGAAATCGAAACAAACTCACTCACTTTCTTTAGCTGCCGAACGCAGCCTAAATGTTTACATAAGAAAACCTCTCACGCTTGACCTGAGGAATGAAAATGATCATATCATTCCTCGCACCATTTTACTGTGCAGTTAATTCAAGAGTGGAAAACCATGGAAGAGTTAGGCCAATGTTGGCTACTCCAGTTTGAAATTAGTTGACGTTTTAGCTCTTGAAGCATTGTGTGATATTTCTTGACGTTTTAGCTTTTTTGTTGCATCTTGGACCTGCTTGCCCATGCATGCATGCAGCCGGCCATTACTACTCCCATTATTTCCAACGTCATGCATGCTTTGCCTTCTCGTTTCCTGTTCAACCATTGCTCTCCCACGCGCTGAGTAATTTCCTTCTTCTATGCCTGCTTGTTGGCTCTTTGCCTTCTACTCGCCTCCTTGTACTACATTCGCCATTTTCGCCATGGAGCAGGTCATGGCTTCATGTTCAAGTTCATGTTAAACAGATGGAGTATGTAGGGAGTTGGAGCGTCAAACTAGCTAGTATTGCACAGCATAAATAGATGGAGATGGCAAAGGGGATTCTGCTGCAAACCAGCGCCAAAATTTGAGTTATTGGCGGCAAACGCACTTGGCAAAATTTTTGTTAGCAGCGCGCGAGTGAAAAATCTTTCCCGGCGACTGCGCGCATGAACGCCTGAAAAAAAGTGCATGCATGCCAACAGTCACGCGTCCACAGTGCCATGCAAAAAAATGTGGCCACCAAGAATCGAACTCAGGACTGGTAGCTTCACTTTTGCATGAGATGGCCACTCAAACCAAGAGCAGGTTATGATTTGGTATGCCTCAAAACCATATTTATTAGGAGTAAAACAGGAAGTAGGCATACTAATTAATCACTCATTGGTATGTGTAATCCTGTCTAAAACGTCAACAAGTATGGGCTAAATAAGCTTTAGTCACTCCTATCCTTACAAGTGAGGCCTTCTTTGTTTGCCAAGGCCCATCCTAACGGGACAGGAAATTTGGGCTAAAATTGACCCATTTGTAAAGATGGGCCAGGATTTCTGCCTTCAGAAAAAGGAATAAGGTTACCGGAGGTCCCTCAACTTAACAACGAGATTTTTTGAGATCCCTTAACTACAAAATCATAAATGTGTACCCCTAAACTTTCTCAAACCGTTCACCGGAGGTCCCTCGGCAGTATTTTTGCCCGGTTTTGCTGACGTGGCATCCTAGTCAGCAAAAAAAAATTAAAAAATTGCGTGGGGCCCACATGTCAGCTGCACATCTTTTTTTTTTCTCTTTTGTTCTTCTCCTCTTCTCTCTTCTCTCTTCAGCGAGTGCGGCAGTCACAGGCGGAGCGGCGTGATGGGGTTCTCCTCCGTGGAGGTGACGAGCACGGCCGCGGCTGTGACGGCAGGTTCCCAGACCCGGAGCCAGCGCGTTCAGCCGGAGCAGCGGCTGCTACACCGACGCCGCATTCTCCGCCGCGCGCTCCTCGCCACCGCCCAGATGCTGCTGCTGCGCCTGCGTCGTTGTTGGGCTCACCGTCAGCTTCTCCTTGATCGCTCCCGTCAATAAAAATGTGGACATCATTATTGATTGCTAGGAGCACTACGTGCTTGCAGACGGCGAACGACACGACGGCGCCGGCGAAGCCCGCCGGGGCCGGGCCGCAGCTGAAGCTGCTGGTGGACAAGCGCTCGCGTCGCGTGCTTTACGCGAAGGCGCGCAAGGACGCGGTGGACTTTCTCATCGGCCTCCTCCGCGTTCGTCTCGTTCGTCGAGGCCGACGCCGACATCTCGCTGGAGGAGTTCGGTGACTCGCTGTGCCCGCCGATCCCTTGCACCGGCGAACTCTTGACCCTGCCGGATAGCAACTTCGCCGTCGTCACCGACCGGCCACTACTCTACGTGCAGGTACGTACGTCGTCATAAAACTTGAATAAACTTTGCAAATTTTGCACCATTTGTATTGTACGTGATTTACGTGTTCATGATGCCATGCATGTAGGTGACGAGGCTGAGGTGTGGCGGCTTCGTGTTCAGCACCCAGATCTGCCACAACCTCGTCGACGCGGCGGGGATCACGCAATTCTTGCAGGCCGTCGGTGAGCTCGTGGAAGGCGCGGAGCGTCCGGCCGGTGTGAGTGAGGGAGCCCCTCGACACGCGCCACCCACCGTGTCCGGCGTACGACCACCCCGAGTACGAGCCGGTGTCCGATGAGGCCAGCGACAAGCTCCGTCCAGGCGATGAGCTCGTGCACCGCAGGTTCCTCTCCGGCCCCGACGACGTCGCCGCGTTGCGCGACCAGCTCCCCACGCGCCTCAGCCCCGGTGCTCGCGTTTCCTTCTCCTCGAGTCCCTGGGCCCAGACCGCCGCCTACAGCCGCCGACGCCGCCCTTCCGCTTGCTCCGGCCGCGGGCCGCCGCCCGCTGCCGCTCGCCTGCCGCTTGCCACCGCTGCAGTCGCGCTCTCCCACTGACCGCCGCCCCTCCACCTGCTCCAGCCGCGCTCGCCCGCTACTTGCCGCGTCGGCGTCGGCAACCGCTGGCTCCGGGTCTGGGAACCTTCTGTCGCCACTGCGGCCGTGCTCGTCGCCTCCACGGAGGAGAACCCCGTCACGCCGCTCCGTCTGTGGCTGCCACGCTTGCTGAAGAGAGAATCAGAGAAGAGAGTACAGAAGGAGAAGAAAAGAAAAGGGAAAAAAAGTGCAGCTGACATGTGGGCCCCACGTAATTTTTTATTTTTTTTCTGACTAGGATGCCACGTCAGCAAAACCAAGCAAAAATACTGCCAAGAGACCTTCGGTGAATGGTTTGAGAGAGTTTAGGGGGTACACATTTCTGGTTTTCTAGTTAAGGGACCTTAGAAAATCTCGCTGTTCAGTTGAGGGACCTCCGGTGACCCTATTCCTCAGAAAAATGCTTAATTTTGGGGAAACATGTTTTGATCAAGGTTTAGCATCTTAAATAGCCTACCTAAATTAGGCTCTCCAAACATCTCCACCTCTTCGATCTCTGCTATTATAAAAACTAGCATGGTGGCCCGCGCAGATTGCGCGGCTAGCATAATTATATTTTCTCTCATATAATAGCATATATGTTTTCTCATTATATTATTAAAATATATTACAATGACAACATAATTTTAAATTTTGCAATAACTTTACGAAACTACTAATGTGTAATATTCATATTGTATTTTATATACGTGTTAGTTATTAATTATTTTTAATATCAAATTTTAGTTATTTATAAATTATATATATTCCTATATGGACTCTAGACTCGTCTTTTAATATTTCTTTTTTTAATTCTGAACTTTTATTATTTCTAATTGTATTTCTATGTGGACTCTAAACTCATCTTTCAATATTCTTTAATTTTTAATTTCAAATTTCAGTTACTTCTAAATTGTATTCCTATATTGACTTTAAACTCTTCTTTCTTCTTCCTATGTTTTTCTTAATTTCGAATTTTAGTTATTTGTAAATTGTATTTTTATACGGACTCTAAACTCTACTTTTAATTTTATCACGTTTATTCTGAATTTTAGTTAGTTTCAAATTCCTATATGGACTCTATAATCTACTTCTAATATTCATTATTTTTTAATTTCAAATTTCTATTTTTTTCGTAATTGTATTTCTATATGGACTCTACTTCTAATATTTCTTATTTTTAATTCTGAATTTCAACTATTTCTAAATTGTATTTCTATATGGAGTCTAGTCTCATCTTCTAATGTTTCTTATATTTTAATTCCGAATTTCAGCTATTGCTAAATTGTATTTCTATATGTACTCTGCTTTTTTCTTTTTCTCCAATTAATGTGAGAATTTCTTGATCATGAGAGCGAACGCGGAGGCTCCTTTTTATTCCAAATTTTAGTTAGTTTTTAAATTCCTATATGGACTCTATACTCTACTTCTAATATTCCTTATTTTTTTAATTCCGAATTTCTATTTTTTTCTTAATTGTATTTCTATATGGACTCTATACTCTACTTCTAATATTCCCTGTTTTTAATTCCGAATTTCTATTATTTCCTAATTGTATTTCTACATGTACTCTATACTCTACTTCTAATATTCCTTATTTTTAATTCCGAATTTCAGTTATTTCCTAATTGTATTTCTATATGGACTCTAGTCTCCTCTTCTAATATTCCTTATTTTTTAATTGCGAATTCCAGCTATTTCATAATTGTATTTCTATATGGACTCTAGTCTCCTCTTCTAATATTCCTTATTTTTTAATTCCGAATTTCAGATATTTCCTAATTGTATTTCTATATGGACTCTATACTCTACTTCTAATATTCCTTATTTTTAATTACAACTTTAAGTTATTTCCTAATTGTATTTCTATATGGACTCTAGTCTCCTCTTCTAAATTCTTTATTTTTTAATTCCGAATTTTAACTATTTCTAAATTGTATTTCTATATGGACTCTAGTCTCCTCTTCTAATATTCATTATTTTTTAATTCTGAATTTCAGCTATTTCTAAATGTATTTCTATATGGACTCTGCTTTTTCTTTTTCTCCGATTAATGTGAGAATTTCTAGGCCATGAGAGCGAACGTGGAGGCTCCTTTTTCTATTCCTTTAATAATATAATAATAGATTGAAGATGTTTCCGCTAATACTTTGGTATGTTGTTCGTATTTGAGTCTGTTTTTAAGTCCGTTTACTATTGGAAATATATAAAGAGTCGTATACGAAATTATTTTAGAAACTTGCATATTAACTTGGGACGAGAGATGGACTCCTAATTGCTTCAAAATCCATGCCAGACCATAAGAAAACAACGTACAGGGTATGGCCATCATCCCCATAAAAGTTCCAAATTAGATATTGTCGAGGGAAGATCCTCGATAGCGGGGAATCATGAGACCCCCTATCGTGAGTTCGGCCGGGGGCAGAGGCTCGCTTCTTGGAAATCACTCGCTCGTCCCTAAGATTACCGGCAAGCTCGCACGCCGTCGGATTATACAGGTTCGGGCCGTTATGGAGCGTAACACCCTACTCCTGTGTTTGGGATTATGGATGAGTTTTACAGAGGTTTCTTCACTCCAGAGAGCGCACTCGCTTTCTTTCTTCTGGAGTTCAGGTTTTCTGGGAGTCGTCCCCTTATCTCAGTGGGCAGGGTCCTCCTTTTATAGCTCAAGGGGATACCACATGCGCCGCCTCTACCTACCCTCCATAGGAGGGGGATCCCACTCCACTTTTTTCTGGGCTTCAAACTGTGCCTTCTCCCGGAAGCTAAGCAACAACCGGTTCTCGAGTGGAACCCGGTGCCGCCCCCCGCCTGACACGGGGGACAGCCCTGTCATTCCCTCATAAATGAGTGATGACTTGCGACAGCCCTTCCTCGAGTGACGCTCGGATGTGACGGGTCATACCAACCCCCACTTCGCCGGGTACAGGGGCGACGTGAGGACATGATTGCCCTATCCATCGGATGTGACGGTAACAGGCCGGTCACACACTGGTCACATCCGATGGACAGGAGTCAGCTAGGCGCGCTGCACGTCTGCCCTAACCGCATTAAATGCGGTGAGGGACAGTTGGGGCGTCGCACATTTATGGCTGTTCAGCCTGTGCTCCCCTCTCGCTCTCTCCCTCCGCCGCGTGGCAGCCGGGTGAGGGTCTCAGGGCGAAGCCGCGGGAGAGCCCGAGGGGGTGACGCCATGCCCCGAGGCGCCCCCCCCCCCCCCCCCCGCCGCTTTCATGACTCGCGTGACGCGTGAGTGGGGCCAACTTGCAGAGTCACGTGGCCGGAGGGAAGGTAATTCCCCTCTACTTCACATACCCCCGGGCCCATATCTCCGACAGATATCAATACTATCAAAAATAAAATTCCCATATACTTGTTAGACAAAAAATCTAACAATAATATGATTAAAATAGCATTCACCTGTTGCAACGTACAGGTATTTTTTCTAGTTAATATAAAAAGTCACACTGATTGCTTACTCCGACAACCTCTCTATTTAACCTTCTTTAAAATAACAACGGGACCCGTATGTCAGCCCCTGCTCCTCCTCTTATTTCTCTCTTCCTTCCTCTCTGTTGCCCAACAAACGAACATCATGAGGAGCCGATGCGGAGGCAGCACGGGGAGGGGCCGAAGGCGGGACGGCGGTGGAAATAGGCGATGGGAGTCCTCTTGCACAGACTGCAGCACGACAAGCCACTCAATGTCGTGGATGACGTCATTGGGGCGCACTATCGTAGTCGATGAAGGCGGGTGGCACTGGAGAGTGCAAGATAGACGGACAGCACCACAGGTGAAGCGGGAGGCACTGGGGAGGGGCCGATGGGGAAAGTGGATGGGTGGCAGGATCCGCTTAGTTAGCAATGATGGCTCGGGAGGTGGTGTTAGCAACGACGGTGGTGCTAGGTAGAGGCGACAACCGCAGGAGCAGCGGGACAAGGTGTTATAGTGTCATGGTGACGAAAAACAAGCAACGATGATCTTGTCTTTGGATAGTGGCGACACTTACCTCGGACAGACAACAATGCATCGACGGATGGTGGCCTTCCAGACGACGCAGAAATGGTGATGGTGCACAACCATGGGCACCGACGCTTGTGGGGAGTGCATGGATGGGAGAGAGATGGGGGAAACCGGCGCAAGCCCATTTTCGGCAAGCCAACTTGACTGTCAAGTTTGGCGAGCAGACTAGTTTGGTTAGCTGGATGGCTTGGCAAGTCAGTTGGATAGGTTGTTGGATCACAATTTTTTCGCTAGAATTGTGAAATTTTAGCTTGAAGAGTTATTTGGAGTGGCTCTTTGAGTATCTCTAATAGTCCTAATTTTGACTCTTAATAATGTTTGATTGGAGCCATAAAAATTATTAAGCCACATGCATGTTGTAAAGTCCAATGGAACCCATCAAAGATCTAGCTAGCTCACGTGAGGCAAATACACAGGCAACACCGTCCCATGTTCTTGTCAACGAAATCAAGTCTTATTTACTCCAAACGATGAACATGACAAAACAGAAAGACCAAAAAGGGGAAGCAAGAACTACAAGTACAACTTTGATCTCAACGTGTCAATCAGAACCCAAGAAGCTTCTTGCACGCCTTGAAGATCCGCCCTTTCTTCTTCGTGATCTTCTCCTTCTTTCCCGTCGCATGATCCTGCTCTTCCCTCCGTTTTTGCTCCCCATCCTGGAACGCCGCCTGCTCCTGATGCTCGCCAGCCGCGTCGTCGCCGTCCATGTCGTCGTGGATCCTCCAGTACCCATCCGCGAAGCTGGACGGCTGCCTCCTCATGGAGAACGCCCTCCGCACCACGGCCTGCAGGCCACCGCCGTTGCCACCGGCCGTCGACCTGCTCCTCTCCACGGGCCTGAACCTCTGGGAGGCTGACGAGAAGTTCCTCACCAGCGTCGCCGCCCCGACGGCCACGCCTTCCCATTTGGTCTCGGCCTCCACGGCGCCGCTGGCCACCGGAGGCGACGAGGTGAGGTTGCAGTATCCATTCACCATCTCTCCACCCTCCTGTGTACACCAACTCACCAAGTGATGTGTTGCTGTGCGCTAGCTAGCTAGCTAGCTGCTGATATGGGAGGATTTGGGCGTGGTTCGTGGAGTTGTTCGCCGCGGGGGCCGGGGGTGTCACGTTTGGATTTTGCAAGCGTGCTGCGTGTGAGAAGTGGAGTTGATGAGGCTGGATGCGATCGAGATGGTGCGTGCGCGCGCGGTGGCGTCGGGAGCGGCAGTAGTGGAAGACCTGACGCAGGGGAGCGTGGTGAGGCGAGGGAGTAGGAATCAAGCCGATCGATCACCGACTGTTTCTGTCTGCGAGTGGCGGAAAACGGTGGCCGTGACGAGATCACGCGATCAAACCACGGAACGCGAAATCATGAGCCGTTGAGTGGTGGGTGGGTGGGACAGTGGGACAGTGGAATTGAAGCGTCCAGTTTTGACTGCCACGCCGCACGGCAAGCACGGTTTGGCTCCAGGAAAATGTGGGTTGTGGAAATGGATTTGTAGTCACGAGAGAACGGGACGAAATTCCGTGCAGGAAATTATCGGCCCAACACAAATCGCATGGAATGTTTGCATCGGTCCATTTGTCCATGCATATATGTTGGGGAAGCAGCGAAGCCTTCTAGGCCCGTGTACCTGTGGTTGTTCCAAGTACATGTCAAGTTATGTAGCACTACTAACTGGTATAGTATTCGTACTTCTGGCTAATGGCATGTATGTTTAAATCTTGCCCATATTTTATTTCGGAGTTACTAAAAATATGGCGCCACATGCTATAGTCGATTTTTTTAGCCACTTACACAGTAGTTACACCTCATTTACACCCCACTTACATATGTAATTAGTATATAATTTTCGAATTTACATATGTAATTTTAGTACTTACATATGTAATTTTGAGACTTACATTGTAAATACACTAAAATTACATATATAATTTAGGGACTTACAATGTAAATACATGCCGACTATTTTTTGATGAAAAATATAGCGCCATAAATATAGCTATACCCTTTTATTTTGGATTTTCCAGGACTAATCCGGCAATGCTACGTATCAGGCCACAGATGCGCTGAGTAATTCATGTTTCAGTCCATGTATTCAGATGTTTTATTAGTTGAATCGAAATATTGCAATGAATTTTTGGTGGTGTTTCGTTTATTTTCTTCAATGTATTTGGATCTGTTGATGTTTCAATACATTTTGAAACCGATGTTTCATATGTTGTAGTAAAATGTTTCAAGAGTGTTTCGGTTCTGTTTCACCATTTCAATAGTTGAAAACATTCTTTTATTAGGTACTGAAACATTTTGGTAAAACAACACCCTATATGTTAGAAAAATATCATACTCCGATTTGTAGTCGCATAAGGATTAATCCCGTGCTTTGTTTAGAATGTGGGAGTTACCCCTATTGTTTTGGAAATTTAATTATTATTTTCGTAAATTCACTGTTCTTTTAAACAGAAGTGAGCTTTGCTGCTTAACTTTATTCAATTATACTAGCCATACCATTAAAAAAATTTTGGAGCACACATTGTGAATCTCAAGCCTCTTGGACCATGCATCCAGCTTTGATTGACTACAACTCAGTGTTGACATGGGAGGTGACACCGGGCGCAAATTTCTCATCTGAATTCCAGCCATGTCCGACGGGCAGGGCACACCGAACCGTTCTTCCTCCTCTTTGCCGCTGCCAACCGGTAGACAGTTATGGCTTCATCGCTCTCAACCTCAAGTCCTCAACCCCAAGCGGACGAGTCACATGGCGTGCTTGTGATGCAGCGTCTTTCCTTTTCATGGCGGCAGCTTTCGCATGCAGAGAGCGGCAAACTCGAAGGAGGCAGTTGGGCCGTCCCCTCAAAGATCCACTTGATTGTGTACTGCACGAATTCACCGGTGATGAGACCATTGCCTGCTATGGCGATCGAAAAACTACACGATCTCGACACACCTGCGAGTGCCATGCATTGCAAGCATACGACGCGTACGAGCAAGAACCACGGGCATGCAAGGCGAGCTACTACCAGCGACAAACGAGGACAAGACAAGACGCCCATATCTATATCCAACAACTCTTGTCACTCTCCCCTGCGTTTATTATTTACAGCGTCTCCGCTATACAGCAATTCAATCAGCAACAGGATTCGATCCATCGATCGATCGGTCGGTTGGTTGGTTTGACAGCGTGTGTCTCTAACATGTTGTTCCACTGCAACATTGTACGCGAGATCTCGATCATGGCGGCATGTAGGAGTGGTGGACGTCGTGGTCGTGCGGCGGCCAGTGCACCCCTTCCCTCGGGCACGGCGCCGGCGGAAGCGGCGCCGGCTGCGCCAGGTACGTCGGGTACCGTTGCCCCGGCATCAACACCGACAGGTCCGCCGCCTGCAGCACCGTCTCCACCTGCAACAATTTCAGAGCAGCAAACACCTCAACATTGGATCATTTCGCTCTGTGTAAGTGGTTGGCGACGTACTACGTACCATGGGAGGGCTCCGGAGCTTGCCGGCGGGAGAGACGCCGTGGCGGCGGCGCGCGGGGCGGAGCGCCGCGCTGGCGAGGGGCGGGAAGACGTGGGGCTTGATGAGGTGCTCGAAGATGGCCATGAGGAGGAACATGGAGACGAGGATGGCGGTGGCCGCGAACCCGAACGAGATGGCGTCCATCGACGTGCCGAAGTCCCTGAGCGACGTCGACGCCTCGCCGCCCGCGTCCGCCGCTGCGGCGACGACCGGCGGCTGCGGAGGCGCCGGCGACGGGTCCCCTGGCCACGGCCTCGACCTCCCGCTCATTGCTGCCTGCCTCGGCCGCTTCTTGGCCTCTTGCAGGTTGCAACCAGCACGTCTCCTCCCTGCACGCCATGTATATATGCATGTGTTCGTCGTCAAGAAACTGTGTCGAATTCAAGGGCTACAATTCAACGTTGACTTCTTTTGAACTGTAATCTATCTACTTCATGCATGACAGATGGATGACTCATGAGGAATCAAGAATCACATGAGAACAGGTTGGTGAGCTGTGTACTACACTTGCACACCGGTACACACACAGCAACTTTATTTCAGCATCTTCACTAGTAGGAAAGCTGAAAAGCAAATGCAAAAGGGAGGAGAAACAACAGGAGAGGAGGAACAGAAGAAAAACAGTTCCAAAACAGCTCATTTAGAGGCATCGAACATGCACATTGCAGGCAAAAGAGGATACACAACACACCTTCAGAGTTCAGATTAGCACCGGCACCCTGCAAATTGTCCTCCCTGAATTGAATGCAGAAACTAGCAACCGTCTTGATGTGCCTCTCCTGATGGAATCATGGCTTCATGGGACCTATTGCCGAATGCCAAGAACGGGAGAACACACAGGAGGATATCTCAGCTTGGCTGCCTCTACTTAAAGACAGTCCCCGAATCAAAAGTGAGATCTCAGCTGATTTGGTGGTGGCAATGTGGAGAGAGGAGAAGAAAACTACAGGAAAAAGCTTGGAGTAACAAAAAGGAGTGCTGCAAGAAAGGCTGCCACACTTGGCACTCCTATAGAAATAAACTAGGAGATGGATGATGATAGGGGAGTCTTCAACAGTTGATGGGAATGGAAGGCTGCAAGATTGGTACAAAAAATAATCTTGGAATCATGTTTGGGCACATCAAAAGAGTGGCTCCCCACTCCCATGCAAGCACACTCACACAGTAATAGCAGCCCACATGATCCTCCAAAGAGCGTTTAGTGCAGTGCTGTGAAGTGTAGGGAATGATTCAAAGAGGCTATGTTAGCCAAGGCCAAGCCAAAGGGAAAAGCAAAAGAAATGGGCAAATGCAAGGAGGGAAAAAGCAGCGCTCGTGGAAAGGAGGGAAGTTTTGTGTGGCCTTTGTGCAGGGACCAATCAACCTCTGATGGGCATCATGCTGCAATGTCAGTTAACTGGCTGCTCACAAGAAGTTTACTCTTTTCTAGTACAACACCCTCACATGCGATGTGATGTAGTATGTGTGCTTGCTCTCGATTATCAGGATTAGCAATGCAAGCTTAATTACGCTGTTAAGCATGTGTATAAAAGAAAAAGACTGAAACTGCAACTCTCTTTTGCTTGCAAGGGAGTATTCTTCTGTTTGTTGTGACGGGGAAGAAGAAAGATGCTTATGTCATGGCTAAGCGAGTGACTGTAGAGGATGCGAGACCCCTACTGCCGGACGGCTGTGGATCATCTGTGCCCACACGATGTAAGATATTTGTACGAACACGACATGCCGTTGCCTGTCCATATATGCTCGTCTGTCTAAAATATATGTGCTGATCGACAGTGTGGTGATAAAGAGATATAGCGTGAGACAAGCCATTTTGTTCCCTTTTGTACGCTTCATTGTGTACAGATAACTGATTGAGAAATGGTTTGTTTGTTTCAGAAAAAAAAAGGGTGAGCTTCTCTTCACACACTAAAGAAGAAAAAAAAATCATGATTTACAGTCAATTGTAATAATACCCTAGTACTATGGCACAAAGTCATCCTGAAAGTGTTTGTCACGTCGATTCAGTATAAATTCAGTAGCATCGGCTTGTCACAAGTGGCAGAAAAGATTGAGAATCCAATCCAGCAACATGCTAATAACAATGTCTGTGGAGGAAATGAGGAATGATTAACCTACAAAAAATTGTATAGCAGCTGTAGAAAGTACTACTACACTACTACTAGCCATTAAGTTACAGTTCCCATGGTGAACACTAGGACAGTAGGAGTAAGAAATGTAAGATACTGATCCCCAGTTCACATTCCAATGGATTGATTATGCGTGCAGTAAAATCCTTCTTAGGTGCTACTAAGATCCACTTAGGAAACTACAGAGTTAACTAATCTTCCAAAAGTTGCGTGTCAGCGTCAGTATACTGTCTAGTTTTAGCTCTTTTCTTCTTTCTGTTACTGATAGTCTGGAACAGCAAAACTGCATGTGCATTCTTGTTTCTGAATTTCTGACCAGATGATGTTCAGACTTCAGAGACAGAGGACTTAATTTTTTTACTTCGTTAATACTAACATAGTTACTACTAGCAGTAAAAATCAGTTAACTGTTAACTGATGATTACACTAATGAATATATTAACTCCTTTCTCAGGTAGTCCTCAACGCGTCATGTATGGAATATGAATTATCTTTGTCCCTGACTCCATCCCCAAATCATCTTGTCTCCTTGCCTTGAGCAAGCATCAATCTAAGCTAAAGAGAAGGCTATTAAAATCACTAATGCTTGCTTCCAAAGTAAGTGCTTGGTACCTGTGAGTTGGGAGCCAACTAATAAAGTGTCAGGTCCATTACTTAATTCTGAGCATCATCGCAGTGGCTGGCAAGGAGGAGAGCATCAACAAGGGCCATGGATAGTTATTAGCTGCACTTTTTTTTTCATCTCCAGAACATATAATTCTGTGCATTTGACAAACTATAATTCACTTCCATTCTTGGCATGCATAGAACCCACATGAGTGTTAGAGAGGCAAAGACATATTTAGGAATGAGAGAAAGGGAGCCAAATTATGAAAAGGAAATCTTAATTTGAACTTCTTGCTCCTGCTTTAAGTTGCAGCATTGCCCCAACAGAAGCTATCATCCAAAGGAAAACAAAGCGAAAAGGCATGAAGTAGTAGTAGAAAGCACAACACAAGCCGAGAAAACTAATCACCTAGCTATGGGTATTATTCTGGAGTAGAAAAGGCTTAATGATAATGCGAATGAGATGCATGAAAGATTAGTGAGGTGATAGGAAAAGCTTAGACCGGATGAAACCAGCTCAAATAGAGAATGGGGAATACCTTGAAAGGTTAACAAGACTGCGTCAAAGATAATCGTAATGCTGGACGATCCGTACTGCTGTATACTGTTAGATAATTGCATCGCTATTTGGCGAGATCTATCATTGTAAAGCGTACATCGAAGGAGGAGCAGATGATGATAGCTAGGCAACCTAAAAAGGGGAAATGAGGAAAAGGCCTTTTCCCGAGCTGAAGACCACATGCTTGATGCTTGTGGAGGGGCTCACATGTCCTCCTCTTCCTCGGCTCACAGTCACAGAGGAAGAAGAACAAAGGAGATGAAATAGGCTGTGAGCTGGTGTGATCCGGCTCAGATAAGAACATCGGCACCAAGGCCATGTTGGAAATATAAAACGAGATCGGAATCTCAGTAAAGGAAAAGAAAATTTGCAGAGAAATGTAAAGGAGCAACCTCATACTTGTCGATTGCTAGAGCTGAAATCTTGAACCAATGTTTTGAGTATTTAAGCATCAATAATGTGAGTTAAAGTATACGAACTGATCGCATGGAGATAATTTCGTTTGATTTTCTTGCAATTCTTTTCGCAGTATATCTTCTCGTGGTAGAGTATGAAAAGTTACAAAAGAAAAGGCTTACATTTTGTGATGGAGGGAAACAGAAAGTACAAAGGTGGCAGTGACACTGTCCATGGAGAGTAGAGCACTTCTTCCTGGGAGTGGATTCTAATCCCTCGAAAGAATATCCTCTCGTATATCTTTTTCTTTCAAATTCGATGTAAATAGTTGTGAAAAATTCTAAAAAAAATTAGCAATGTAGAGTATAATGATACCTACTAATCCACCAAAATTCAAGTTCAAATTCGATCTACACATCGAGAAACAAAAAAGACAAATTTAGATATAAATAGTACGCTACTATTTATACACTGAATTTGTTTTTTTATATCTCGACTTGTGAGTTGAGTTTGGACTTAAGATTTTGTGGAGTTGTATATATGAGTTGTATGAATGTTGTCAATTTTTTTCAAAATTTTTCATAACCGTTTAGATGATTTTTAAGGAAACGAGGAAACATCTTGAGGGATTAGAATAGTTTCCTTCTTTTTTTAGAAAAAGATCTCTTTCTTTTTCCAGAGAAGTGCAGTTCTTAACTACGGATGCTGAAATAGTAGGATACGCGAGAACATCAGTGTGAACTGGGCCGTCAGTTTGTTATACGGAATATCTGGGCCGTGCGTAATCAAGTATAGGAGATCTCAGCTCGTTTTGAAAAAAGTACACCAAAGGTCCCTCAACTTGTCATCGAGGTACAGAATTATCCCTCAGCCGTAAAACCAGACGTAATATCTCTCAACTTACAAAACCGTTCACTTTTTGACCCCGGTTTTATCCAACGTGGTGGTTGAGTTAGCGTGGAATACACGTAGACCCCATATGCTAGGTGTCCACGTCAGCCCCCCTCTCTCTCACTCATCTTTTCTCCTCTCTGCAAGGCGACGCACGGGTGGGGAGGTCACCGGGGCGAGGCGGGAGAGGAGATCCGGCAGTCGGCGATGCGGCGGTGGCGGCTGCGACACTGGAGAAGGGAGGCAGCTCATGGCGGCGGCCGACGACGATGCGGGAGAAGGGAGAGCGTCACCGCGCGTGCGACCTCGGGGTCGGACCATCAAAGAGGCCCGGGAGGTGGCGGCGGCGGCGACACGGTAGAAGGGGAGGACGTTGCCACACGGGTGAGCTCGAGGACGAAGATCCCAGTCGCAGCGAGGTGAGCGACCTCAACCGCATCGCGCCCGCCGTCGACGACCCACGCAAGCACGCACTCGTCTTAGCAGTCCTCGAGCTTCGCCACCCAGCTGCCGCCCACGACTCCCGCGCACGGTTGCTTCCTGCTCGCGCCGTTCCCACTTTGATGTTGCCTCCCCGGAGGAGCCAAGCCTCAGATGGGGATGGCGATGGCGAGGTGGCTCGAGGGCACCACGACGATGAGCAACGGGGACGGGGAGAGCGAGGACGCTACCGTCGTCGTGTCGCCCGTCGCCATGGGAGGAGGCCCTCTCCTCTCTTCCCCCACCTCATCCCCGCTGCCGCCGGAGGAGCCAGGCCTCGGGATGAGGATGCTGGCGCTGCCACGGCGACGAGCAGCGGGGACGGGGAGTGAGACGGGAGAGCGAGGACGCTATCGTTGCCGCGTCACCCGTCGCCATGGGAGGAGGTCCTCTTGCTCCTGTGTCGTCATCGTCGCCGCTGAGTCGCCCGTTGTCGGTCGCCGGCCGTTGGTAGCCGCCTCGGCTCGCCAAGCCTCCTTCCTACCCACCGGCTAGCCTGCCCCAGATGAGGATAAAATTGGGAGAGGAGGAAAGGAGAGAAGAGGGGAAAGGGAAAGAAGGGGATGACGTGGTCACATTGACATGTGGGGCCCATGTGGGTCCCACGTTGACTCGGATGCCACATCGGATAAAACCGGGGTCAAAACTGCCTGAGGACCCAAAGTGATCCGGTTTCGTAAGTTGAGAAACATATATCTGGTTTTGCGGTTGGGGGATGATTTTGTAATTCGATGCCAAGATGAGGGACCTCTGGTGTACATTTTGCGCTTGTTTTCTAAGGCAGCCCAAAGCACGCCAGCCCATCATGACTCCATCGTCCAAGAGGAGGCCGCAAAGTTCACGGCCCATATACTGACCGGGCGAAGCGGAGGGGGCCTCTGTTACGACTTTAGGCCGGTCTAGCACGCGCACGGTGCACCGTATGCCGCGGCTCCGCTCCGTTCGCCGTGCGCGTGCGCGGTGCCTCTGCCGGTCAAATCTGCCACGGCGCCAACCCACGCGCGCGGCCGAGGCGAAGCGGACGGAAGAACGCAGGCGCAGGCGTGCGTTTCCGCAGGATTTGCTTCCGTCGCGTGATCCATCTTGGCCGCCGTGGCACGCGTGGTGGCGATCGACATGGAGAGGAAAAAACGTACAGCCCCGCGCCGCGCGACAGCGTGATCCAATCGGTGGCCTGCGCCCTGCGCCACCGGTCAACCAAAGGCCAGGCGCGCACCACCGATTCACGTACCGATCCCGACTCGGCGGTACTGTTTTTTCCTGCGCCTTTATGTCAGTCTCAGCGCCTTTGTTTTACGCCAATGCGAAACACGAGCGCCTGACGATGTTACTGTTGACCACTAGGCACTAACCATCATCGTCGTCGTCCTCGTCTATGCTATTCCTGTGAAAGATCAATGCCATAGAAATCAACATCTGTATGTCTCATAAAACATGCTCCTAGGGTTAAAACTGCGTGCCACGAGTGACGGACGAAGAAACCAAACGTGCGAGTACGGACAAGAGAAGTTGCATTAATCTGACTTTGGGAACACGGGAGGATCATGAAAGAAACGTAAGAGGCCAGCCTGCGTGCGACGGGAGAAGTCCACCTCTGTCTACTGGCTAACAGGACAGTAATCTGGTTGGTGTACCGTACTAACAGCTAGCCTGATTTTACGTTTTGTCATGGCGAAGGCCGGATCGATGCAGCCTTCACCGGGCGAAATTTCGCGGGGAGATGGACAGCTCGTTCGGACATTGTCAGCAAAAAGTCCAGTGGATCGCCGAGCGGATTGCTCGATCGATCGCGCGATGCTGCATATCCGTGGTGGACTGGTGGTCTGATGGAGTAGCCGCTGGGACGCCGGCGTTTTCCGTGATTTGCTTTCTTCGCCTCTCTCACCTATCACGCACCGAGGCCCGCATGCACTACGCTCCGGCGGCATGGGCGGCCGATGAGTCGGCGACGTGCACTGCAGAGGCCGGCCCATTATACCTTTTCCGAAGCAGAGACGTTGCTGGCTAACGCACCTTTGTTCTTCGGTAGGTCGTCGGTTTCCACATCCGCGTGTCTCCTGATAATGTGGTAGTGACTGTTGAATTAGACACGTTTTGCTATACATACATGCTCCCTGGCTAAGGCATGGGCTATAACCCTACAACTGTTGTGTACACTGTCCTAAGTGCGCTCGAAGGTTTGGTCAGGCCATCGAACTGATGGCACACTAGTACTGTAGGTGGTGCATGTTGGAGAAGAACAAATCATTTGGTGCCAATAAATCATTCACATGGAATTGTTTTTGGAAAGAATTTGGCATGGAATTTTGGGCCGTCCATCGATGACCACGAGCAATAATTTATGCATTGGGCGGCTTGAGATGGAGATCAGACGTTAACTTGTTTCAATCACGAGTTCGTGATAGCTTGCCGCCCCAAAACACCCGGTTTTGTCTGGAAGCACGCTTGCAGATAAGCGCATATATGGTCTAACCGCAGCTCGTTTTGACCCCCTAATTTATAGTGGTAAACAGCTACAGGTTGCATCATGTTACGGCCATATGTGATAGTAGTATATCAAAGGAAAGTTACTTTACTACTCACGTTTTGTTGTTTTGGTGCAGGTTGTCCGTTGGATTTTGCAGGTTACGTAGGCTTGTAACCAAGCTTCGTAGTAAAGATATTATGCGTCCATAACCCATGGCGTCATGCCTGAATATTACGCATTACTCAAAAAGTGTTATCCGTTACTACTAAAGTGCTCACTGAATCATCTCGAGTATGACCTGTGAAGAAGCACCTCAATGGAACATTGAACATATCCCATACGCTGTTGAGGCGCTGACTACAACTAATCATCCTGCCAGTAACATCCCTGGGCGTCCATCTCACAGATAGAAATGCAGAATCTTGAGTGTTGAGACCTCTACTACACCTAGATACCTAGCCATTCAGGCAATTGTTAACCACGAGTTCTCAATTATCAAGGAAACAGCAACATTGTTCCAGCCCTTCAGCAACTACTCATGCAGTTGCACGATCGTAGTGGCTGCATTGACTAGTGATAGTCCAAACCTACTGGCACCAAAAGACACTGTCTCCTCAAGTTGCAGGCCAAAAGAGGCTAAACGCTAGTATCTTATCATGTCCTTGACAAGAACATGAGACCGAATTCCCTGGTCATTCAAGTGGATCATAAGCCAGAATTGTCACTGCGTGAGTGTAATAATGCAGGACAGGTCCCCAAATGTATGAATAAACGCATTCTGGCCAATCAGAAAGATCAAGAATGAGTGTCCCTTGACAATGTAGCTTCAGGTTATTTGTACTTGGAGATGGACAGATTCCACTGTTCATCAACAGCTTGAATAATTATTAAACAAATAATTCCATTACTGTCTGCCTCACACGGTCACACCAGGGACAGGTCAAAGCTCACATGCAAAAAGCAGCATCTGCTCGAGCAGGGACATCCAGTGCAGCAATAATTAAGGTTTGATCTTAACAACAGATCAGCACTAAATCGTTGCACTATTCCGGGCTAAAGGTGATGTAATGGCAGTTAACTTCAGTGATCCTATGCCTATATTTTTGAACTGTACAATGCAGAGACAAAGCCAACTGGTACTTTTCAATCAGACAGCGCACTTCCCTGCTTGTGCCGTAGTCTGCTCCTGTGACTGGAATTATGCTGCATATCAGTTCACGGGGCTAATGTTGTGCCAAGAAAAAGAAGAACATCTCAATCTAATCAGTCATGTGTGTACAAAACTGTATTATTTCTTCTTGTACAAAAATACTAGTATGCCGACGTGTTCGAGCCACTCCGTAGTTGATAGGAATACTTTACGTGCCACGCGTACATCATGAGGAAGAACACATATGACAAATGAATCGGCGAGAGAGTTGCTCCTGTGGCTGGGAGCCAGGGGCGGAGACCGGCCAGGCAGCTTTCGGTTTTGTGCTCTTGCTATCTGAACTTGTAGCGTTGTCCATGTAGGGCACGGGGGTGAATCAGCAGATCTTTGACCCCAATTTCTGTTTGAATATTTGTCATGCCGCTCTTGTCCCCTTGCATGCATGCCTGTCGAGACGTTATGATTGCTGCGGTGTTTTTTTTTCTGAACCTGAGTTACTTGCGGGCAGCGGTGAACGAAACAGAGACGGAATTCTACCCATCACAGGTTCAGAAAACAGGAGCCTTCTTCTCCTTTCGTTTTACAGGTGAGGATTCCAAACTCTATGCATGGTACACACTGCACAAGAGGCTACTACTCCAGCCCATTTTTCTGAAAAAAGAAAAGAAAAGGAGGCTACTACTCCCAGCAGCTGGTAGTGCATGTACGTTAGCACATTCCACGGCGAGGGGACGCGCGAGAGTTGCGAAATATCTCACCACCGGATCGGCAGATGTACGCGGGCAAAGTATCTCGAATTCTCGATATCTAAAGAAAAGTATAGGAGAAAAAACGGGAGAGGATTGCAGCAACAACGGTAGGCCGGTAGCGGCAGCGGGCGGTAGGCCGGTAGCGGCAGCGGGCGGTATCTCCTCTCGGTGTGTTCTAGTAGAATCAGGACACGCGCGCGCGTGTGATGGTGCGCGCACGCGGGCGCGGGCGCGGGCCGGTCCGCGAGAGAGCAAGCGGGCCGCGCACTCCCGTCGTCCCATTGCGTATTCGCGGCGCGGTCGCTTTCGCCGCGGCGGGCAAGTGGCGTGGCGCGCCGCCCTGCGCGATCCACAGGATGCGAAGATTCCGCCGAGGGGGCTCGCACGCCCGCGTACGTACGTTCGCGCGTGCGGATCCCGAGACGCGACGAATTGGGTCGAGATTGTGCCCGGCGCATCGGACGGCGCGGGAGGTGGGGGCTCCTCGAGGCGGGCGCGCGCGTCAAACAGAACAAGAGGCGCCGGCATCTCGTGCCCGCGTGGCCTCTTCCTCCCTCCGCCTCCCGCCGCACCACTACTTGCCCCCCATATCCATCCATAATAAAAGTACGCACCTCGCGTCCGCGGCCGCGCGGCTATATATCAGTACCGCGCCTACGCACTCCTCTCCTCTCTCTCCTGTGTGCTAGCGGAGGCGGAGCACTACACGGTTAATTCTGCGGTTGCTGCTGCTACCTGCGACCTTCTAGCAGGTGCGTTTCCTCCTCGCTTTGCCTATATATATATCCACTTACATTTCTCGGCTTGATCCATGGATTAGTCTGTCGATCTCTTCCATGCCATCGATCTCGCTGGTTAAGATTGCGCTCTAGTGCTTAGCTTGTTGCAGAGCCTTGACTTTCTTTCTCTGCTAAGAACTGAATAACTTGACTCTGAGTAAGAGCTTGCATATATAGCTCTTAGTATATTCTTCAGATTTTGTCATTGATGTTATGCGACTTGTGCATTTCTTTGACTGATATCATGTAGTAATCACTAAACTTCATGCCTGACTCTAGGTTGTGAGTTGTGAGACAGCGAGAGTTAGTCGGTGTAGTTTCATCAGGAAGGGCCGCTTAGACAGTGAGAACTGAGAACTGAGAAATACAGCAGTAGGAAATAAATACCCGTTCTACTCTGGTGTCAGTCCTAGATATAATTTACCACTGTGTTTCATGCATGATCCGATTCTTAGTTTTCTCGACAAGAGGTGGTAACCACATGTAAATATTGTTGTTTAGCATAGCTCTTGTGATCAAAGAGGATGGAAAATTCCTGGTAGGGTCAGTAAGGGAAGGAATCAGCATTGCGTTCCCATTGTTCATATATCTGACAAATGATAATGATGTCTTGGTGTCCATTGCTACTGGACAAAATAGTACAGGTTAGCTGAGTCAGAAGGGTTCATGCAGAAAGTGTAGAACTTATTGCAGATAAAACCCTTTGCAAATCATGTACAGCAGTAGAGCTTCATACTGTCACCGGCTTACTGCGCAGTCCCCAACGTTTGATCATGTGGTCCATAAGGATCAATCGTTCAAACTGCATCAGAATTCAGAACCTAAGCATGAAGAAATACTACCTCGATCTACCACTAGACAGCCATATATGACATTGACAACGGCAATAAGGACCGTTGCTTTAGACCAAAATAGAATCAGCAGTGCATCCACTTCCTGGATGGGTTAAATGCTGATACGAAGTATGAACAGACATAACCTAATCTTAATTAACTGACAGGCTGAAAAAGGTATCGGGTATATTCAATGAATCTGGTAAAATATCTGGCTGATTTATTGCGTTAGTATCAAGTGATTAGTACTATGAGATTTGGTATTGCTACTCAAGATTCTTTGTTTCTTTTTTCATGAAAGAGGTCTTGAGAAAATTCGTAGTGTAAGCATTTGTTTTGCTGAAGAGAACAACCAAAACCATAAGCCCAGGCAAAAGTGTGTTCATTTAACTCAGTAAACTAGTCTTTCCTGATCCGAAGTTTGGAGCAAACTTTAATTTTTCTAATACACTTTTGTTTTAAAGAGAGAACAAAAAAGCTGATATTTGCTAAAGGAACAAGTATCTAATTACTCTTTTATTACTTGGTCCCCATGATTATTCAGTAACTGGCTTTCAGTATAATGATACAACTTTTGGTCTTTTCACACTTCACTTTCCTTCAATCCTATTCAACTATCACTGCACTGGGAGCTAACTACACATAGACATAGCTTTCATTCTTTTTCTGAAGTTTAAATAATGTTTACTTTTCTGAAAATTTCAACGTATTGATATCATCATCAAATCCAGTATGACATGCCCCAAACTAACGTAAGATTCATACTTTTCAGGTACACAGTGCTAACAAGTAACAACACAATGTTGCCTCAGCAACTTCAGATATATTTGTGCTTCATCCTTCTGTCTCTGAAGTTCGGAATATCTGCATCTCTACCTCTTGAAACAGATGCTCTCTTGGACATAAAGAGTCATCTGGAGGATCCACAAAATTACCTAGGCAATTGGGATGAGTCTCATTCACCATGCCAATTTTATGGCGTTACATGTGACCAAACTTCTGGTGGTGTCATTGGAATATCACTCTCCAACGCCTCACTATCAGGAACTATATCGTCGTCGTTTTCTCTTCTTTCCCAACTACGTACGCTGGAGCTTGGTGCAAACTCCATCTCAGGCACTATTCCTGCTGCACTAGCTAACTGCACAAATCTGCAGGTTCTTAACCTGTCAACAAACAGTTTGACAGGGCAATTACCTGATCTTTCAACATTTATCAATCTACAAGTTCTTGACCTGTCAACAAACAATTTTTCTGGACCATTCCCAGCATGGGTTGGCAAATTATCAGGCCTAACTGAACTAGGTCTAGGAGAGAACAACTTCAATGAAGGTGATGTTCCTGAAAGTATTGGAAAGCTGAAGAACCTGACATGGCTATTCTTGGGGCAATGCAACCTTAGAGGAGAATTACCAGTTTCAATATTTGATCTGGTCTCACTTGGGACCCTAGACTTCTCACGCAATCAGATTATTGGTGTGTTTCCAATAGCAATATCCAACCTGCGTAACCTATGGAAGATCGAGCTCTATCAAAACAATCTGACTGGTGAAATTCCTCCTGAACTTGCACATTTGACATTGTTATCTGAATTTGATGTGTCCCAGAATCAGCTAAGTGGTATTCTGCCCAAAGAGATAGCAAACCTGAAGAAGCTGAAGATCTTTCATATTTACCGAAACAACTTCTCTGGTGTGCTTCCTGAAGGATTAGGGGACTTGGAGTTTCTTGAGTCATTTTCAACCTATGAAAATCAATTCTCAGGAAAGTTCCCTGCAAACCTTGGCCGATTCTCACCACTCAATGCAATTGACATATCTGAGAATTATTTTTCTGGTGAATTTCCAAGGTTCCTGTGCCAAAACAACAAATTGCAGTTCTTGTTGGCTTTGGACAACAACTTCTCAGGTGAATTCCCCAGCTCCTACTCTTCTTGCAAAACACTTCAGAGGTTTAGAATAAGTCAAAATCAGTTCACTGGGAGAATTCACAGTGGCATATGGGGATTGCCTAATGCTGTGATCATCGATGTTGCCAACAATAAATTTGTTGGCGGCATATCCTCTGATATAGGCATTTCGGCTTCTCTGAACCAACTGTATGTTCATAATAACGTCTTCTCTGGTGAACTTCCAATGGAGTTGGGGAAGCTTTCCCTGCTTCAGAAGCTTGTTGCTTTCAACAATAGATTCTCTGGCCAAATCCCTGCACAGATTGGAAGTTTGAAGCAGCTGTCATTCCTGCACCTGGAACAAAATGCTCTGGAAGGATCGATACCACCTGATATTGGTATGTGCAACAGCCTAGTTGATCTGAACCTTGCAGACAATTCTTTGACTGGCACCATTCCAGACACACTAGCATCTCTATTCACTCTGAATTCACTCAACCTATCTCACAACATGATCTCTGGTGAAATCCCTGAAGGATTGCAATATCTGAAGCTTAGTTATGTTGATTTCTCCCACAACAATTTATCTGGACCAGTCCCTCCAGCTCTCCTGATGATAGCTGGAGATGATGCATTCTCTGAAAACGACGGCCTTTGTATTGCTGGAGTTTCAGAAGGTTGGAGGCAAAATGCCACCAATTTAAGATACTGCCCGTGGAACGACAACCATCAGAACTTCTCGCAGAGAAGGCTATTTGTCGTGCTGATAATAGTGACATCTCTGGTGGTTCTCCTATCTGGGTTGGCATGCCTGAGATATGAAAATTACAAGCTTGAGCAGTTCCACAGCAAGGGAGACATCGAGAGCGGCGACGACAGTGACTCAAAGTGGGTTCTTGAGTCCTTCCACCCCCCTGAGCTTGATCCTGAGGAGATTTGCAACTTGGATGTGGACAATCTGATTGGCTGTGGAGGCACTGGCAAAGTTTATAGGCTTGAATTGAGCAAAGGGAGGGGTGTTGTGGCCGTGAAGCAACTATGGAAGCGTGATGATGCAAAGGTCATGAGAACTGAGATCAACACACTTGGGAAAATACGCCACCGGAACATCCTGAAACTCCATGCATTCTTGACCGGTGGGGAATCAAACTTTCTGGTGTATGAGTATGTGGTAAATGGCAATCTCTACGATGCAATCCGCCGTGAGTTCAAGGCTGGGCAGCCGGAGCTGGACTGGGAGAAGCGGTACCGGATTGCGGTTGGAACCGCAAAGGGCATCATGTATCTTCACCATGATTGCTCCCCGGCCATAATCCACCGTGACATAAAATCCACCAATATACTGCTGGATGAGGAGTATGAAGCGAAGCTTGCGGATTTCGGCATCGCCAAATTGGTGGAAGGTTCACCACTCAGCTGCTTCGCTGGTACCCATGGCTACATGGCTCCTGGTAAGATATGAACAATTCTGCTCTTGTATGTTAAATGTTTATGGTAGTAGTTAGTATTGCACATGAATTCCTTAGGAAAAAAAACAAAATGCGTAATACCTCTTCTTCCAGCCCTTACCCATTCCTCTCAACCATCTCGCGGATGAATTCGCCATGCCGCTGCTCTCTTGCTCGGCCGCCGCCGCCGCGGCGCCACCTTGCGAGCAGGTCGACCGCCGTCGGCGGCTGTGACGCGCATCGGCCACTCCACCCCCTTCTTCCCCGACAGGCGCCCCCCCCCTTCTACCACCGCCGCGGTGCTCGAGCTCCCACCTCCCTCCCATTCCCTCCCCGCCTGCCGCCAGCAACCTCCCCTTCAACCACCGCCCGCCGCGGCCGTCGTAGTCGACCGCTACTGGCCGCGCCATCCGCCGCCGCCATCCTCCAGTGCCTCCGATGCGGACGAATTTCTTGGCGATTAGCCGATTACATGCGGTGAATGAGTGGGAGTCCCACCGGGAATGGTCAGGCTCATATGAAGATGGTATCTTTAGAAATAACTGAAAATAATTTATTAATAAACGTTTAACTATATTTTTCATGGTTTTAAACCGATGCTGAAAAATATACTACTGCAACGATAAACAAAAACACTGAAATCAAACTTAAAATTAAGTTTCAGAATTCAATTTTTGGTTGGGCTAATAAACTAACAAGCAACGAGGGTAGAATTGCTACTAGGTATTCTGGAAAAAAAGAGAGAGAAAGAATTGCTACTAGTCATGGACAATGTTATTAAAAAAAATATTCATACATTTTTATATGAAAGCAAATGGCATCCATCATAATTCTTCAAAAGGTGTAATTCTGACATGCATATTATGCGTAGTTCTGTAGATTTGACAATCTAACATCAGCTCGTCTCAAAATGCAGAGCTTGCTTATTCTCTCAAGGTGACAGAGAAGAGTGATGTTTACAGCTTTGGCATTGTGCTGTTAGAGCTGCTTACTGGACGCAGCCCTTCAGACCAACAGTTTGACGGTGAACTGGACATTGTCTCCTGGGTTTCATCCCATTTGGCCAACCAGAATCCTGCAGCTGTTCTTGATCCAAAGGTTAGCAGCCATGCATCAGAGGACATGACAAAGGTCTTGAACATTGCCATCCTTTGCACTGTTCAACTGCCTTCTGAACGGCCAACCATGAGAGAAGTCGTGAAAATGCTCATCGACATCGACTCTATCTCAGCAAACGGGAAGGCAAAGAACAAGAATGATAAGAAGTAAGAACAGATGCCCCGTTTCTTTGTAAGAAACTGCTGCCAGAAAGATCAAAAGGCACCCAGTAGCAACAGTCTGGGTGCTGCCGTGCTGCCAATTAGGACCTTAATTAGAATGCCTGACTAGTGAATAGTAACTAGTAGGCTGGTAATAAACTGAGGTTTTAGCAGCCTCTGAAAAGCTTGCACATATGTACAAGCTACCCTGTACAAATTTCAGTCATGTACTCTGAAGTTTCTGTAAAAATGATATGCGAAGAATTATGATGTACCAGTACCACACTGCAATGCCAGTAGAATATGACCATACCGTTAAAAATGGAAATGTGCTGATTTTTTTTTTAGACAGGAACAGGAAATACTAAAAGGCAAAGGCCGTTGTACAGGTTATTCCAATACTACTACATATTCCAACCTCTTTCTGCTATGTTCCAAGTTCCGACCTGTTTAATCAGATAGGAACAACCTAATGTGTCAATATAGCTGATCCAGCAAAGTTCAGAGTTCCAAATCTTTCAGGAACCGGCCGGATATCCGAGAAAATTGATACACAGAGACACAGAATCAGAGTCCAGAATCCTACATTGTTGTACAACTCGTAGCTGTTTTCTGTTTGTCACTGTTCTACAATATACTGCAGCACTGCTTTTAGCTGACAGTTTTGAAAGGGGTTGCAACCTTCAGGCTATCAACAATGTCAGTGACAGAGCCAATGCCCACTGCCACCGAGATCATCAAGCACACCATGCTCAGGCCTTGCAGGAGATACCACCTCCCTCCCCTGGTGATCTTCTCCTGCGCAATGTGCATGCTGATGGGGAAGTAAACAGTCAGTGGCCAGAAGCTGAAGGCGCCGAGGAGCCCCAGCACCGCGTTGAAGAACGGTATCATCATCGCCACCACCGTCGTCGCGATGACTACGACGGTCCGGAGGACGAGCTTGTACGGCGCCACGGTCACCGATCCTCGCTGGATCAGCGGCACGTTTACGGTGTACTCGCTGTTGATGAACTTGGCCTCCGGCCACCGGGAGGAGATCCATCTCTCCATTGTCGCAAATATGGGCTGTGCATAAACCTGCATTCAGAAATGCACCCGGTTTAAGAATAATTTCACGGTGATCTCTACTAATAATATTTTACTACCGGGGCTCAGTTACGAACTTATGATGTACTGACCTGATATGCTCCGATGAGATGGAGGATGAGGCACATGTTGGCAATGTCGACGAGCCAGAAGGGCCCCATACCGGACGCCGTCAGGATGTTGCCCGGAGCATCTGAACCGAACGCGGCGTACCCGGCGCAGCCAACGGAGATGTAGAAGATGGTGGTGGCTCCAATCCCGTACATCGCTGCCTTCTTCATGGTCTTGTTCTCCGGTGGTGACGGTTTCAGTGTGTCCTACAAAAGCAAAACAGACGGAAAAAAGCGCATTAGCGTTAAGAACGTACTAGTACCACATTGCTACTCGCACTAAAAAAATATTGGCACGAACAAAAAGAAAATCCTGTTCGTGTATGTTGGTTCAGAGGTAGTATCTGAATATTGTGGGTGACGAATCATCATCGATCGTGCATGCAAACCTGGATCTCAATTAGCACTTCTGCAAAGGTGTAGGCGAAGGCGATGTTCCCCAGTGCGAGCAGTACGTTCCAGAGCTTCTTGCTGGAGGACGCCGCGGTGGCGCCCTGGATCCTGCCGCTGAGGTGGCCGCCGTGCGACACCCACTCCGCCACGGACAGGCCGAGGCCGATGAAGGAGTAGGCGAACGACATGACGGCGGCGACGACGGACAGCCAGGTGATGTGCTCCAGGCCCGGGAACTGGGACAGCACCACCTGCACGATGCTGAACGCCAGCATGAGCACCGTCGCCGACGTGTTGTCGCACCGCGCGGCGGCGCCGGCGCCGTTCCGATGGATGCAATCCGACCTCCTGATCGCGCTTCGCAACACAACGGAAAGAAAAAGAAAAACAGACGAAATTTAGTAGCCTGACCGATGGCGAAAAGTTCAGTTCGGAGGGAAGTTGGAGTGATCTGTTCGGTTACTCACACCATGCTTATGGTTGCGGTGATTGTGTAGCCGACCATGGTGCCCCACAGGTTGACGTACTGCGCGATTCCGCACATGAACACCTCTCTAGGACCTGAAAATATTTTTGGCATTGCGTTCAGTTTAACCAACAAGATGGAGATGAGAGAAAAAAAATGTGAGTGTACTTACTGAGGTATGATCTGACGGCGTCCATGTATGTGCGGTTCCTGGTGCCGGTGACGGGGTGCGGCGCGCGGTAGGCGTTGGCGAGCAGAGTGGAGGTGTAGTAGGTGACGCAGGCGAAGCCGGCGAGGGCGAGCGGCCCGGCCACCCAACCCAGCTGCGCCACGCTCCACGCCAGCGCCAGCACGCCGGAGCCGATCACCGCCGTAACAATGTGCGCCGTCGCCGTCCATACCGTCCCTGCAAAAACAAACCCAGTTAACCGGAACCGCCGCCGGCGCAAGCCAACCAAAACAATTCTCAATTCTTAATCCCAGCCCAACTCCCATGGCCTGTTTAGTTGGAGGGAGTTGGCGATGGGGAATGTGAGTTTATGATATATGGGAGTTTAAGTATGTAGTTTGGTTGAAAGATTTGGGAATTTGAGTGGGTTTGGGATAGGGAATTAAAAGGTCGAATTCCCACTAATCTCTTACCTAGGGGAGGCATGTTAATTCGTGAGACTTGAAGAGAATTCGATATGAAACCACAATAGATGAGGACTAAAAATGTAACTCTCATGACCAATCCCACCATCAACTCCCTCTTTAAAACTCCCATTCCTCTTCTCTCGCCAAACAGGCCGCCAAGGTGTCCCAAGAAAACAAATAGTCGATCACCCATGCGGCACGCACGCCCGCACGCACGCCGTACCAGTCAAAGAAAAACCCCAAAAACCGGGGGAAGAAATCACTAAATCAGGAACAAGAACGAACACGCACCTGTCCGCTCGTGCTCGCCGCTCTCGACGTCTTCCGGTGCGGCGTTCTTGTTCATGTTGTCGGCGAGCCCCGCAGGTGTCCCGTGAGGGAGAGTGGGCGAGGAGGGATGCGGCCGAGTCCTGAAACCGTGAACGAATCTGGACGGTATTAGGCCGTATATATAAGGGAGGCAGCTGAAAGTGGGCTTTAATCAGGGCTCCTGATAGGGCCGGCACTTGGACCAGTAGAGAGCGCCGGTTCGGCTCTTCCGGACTCCATTGGGCAGAGTCCGGATGCAATGCGTTTGACGAGCAAGGACCTCATCGTTTGCCCAAAATTTGAATTTGATTTTGATTTTAATGATATCTAAGTTTTACTCACATATCAAATAAGCTGTAAGCAAATTGTTAAAATGAACTTGTGATTGGTATAAATTGATGTGCAATTCGTTTTGATAAAAGAAAAACTGATTTTTTTTAAAAAAAAAAAACTAGGCAGACTTAGCTGGTGTTATATTAAGTAGAGTGAAAAATATTTACATGTTCACTAACGGCGAAACAAACAGAGAAAAATGAAAAAAAGCTGGGCGATGCTATGACAATTAACGTTCTCGTGATATCTTTACTGGCTTGTTTAATTCGTGCACGATTTTGGATGACGGGCTCCCAATACGCTTCATCATGCATAATAAATTTGTACTTGATGCATGCATACTCCCTCCACCAGTTCCATATTAATTGATGTTTTAGATAAAGTCGAGGTCAAATTTTTATAACTTTAACCATCAATAACTTTTAAAAATATTTAGTTTAAAGTAACTAGAACAACATGTATAGATTTATCTTTCAAAGCACTATAAGTAAACATACATTTATTTATTATATATATTATAATAGAAAAATATGGTCAAAGATATATTTTGTAGACCGTATTATTATCCAAAACGTCAATTAAAATGAAACCGGAGGGAGTACTCCATTTTGCTTATTTTCTCTCATGGGGGTTCTGTCAATAAGACCGTGATATTTTCTTTTTAAATTTTTATTTAGACAATCATTTTGTAAGCTCAAATGTTATGGTTACGTATATCCTAAAAGTAGAGGTTGAGGATGCAATCATCTTTTTTTATCTTAAAAAATGTCTGGGTTATAATACCGCTCAGACATGCCCCTGCTACCTGATTCAGCTCGAACCTACAAAGATCCTACTATGGTATAGGAATAAAATGAAAGGAAAAAAATATTTACTCGGGGTTGAGTCCCAATAATCAAGGAATTTAGGAACACATGAATTACTCAATTGAGTTAATTTTACGCCTCATGAGAGAAAATAGTACATGTTTGTTTAGTAATTTTTTTACCACCTTTTCTGTCCGTAGCCCGCGTAGCGACCCAAATCGTTAGCCCCGGTACAAAGTACAAGTGATTGTAAACTTTCATGTTATTAAATAAAAAGATGAATGTTAAAGGACATGTAGTATAGTGATTGCAATGACCTAAGTAGTACTCAAGATTCTGTGTTCAAATCTTTATAGGAACGAATTTTAGATTGGGCTATTTCCATAATGAAACTATACTTCGAAATCAAAAAGGTAAACCATGCATCGATTTCTGCATTATTTTTTTTCGATTACACACCAATACACACGTGCACACCTGCAAATATATTCCTAATACACACTCAAAAGATACGAAGACTAACGGTAAATCTCAAACCTTGTCAATTAAATTCCTACTAAAAACATAACCGTGTATGTAAAGCATTTAGAGTGGATATCATGATTTAAACCCTAACTAATAAGTAAAATCATATAGTAATAACCATGACTTTACCATCATACCACAAATACTTCTTAGGTTTCCACGATCCAAGCATTCCTTGTTATAGTCAATCAAGTACGCAAAATTTATCTCCACGGTTGTTGTCATTGTTAGGTTGTAGTGTTAAATAGGAGGAATTAAGATGTATAATCAATTATCTGGAGTGATGTCCTCTTAGTACTACATGTAGGGTGACGTCCTCAGTACTCCTCTCCGAGAACAAATTAAAAACTACTTTGCTGCCGGTTTTGTCAACCAAGTTGAATAATAATAATCTTCTCAAAACTGAAACCATTGTTATATGAACCCAAATGATTGTTACTTCCTCCGTTTCACAATATAAGTCATTCTAGCATTTCTTACATTTATATAGTTGTTAATGAATCTAGACATATAGTATGTCTAGATTCATTAACAACTATATGTATATGGGAAATGTTAGAATGATTTACATTATGAAACGGATGTAGTATATGAGATCAAATAGCATGTTGTTGACACCAAAAAGTCTTGACCGGCATCCACACACACACAGGGTCATGCAGAACCAGTGAACCACAC